AGGAATTAAAGAAGAAGCTGGGAAGTACAGATCAGTCCGTCTGACATCAATCAATTCTGAAGCAGATTACAAAGCAGTCTGCAAATGCCTGGAAAACAATGCAGTGATTACTAGAAGCTGATATGGATTTGTCAAGAACAAATCCTGCTAGACTAATCTGATTTCATTTTTTGATTGGGTAATTTCCCTGATGGACTGTGGGAATGCTGTGGGCATAATCTAGCTTGACTTCAGCAAAGCTTTTGACAAAGTGTCCCTTCTTATCCTGATATCCTAAAAGTGGGCTAACTGAACTGATTGGTGGATCCACAAGCTGGCTACACAGTCAGACTAAAAAAGTACCCATCAATGGCACTTTCTAAACTGGGGAGAGGGAACAAGTGGGGTACCATAGGCTTCAGTCCTGCGCCCAGTGATTTTCAACATTTTTATTGATTTGGATGAGGAAGTGCAGAGAATGATTATCAAATTTGCAGATGACAAACACCTAGGTGGGATAGCTAATACTTTGGAAGACAGAAATAGGATTCTAGGTGATCTGTATAGATTGGAGCACTGGATTGAAAACAACAAGATGTAATACAATTGGGACAAATGCCAAGTTCTGCATTTATAAATAAGCCAAAAATAAATCAAATGCATCATTATAAGATAGGGAATACTTGGTTCAACAATGCTGCACATGAGAAGGATTTGGAACTGTTGTCGGTCACAAGCTGAATATGAGCCAGCAATATGATGTGGCAGCGAAAATGGAAATGCTATTTTGAACAGCATTAATAGAAATAGCTCTTCCAAATCCTATGAAGTGCTTGTTCTCCTTTCCTTAGCACTGGTTCAGCCTTAGCTGGAGTACTGTGTCCAGTTCTGGGCATGATAGTTTAAGAAAGATGCAGACGAGCTGGGAGTGGTTTGGAGGAGGACAACAAGGATGATCCAGGGACTGGAAACAAAGTCCTATGAGAAAGATAGAAAGAACTGGGCATGTTCAGCTTCTAGAATAGAAGACTGAGGGGAGATATGATAGCACTCTGCAAGTACTTGAAGGAGGATTTCTTCTCTATTATCTCAGAGTGCATGTCATGGGATAATGGGCTTAAGTTAGAAGAAGCCAGATTCCAGCTAGATAACAGGAAAAAATTCCTGACTATTAGAACAGTATGACAACAGTACCATTGACCAAGGGAGAGCTGTCCCATACTAGAGGCATTCAAGATGCAACTGGACAGCCTTCAGAGAGGGATGGTTTAACTTGGTGTCCCACACTGAGCTTCGGAAAGAACCATATCTAGATACATTACAGAGTGAAATGGCATCACAGCTGTCATCTTTCAAACTCAATGCAGGAAAATTCCGTAGCTGCACATATATTAACTGCATTAGCAGTGGTTGAAAATCTGGTAAAAATCCAGGAGTTACTTGAAAGGAACTCATTAAGTGCATTTTACGCAGCTAAGAAAAAAAATCCAAAACATTATTTGATCTTCATGGGCTGGCTATTTTATGTTCTGTTTGGGCACATATGCATGAACATACACCTCCAGATTAAGCAACAATACATGTTTTAAGCCAGGAAATGTTCTAATGTGTTAAACATTCTGGATGATGCCTTGTATAGGTGATTAGAAGGGAATACTTGGAAGGAAGAAAACAAGCTTTGCAGAAAAGCTGCCAAACTAATGTGCAGTTTACTTGGCTTTATAGTTCTAGTCAGAAACATTGTCCAGGACCAATTCCCCAGGAACCTTGATCTATTATACAGAGCCCTGATTGTCCACTGATGCCAATGCAAGGTGTTTATTCTCTCTCTCTCTCAGTTTATTTGCCTTGCAGAAGGCAATTTTCAAGAATATTTGCAGCTTGGGAAGGACAGCTTGATAATTTCCCTCTCATTCTCTTTGCTGCCACCCCCCACTTCCTCTGCATCAAAATCAAAACATAGAAAAACAAAAAGATTTTTCCCACTGTTTTGAGTGATTTGGGCCAGACTGCACATTAATTGAAGACTTGATTTTATTTGAGACTATTTAGATAAGAAGAATCTGATTGCCTCCTGTGAAATGTAAATTAGTCCTCATTATTATTTAATTTAAATGCATAGATTTAAATCCACTGTTGGCAGATTATATTCAGATTTGTGAATAAAGAATCTAGTGAATAAAGAATCTTAAAGAATCTAGCCCCTGGATCCTTTAAGAGCCTAGCAGGATCCTCAGATCCTCCACTCCTAAAAACTATATTTTCATTCACCAGATTTGGGCATGAAAAGTCAGGAAGGTACATATGAACTCTACCTTTTTAACCATAATAATGAAATCATTCCTCAAGTGGGACGCCATCCACACTCAAAGGGGAAGCAGTGTGCCTCTCTTCCTCTTGGACTGCACGATTGGTAGCAAATCCTCTGTGTCTCCACTTCAGATAATTTTGGATGATCCAACTGGTTAGCATGATGTGTCTCTTGGCTCTCAGACATGGCTGCATGCTGTGTATTGGCATGAATTGGTGGTCTAGACTTAACCTCTTTTCAGTCACAGTGCTTTCAGAAATTTAGGTGCTGGACCTCTCTGACAGTAGATAATCCTTACCCTTAAGAAAATAAGAAGAGCCATGCTGGATCAGACCATCCAGCTGGATGGATCAGACCAGCAGACCAAAGCACTCTGTCACAATGATAAACCAGTTGCCCACAGGATCCCACAATCAGGATATGTGTGCAGCACTACCTTCCTGTCCCAGTTCCCCAGCAACTGGTATAAATAGGCACGATGTCTCTGATACTGGAAGTAGCACAGAGGCACTGTGACCAGTAACCATTGATAGCTTTCTCCTCCATGAATGTGTCCAATCTCCTTTTAAAGGTATCAGACTGGTGGCCATCACTGCATGGAAGTGAATGCCATAGTTGAAGTTTCTGTCAGGTGAAGGAATACCAGTAATCTTCATGGGTTCAAGTATTATGGGATAGGGATGCTCCATCTTGTAGTCTAAAAGTGAATATTTTCCTCTAGTATCAATTCATAAAACTGGGGTGTGTCCTTAGTTCAAAGTCAGAATTGCTCTGCTGCATTCAAAAGGTCCCGGGTACAACCCTTTCCATCTTCCAGTAAAAGGAGGATGGGAATGGCCCTTTCTTGCAGTTCTGTATTATTGCAACTATCACCATTACTTTTCCTTTAGCTGTTGGAAATGGATGCTTTTGGAATTGGGCATCATTTACTGAATGAGAAAAATCTAAATACAATATCTTCTTCTATTTGTTGTGTTTTCCTTTGTGAATCCTACCCTTGCAGAAGCTCTGCCAAGATAATTAGAAAGCATAGACTTTCATGTTATTTTTGGCTTTTCTTCTTTTCCTGTTGATGGGAAAAAGGATGTCTTGTTGATGATTAACATCAAAGCATTAACATTCTCAGCTAAAGTTAACAGATATTTGAAAATCTCCTATGTCTTCATAGGAGGTTTTACCAATATATATTTACTCAGAAATAAGCCCCAGTGTAATTCATGGGGTTTGCTTACTTACAGGTAACTGTACATAGTATTACATTATTAGCTAAGAAAGTTGATGGAAATACAGAGGTCTATTCTAATTTGAAAGAATTGAGAGACTAGTATTTCACAAAAACCTGCTATGGCTGCAATGCCAGAAAAGGCACACTTGTGGGGAAATAGTTCTATGAACCTGCTTCTAAGAAATTGTGTATAAAACTGTGGGACTTACTTCACTGGATCACTTGTATTGGTTTACCTGGAAGTAAGGGTTAATGGAGCAAGCCTTGGGTCTCAAGACAGCATCTGAAGGACCATAGGATCATTTGGATGCCCAGATGTAAGGTCTGAGACAGCATCCCAACTTCATAATGAAGGATGGGAGGAAAAGGAGGCCAGGATTGTCTCCCATCCTCATTCAGCATTATGTGACTCAAAGCCTCAGAGTATGGGGGTTTCTGGCCATCCTGATAGGGTTGCATCCTGTGGGTGCAATCCTGCACATGCCTAAACACGCATACAAATGTGCCTTAATTTCTTTGAAGGGAAGAATTTAGCATGTGCTTACATCAGCAGAATGCTTAATCCTGAAAAGGTTTTGCTATACATTTTGAGCAAATAGTAAAGAAACTGATTTTTAAAGAGAAATTTGATGCATCCTCTTTATTTATTTATACTTCCATTTATATGCCGCCTACTAGCAAAGTCTCATAATCTCGATGATAGCATTTGAAGCAGGAAAACCCAAATTGTTTCAAAATGTTTTCTCTGTTCCTGCCTGTTGAACTGAACACAAACTTCAGGAAAGGTAATCTATGTGTGCGTGCACACACATACACATGTGTGTGAAAGCATATATGTGTGATTGTAACTTTTGGCAACACTAAAACCACACATTTAGTCCCTGTGCTCTTTAATTGCCACATGGAAAATAAATATACAACTGGAATTTTCATTCAGAAATGTCCCACTAAGAAGGGAAATATTTCCTGGAATGGGAAAATGAGACTGTTGTCAGAACACCTGCTATTTTTGATATTCAGTGGAGTCACTTAAGGATAACTCATGAATTAGAACCCTAATACAGGACAGGAAAAAGAGCTTTTCCACACACAAAAAGTACTTGGGCAGCTGGTTGGCCACTGTGCAAACAGTATGCTAGACTAGATAAACCCTTGGGCTAATATAGCAGTGATTATGAAGGACTTCATATATCAAATATCCAACTTAATACTGAATAAAAATACAGCTAGGAACTGAAGATCTAATACAGCTATAAGGGAACACAATTTATATTTGCAAAGGAAATTATGTGATTTTTGTGAACCAGTTTCTGCGTTACTTCACTAACTTTGTAGATGAGTTTGTAAACATTTGAGCTAGCAACCTGGATTATGGTTCCTGATCTCATTTCTTAAGATTTCATGTTCACCAGTAACGAATTACTGTATTTTACCACTACACCAACTATTCATTAATTTGTTTCTCTCTGTGTATGTTTCTTAAAGGGGGAGCCCGGCCCATCGGGTCCTTATGGCCCTGCTGGAGTCCCTGGAATTGGTTATCCAGGACCTAAGGTAATGCACAGGATCTACCTTAAGAATCATGTTGATGTTTGCACAGCTCATTTATGGTTATTTTGATGTATATGGCTTATTTGCATACTACTTTCTGAAATAAAGATACACCAAAAATGTTTGGAGAAATGCTAAAATAGCTTGGCTACAAGAAGCATTATTTGTAGAAATAATTTCCCTTATTATTTCCCTTAGCCAAAATCATGAAGCAGGATGGTACATATCCCATGGCGCACAATAGCACAAAGATGCCATTTTGTGTATTGGTGCAAAAGGTGACTGGAGGAAGGGGAAAGTACCTTGGCCCATACAGGACAAATATGATGGCCCAAATAAGGCATTCATGTAGGATTTTTGTCTATAAACATCTGCATTGCTATAAATTAAAGCAGATCCTTCTGCAGTTACCCTGATTTCCACAAACTTTCGGTAAGACTCCAAACTTGCATCAGTCCATTGCTTCCTAAGGCAAACCAGTATAGATAATATCTGTTCTTTGGCATTTTCAGTTCTTTGTTTGCTACAATGTGTACCAAACAGAATGACAACATATGTGATTATGTTGTCTTATTCTCAGTACTGTCTGCATGTGAGTCAGATTAAAAGTTGTTGGGATGTGGAAAGGTGAACATGTGAGCATCTCTTATTTCTTTATGAAGGCACATTGGACAGGTCAAAGTCTGGTTCAAGTAATTAAAGTAAATAATGAGACCCATCTAAAAGAATATGTAGTGCAAGCCTTTATGTCCATCCTTACAGGATCGTAGCCTAAATTTTATTTCACATTAACTGTTCCTAATTAAGATGGTATAACCTTAATTATACGTATTATGAAGCAGCATTATGTATTTTTTTAGAAAATATGCTTAGATGGTTATAAACATTGCTCTTATTTTTCAATTTTATTTCACAAGGGTGACAGAGGTCAAGATGGCAGAATTGGGCTTCCAGGACCAATTGGAATTGGTGAGCCAGGCTTAATGGCAAGTACATTTATCAAGTTCTGGAAGGGATTCTATACTAAGTTTTTATAATAAATGTGTTTGGTTGAAAAATGGTAGCAGTGTTTGTTGATTCATTCTGCACCAGCTGAACATCTACAGCTTGGTGGCTGGATTGCAAATCTTTAGAGACAAGTGATCATCGTATAACCAAGGAAGTAACACCTAGTAACAATAAGAACAAATGTAAACTGAAAAGATTCTGTCTTCTGCAAGTGAAAGATATGTCAAGATATTTAAGAGATCATTCGGAGATGAGCAGTTAAAAATAATATCTGTGCTATTACTGAAGTATTTGCAAGCTAGCTGGAAACAAATTGCCCAATCCATTGGAATTTTTATTTATTTTATTCCCCATCTTTCCTCCAAGGTGCCCAAGTGGTACTCTGAAAGTTCACTTTTGTGTACATGTTATTACTCCTTCATGGATCACTGACTTGTTGTGGCGAAGGGGCTTGTGTACCTCAATGAAGCTGTGAGCTATGCTGTCCAGGGCCACCCAAGACGGACAGGTCATAGCAGAGAGCTCTGACAAAACGTGATCCACTGGAGAAGGAAATGGCAACCCACTCCAGGATCTTTGCCATGAAAACCCCATGGACAGTACTAAAAGGCAAAAAGATATGACGCCGGAAGATGAGCCCCTCAGGTCGGAAGGTGTCCAATATGCTACTGGGGAAGAGCAGAGGGCTAGTACTAGTAGCACCAGAAAGAATGAAGCGACTGGGTCAAAGCTGAAAGGACACTCAGTTGCTGATGTATCTGGTGGTGAGAGGAGAGTCTGATGCTGCAAAGATCTATACTCCATAGGAACCTGGAATGTAAGATCCATGAATCAAGGCAAGCTGGATGTGGTCAAACAAGAGATGACAAGACTGAACATCAACATTGTAGGAATCAGTGAACTAAAATGGACAGGAATGGGTGAATTTAATTCAGATGACCATCAGGTATACAATTGCGGGCAAGAATCCCTCAGAAGAAATGGAGTAGCCTTCATAGTCAATAAAAGAGTAGGAAAAGCAGTACTGGGATACAATCTCCAAAATGACAGAATGATCTCAGTTCGAATCCAAGGCAAACCATTCAACATCACAATAGTCCAAGTCTATGCCCCAACCACTGGTGCTGAAGAGGCTGAAGTTGATCAGTTCTATGAAGGCCTACAACATCTTCTAGAATTAACTCCAAAAATGATGTCCTTATCATCATGGGGGATTGGAATGCTAAAGTAGGAAGCCTAAGGATAACCGGAATAACAGGCAAGTTTGGCCTTGGAGTACAAAATGAAGCAGGGCACAGGCTGATAGAATTTTGTCAAGAGAATACGATGGTCATAGCAAACACTCTTTTCCAACAACCCAAGAGACGACTCTACATGGACATCACAAGATGGTCTACACAGAAATCAGATTGACTATGTGTTCTGCTGCCAAAGATGGAGAAGCTCCATAGAGTCAGTAAAAACTAGACCAGGAGCTGGCTGTGGCTCAGATCATGAGCTTCTGGTTGCAAAATTTAGGCTTAAGTTGAAGAAAGTAGGAAAAAGCACTAGGCCTCTCAGGTATGACCTAAATCATATCCCTGATGAATATACAGTAGAGGTGACAAATAGATTTAAGGAATTAGATCTGATAGACAGAGTGCCTGAAGAACTATGGGTGGAGGTTTGCAACATTGTACAAGAGGCAGCAACTAAAACCATCCCAAAGAAAAAAAAATGCAAGAAAGCAAAATGGCTGTCTGAGGAAGCTTTACAAATAGCTGAGGAAAGAAGGGAAGCAAAGGCAAGAGAGAAAGATACAAACAATTGCAGAATTCCAGAGAACAGCTAGAAGAGATGAGAATGCCTTCTTAAATGAACAGTGCAAAGAAATAGAAGAAAACAATAGAATAGGGAGGACCAGAGATCTCTTCAAGAAAATTGGAGATATGAAGGGAACATTTCATGCAAAGATGGGCATGATAAAGGACCAAAATGGCAGGGACCTAACAGAGGCAGAAGAGATTAAGAAGAGGTGGCAAGATTACACAGAAGAACTATACAAGAAAGAGCTTAATGTCCCTGATAACCATGATGGGGTGGTCACTGACCTCGAGCCAGACATCCTGGAACATGTAGTCAAATGGGCCTTAGGAAGTCTGAGCAACAACAAAGCTAGTGGAGGAGACAGTATTCCAGCTGAGCTATTCAAAATCCTAAAAGATGATGCAGTAAAAGTGCTAAACTCAATATGCCATCAAATTTGGAAAACTCAACAGTGGCCACAGGATTGGAAAAGGTCAGTTTACATTCCGATCCCAAAGAAGGGCAATGCCAAAGAATGTTCAAACTACCACACCATTGCACTCATTTCACATGCTAGCAAAGTTATGCTCAAAATCCTACAAGCTACGCTCCAGCAGTATGTGGACTGAGAACTACCAGAAGTACAGGCAGGATTTCGAAGAGAGAAAGGAAGTAGAGATCAAATTGCCAACATACGCTGGATCATGGCTAAAGCTAGGGAGTTCCAGAAAAACATCTACTTCTGCTTCATTGACTATGCTAAAGCCTTTGATTGTGTGGATCGCAACAAATTGTGGCAAGTTCTTAAAGAGATGGGAGTACCAGACCATCTTATTTGTCTCTTGAGAAACCTCTGTGTGGGTCAAGAAGCAATAGTGAGAACTGGACACGAAACCACTGATTGGTTCAAAAATGAGAAAGGAGTTCGGCAAGGCTGTATACTGTCGCCCTGAGCACATTATGAGAAAGATGGGGCTAGATGAATCACCAGTTGGAATTAAGATTGCTGGGAGAAATATCAACAACCTTGGATATGCAGATGATACCACTCTAATAGCAGAAAGTGAAGAAGAACTAAGGAGCCTCTTGATGCAGGTGAAGGAGGAGAGCGCAAAAGTTGGCTTGAAACTCAACATTAAGAAAACTAAGATCATGGCATCCGGTCCTCTCACTTCCTGGCAAATAGATAGGGAAGAAATGGAGGTAGTGACAGATTTTATTTTCCTGGGCTCCAAGATTGCCGCAGACAAGGACTGCAGCCAAGGAATTAAAAGATGCTTGCTCCAGTGGAGGAAAGTTATCGCAAATCTAGACAGCATACTAAAAAGCAGAGACATCACCCTGCCAACAAAAGTGTGTATAGTCAAGGCTATGGATTTCCCAGTTGCAATGTATGGCTGTGAAAGTTGGACCATAAGGAAGGCTGAGCGCCAAAGGATTGAGGCCTTTGAATTGTGGTGCTGGAGGAGACTCCTGCAAGTCCCTTGGACTGCAAGGTGATCAAACCCATGAGTCCTAGAAGAGATCAACCCTGACTGCTCTTTAGAAGGCCAGATACTGAAGATGAAACTCAAATACTTTGGCCACCTAATGAGAAGGAAGTACTCTCTGGAGAAGAGCCTAATTCTGGGAATAATAGATGGCAAAAGAAGAAGGGGACGGCAGAGAATGAGGTGGCTAGATGAAGTCACTGAAGCAGTTGGTGTGAGCTTGGGTGGACTCCGGGAGATGGTGGAGGACAGCAGGGGCCTGGAGGAATGTTGTCCATGGGGTCGCGATGGGTCGGACACGACTTCACGACTAACAACAACAACAACATGTTACTATGAGGTTGGCTGTAGGTGTAGTTTATTTGGATAATATGCTTGCACATGTGTGAGTGTGCAAGTGTGTACATGCAAGAGAAAGAACCACTTATGAGCAATCTTGTATCATAAATACCACTTGCAGAATTCTTTTGATGGGTGTTTATTTTATTAGCATTCTTATTATCTCATGTTATGATGGAGTGTACTTTACGCAGTGCATCACTAAAAGTGGAATTCAAGATGAAGTTATAGCCACCAGTTTGAATGGCTTTAAATGAGGATTGGTCAAATTTATGGAGACTGTTCATGGCTGCTAGTCTGGATGGCTATAAGCTACTCCAGTATCAGAAGCAGTATGCTTTTGCATATCAGTGGCTGGGGAACATGGGTGGGAGGGTGAGGTGGCATTCATGTCCTACTTGCAGTCTTCCCAAGGGCAGGTGGTTGTCCACTGTGTGAACAGAATATTGGATCAGATGGACCTTTGGGTGGATCCAACATGGCTCTTATATTCTTACATATTCAGTATAGCTGCATCAGTTTTATGGTCTACATCAGTCTTATCGAACAGGTGTGCTCCAGATATTTTAGATATCTTCTTCTATCAGCTCAGGCCTGCAGGACCTATGGTCAGGCATGCTGGGAGTTAGTCCAAACCATCTGGAACAGCAACTGCTCCTACCTTCCCCTCCCCAGGATGGCAAGTGCATTTTACCTGTGTTGCTGTACATGCAGTGCATTTCACAGCTGTGAAGGTAATGGCGGGCAGCTCCCGCCTGTACAGAGAGCTCCATATGGGAGTGAGAGCCCCAGAGGCCTTCGCATCACCACATCGAAACCCAGGGTTCATCATGGTTTTCTGTCTCTCATCTATTTTTTCCCACAGTGCCTGGGACAGGGTCAGATGGAGGCAGCTTTTTTCAGCAGTAATTTGTGAAATTCCTTTCTTATCTCTGATCAATTTCAGCTTTCATTACTCTACTCTTTAAATACTTTTACATTTCCAGTTTTTGACTCTAAACACTGCTTTTATGTCAAACTCAGGGGCCTCGTGGTCCTGAAGGTGTGCAAGGTGAAAGAGGTCCACCAGGAGAAGGTCTTCCAGGACAGAAGGTAAATATTTTCCATTTTACTAAATTGATTGCCTCCCCACTTCTACAGTTCTTTGTAGAATTTACAGGAATGGATTGATTCCTCAATATTCATTGATTCCTCAGCTGAAATCAATTTAGTTGAATATCAATTAGGATAGGCACCATCTTGTTTTTCCTGGGTTGTTGGCTTGTTAAATGCATGTATGTAATAGGTCTGTACACCAAAGGAAAAAATTCCCTTGTTTCAACTGTTTTTCAGGAAGGGTAATAGTTGGCCTATTAGCCTATGCCAATAAAATTGCTCCAGTTATGAGAAATTGCTCAGAAAAGAAATTAATCACAGCAAATACTTAATTCAGATTTATGTGGTCAGAAACAAATGAAATAAAACACTGCTAACTCAACAGCATTTGAGTACATTTACAACAGAGGTAGGAGACTTCAGGACCATAGAATCACCTTTGACTTTAACTACAGTGCTAAAGCATGAAAACCACACTCAGACACAGGATGGTGGCTTTGGGCAGGGTCCATTTCTACTGCATTCCAGGAACCTGTCATGCCGAACGACTTGGAGGAGTTGTTAGCATGCAAAAGAGGGCCAGGAGCCCCCAGCGAGGAGCAGGCTTCAGAGCAGGAAGTTTTATACTTGGTGCCCATGACACAAACACCCTCCCCCCGCCCCACCACTGACTCTGCAGTTTTTGGGCAAGTTCCTGGAAGTCAGGCTGGGCAGTTGGTTGCCATGGAGAGTGCCCAGCTGAGGGGACTTTGACCCTTAGACCAATTAGAGGAGAGACAAAGCGAAAGGAGAAGAGAGAGAAGTTTATCCAGCCCCCGGGAGGGATGGACAAGGAGACTGAGATCCATGTAGCAAATCTCAGAGAGGTCAGAAAGGAGGGGGCAACTGTGTTGCTTAGTACTATCTACGGTAGCTCCTGCTATCTGTTGTTCACATAAATCTTGTAGTCGTTTGGAATAAAGGACTTTAGCTTTTATTGCCTGCATCTGTGTGAGTAATTGGTACGTGAGTTACGGCCTCACGACAGAACCCAACACTGGGATAGATGTGAATCTACTCATAAGTTACTATAGAACAGTGGTGGCGAGCCTATGGCATGCATGCCGCAGGGGGCACACAAACCAAGTCGCCCCAGCATTGCCCCAGCAGCCAAGCATCAGACAACAGTGCACACAGTGGCCATGTGCATGCTCGGAAAGGAGTAGTGGCACCAGGCAATGATGTCACAAGCCGTGACTCACTAGCCGTGACTCATCCGAGCTTTCACATGGTCAGTCAGTGCGCTGCCAAGGATATATATATATTTGCTTGGACTGGCTGTAGTTGTTTTTTCTAAACTAAAACCTCACTTTTCAGGTTTTATTGTAGTATTGGCACTTTGCGATAAATAAGTGGGTTTTGAGTTGCAGTTTGGGCACTCGGTCTCTAAAAGATTTACCATCACTGGGTTAGGCTTAGAAAAACGACATGTCCTGGCATGGTTTTGATGGTGGGAATGTGTTTAGAATGGGCAGAAATAATGAGCTGTGCAGAAAAAGCTACTCGAGGAAGGCTTTTTCAAAATAGCAGTATTTTCAATGATATTTTACCCCTATATTAGAGTTAGGGGAGTTCACCATGGTAGAGTTAGGCAAACCTATGGTCATGTGCCACAGAGCAAGCAGAGCCCTCTCTGTCATTGCACAAGCCAAGTCGCCCCAGCATTGCCCCAGCAGCCAAGCATCAGACAACAGTGCACACAGTGGCCATGCGCATGCTCGGAAAGGAGTAGCGGCACCAGGCGATGATGTCACAAGCCGTGACTCATTAGCCGTGACTCATCCGAGCTTTCACATGGTCAGTCAGTGCGCTGCCAAGGATATATATATATATTTGCTTGGACTGGCTGTAGTTGTTTTTTCTAAACTAAAACCTTAGTTTTCAGGTTTTATTGCAGTGTTGGCACTGCGAAAAATACGTGGGTTTTGGGTTGCAGTTTGGGCATTTGGTCTCTAAAAGGTTCTCCATCACTGCTGTAGAACACAGATTCTATGAACATAGACATCAGATTAAGAGTCCATGCACTCCAGGATTCTTGGCCAATGTGTGAACAAAATGCCCAACTAGATGGACCCCTGGTGTGATCCTGCATGGCTGGTCTTATGTTCTTATCTAAACCTGACCAGCAGAGTCAAAAGTAAGTCATCAAAACCAGTCTATCAGCACTCCTATTTTACAGATGAACGCTGAGAGAAAGTGATAAGTAATACACCTGAGACTAGCCATGGCAGAAGACTGTGGTGGTTTTTAACTCCCTTTCTCCAATTCAGATCTACTGCCAACCACCCAGAGTTTCAATAATAGATCCTGATCTACCATGGCTCACCCCAATTAAAATCATGTGCTTTACTGTGTCTGAAGCACCTTCCTTCATTAACTGCAGTGAAATTAGCAAGTTCACACCTGTCCTTGCTAGCTCCAGCTGATCTCCTGCTTTCAAACCGGATTTTCTCAAGAATCTCCATTCCACTCTGATCTATTCATTCTTACAGATGATGCCATTTACAGTTCCATGTTAGGAAATTCTAATACCAAAGAATGTTCTAATGAATCTCTGTGGACACTTAACGTCTTCATAGACAGTCACCCTCAGCTTCTGGGAGAAGAAAAATGTGAACCTTCTAAGGAACAAACCAGTTTAAAAATATAACAATGATTAATTGTGGAAATTAAAGCAGTGTTTATCTCCTGTTCCCACATACATCCTGTCCTAGCAGAGATGCACCGGAAGATTCACAGCCCCCTGTGGCTTGAGATAACTCTCTTGTTTTTCTACAGTGTTTTCCCCTCCAATATATGATTCTGAAACTTGCTACGAAGCCTGCCCATATCTGTGTCTGTTACATGAATGCTGCATTTAAGAGTACACTGACAGAGCAACATTTAATATAAATATTAATGTCAAATATTTGCAGGGTGAGAAAGGTTCTGAAGGGCCAGCAGGACCGGTTGGACCACCAGGCCTATCCATCAAAGGAGTTAAGGTACAATGTGCATATTGTATGGTATAGATTGTATGCTGCAGTGCTGAACTACCAGCATGGGCATTGCCATATGGAGTATGCCCTGTGGTACTGAAGAGCAAGGAAGGGATTTGGAATATTTATTTATTGGATTTATAAAACTGCACCCAATTATCCCTGGCAGGACAGGGACAGCCCTGCCTAGCTTGTGAAGTTAGACTAGGTATCACCAAACACAACATTTGCCATGTCAGTACATCCATACTTGGTCTCATTACTTTCCCAAATGTTCTGCATCCCATGCTCTTTTCTCCCAGGAGATGTTCTTTTTGAATAGCTTGTGAATTAGTATGCAATCAGGAATGTGGGGAAAGCCTTGCAATCTTTAAAATAGGTTGTTGTTGATGATGATGCTTTGATTAAAATCGTGATGCATGAGAATGCATTTTTCATACAGGGTGAGCGAGGGATGGGTGGACCTCAGGGTCCAATGGGACCACCTGGACCTGGCATTCAAGGAGATCAGGTAAATATGTGAGGGCAATAGCTAATTTTGGCCAGGTATGTTTGTTGGTTTATGGACATATATGGATATGAATGTCCTTCCTGTTGATGGCAACTACATTGTGTAACCAGAGCCAAGTCAAATGTATTGAGTGCTTTCAAAAAGTCTGGTCCCAAGAAACTTCCATGTTTGGTTAATTTAACTCAAGGCTCCTCTTAGCTATGTGCACATTTGTAGCCTTGATTTATAATCTAATGCTTGGATTTAAGCCAGAACAGACTCATTCAGACCTGGGTGCTTTGGAGTCCCATCGGGATGGCATTATTTTCAGAAATCAGAACTAAGTTTAGCAAAGGATGGGCAGCCCAACTGACCTTTCTATATTGGGTTTAAAGAATCAGCATTGGCTAGAATTGCAAATGCACACTGGGGTGTTCATTTTTGTGCAATATATTATCATTGTTACTGGCATCTTGCACTGGGTGTTCAAAATATCTAGCATCAAAAAATAAACAGATCTACACTGAAGGTTCACTAATGGCATGCATGGATCTACGGCTCAAATTATACATGATTAGTTTGGGTTTATTCCACCAATGACAAAAGTGTTCTTTGCAACTTGGAAATATTTCTCTGAGACCCTGTAAATCAGAGCAAAAGTAAAGAGCTCAGAGTTTGACCTTATAGCAGAAAGATAAGTTCTGTTTGTTTCTTTTTGTAAGGATATAATCCCAAGGCCTCCTGAAATTGTTCGGTCCCAGTTCCAGGGTTGTGCAATCTCAGCAATGGGACTCTGCACACAATGACCCTGCTCCAGCCCTTTGCAGTCAGCATGGAATGAACAGCACCAGTTGACACTCTGAGATTGCAAATGGGTCTTGGAGAAAAGGCAAGGGGCAGACTTGGGGGTGGGCAAGGCAGGAAGGGAGGAGACTGGACCAAGCAGCTTGCCCTGTAACCAAATAGTGCCCCAGCCAACTTGCTTCTCTCTCCACGGCACTGATGGAATGAAGGGTGTGATACAAGACAGTGGTGAAGATTGCACCTGCCCAGCCTCATGCCATGTACAGAATGCAAAGAAGCTTCCAGGTTTGTGGGCTTAAATGCATCAAGGGTGGGGGTGATAAGGCTGAGCCCTCAGTCAGCTCATCTTGCTGAATGATTGGCTGTCTTTTAAACTTATGACCAGTCTTTGTTGTTAAAAATAAATCCCTGGTTTTACTTGCTAATTCTTCTTAATTTTTATTAGTTTTGTAATACTTTAAAAATTGTTTCAGGTATGATGGTTATTTATACAATGGGACCATAGATCAGGAGAGAAAAAAAAAGAACCTGAGGTTCAAGATATAAAGAACAACAAGGATTTCCTCAAGGGTGGATTTGTTCAGGGAACGGGGCTTGAAGACCAAGCCTTGTCCCTGCTGGAACCCCAGAAGGGTCTGAAGGCCAGGTGGAGGCTTTTACTAAAAATTACCTGTAAGATGGGCAGATAGTCTTACATGCTGGAAAAGAACTTCCTAAATTCCACATCTTTTAAATATAGATTGCTTTCTTACATTCTGAGATTTTAAAATTTGTTTTCAGTTAATCTTTAATACTTATACACTGAAACTTTGCATAATTATGTAAATGAAGTTTGAACAGAACTTTGGGAAATCATTAACCTTTCAACCTGCTTATTTGGTTATTAAGATGTATAAAAACAAAACATAAGATAAAATGAACATCAGGCATTTAAAAAACCATTAAGGAAATAACAAGGACCTATTAAGATTGCATTGAGTTCACAGATGTGGACAGGAAATCCATATGAGAGCCAGTGTGGTATAATGGTTAGACTCCTAAGACCTGCCTTCTAGTCCCCACTCAGCCATGATGACTTTGGGCAGGTCACTGACCCTCAGCCCGACCTTTCTCACCTGACTGTTGTGAAGATAAAATGGGGAAGAGTGGGAGGATTATGTAAGCTTCAGGAAAATAAGATGGGATATAAATAGAATAAATACAAAAAAATCAGGCTTGTGGGTTTCTTGTGGGAAAAAGGACAGATTTATTTATTTATCCATGGGCATTTATATACCATTCATTAGCATGGAGCTCTTAGATATAAATGTATAAATAATCAGGCTTGTGGGTTGTACAGATGACACTAAGGTAGTTAATAACCAGAATGGCTTGTTAATAACTCCAGAAGTGCTAGCCCGATATATATGAACACCCTTGTTGGATACAGCTTCTTGTGTCATCTGAACCTGGTATAGGTGACTTGTTGGGATGGACAGCAAACCACTCACAACTCACAGTTGTAGGGTTATATGGTCCATGCCAAGGAGCCATGCTTGCCAGGTTCAGATGACATAAAAAGCCACAGCAGAGCTTGAAGTGGCCAGCTGGTGCTGCAACTCACTGGGGCAGGGTAATTGTGTGAACGAGGTCACTGAGGTTTCAGGGTACATCACTGACCTCCTCATCCTAATATGAATCTCTTCATTAGTGTCTGACAAAGGGCAATTTTCCCTAACTGAACTTTGTGTCTCTTTAGGGCGTTCCAGGTCCAAAAGGTGCCCCTGGGGCAAAAGGGTCACGTAGCGTGGGCCTACTTGGACCAAAGGTACTATTTAAACTTATGTAAATACATTGCACAATGGGACAATTTCAGTCTAATGGCTGTGTTTCGCAGCTGAAGAGCATTTTGTTTTATTAGTGGGTTGTGCAAATGACACTTATAGTAGGGATTTCAGAAGTGGTCTATCTACTATTATCTGTAAGATGTGGAAGAACCTGTGATAGGAAACTTCGACTGCCTGCATAGGACTTACTATGATAACACAAAGATTGATGTCAGGTGGTTCTTATCTGAGCAGGTAAGTATTGCAAGTATTTCTATTTTCCTTTGCCCAGGTAATTGAAAGAATCTACTAGTTTCTGATGCATAAGTCAAAGGAAATATGACAGGGCAATCATACATAGGTGTGACCTGTTCAAATGGGAATGAAGGAGCCTCTTCTTTACATGAGAAGGAGTATGCAGTGTGGACCAAAGACAGCTGCCAGACCTTTCCTTGCGGTGCTCAGCTACTGATACAATTTAATTAAAAAAGCAAGTCAGCTTGGGAGAAAATTGCGTAAAGCAGCAGCATACAACAGGCTAAGGCAGGGAAAGAAGGCGTAGCTTGCCTCCCCCCTTTCTGCCATTTTCCTTTTCATGCAAAGAGAAGACCCCCCCCACACACACACACACCCCAAATCATTTTGTAAGTGAACACAGTAGGCTTGCATTGAACATCCATGTGGCTGTTCTATCATGTCTACTTGATCCTTAGAAAGAGGCCTTGACATCATTATTGGAACTTCACTAGGCCTTGGACTTGAAGTCCAAAACGTCTGGAGAAAGGGAAAGGCTGATCTAACCCCTGCAGTGGTTTAGCTTCTGAGCAAAGTGATGCTGATACTGTTCTGGTCTAGTACAATCCTCTAAGAACTTAAATTCTTGTCTACCAAATAACTTTTCCCAAGTAAAAATCCTGCCAAGTATCTTTGTGATCTGAATCTATGTGACTATCTGGAAATGAAAGTGGATAAATATATGCACTCATCCTTCCAAACTCTCTTTCCTCAGACATTTTTTCTGTCAAAGATAAATAATTGCTTGAAGGCTGTTACTTCATGGGAGCAAGAGAAAGAAAACACTATTCCTTTCCCCTCTCTTTCTCTTTTTAAAAGTACTTTCTGTCCTTGATCTTTGTGAAAAACATCCACTATATCAGTGGGTGATCTCTTAAGAGCTGACCATGGCCACATTCTGACCAATGTTTATGGTTTTCTTTCAGTTGTTCTTGAGCAATTTCCTAGCCTCAAGTCAACAACACACAAGTCCGTATATTAGAATGCAATAGTTATTGTCATGAAGGGTGATGTGGACATGAAAGAAGGGACATGACACAGAATAACAGACTTAAAAGAAACCAGATTTAGACTAGACAACAGGAAAAAAATCCTGACTGTCAGAGCAGTACAACAATAGAACCTAATACCTGGGAAAGTAATCTCATTGCAGTCATTCAAAAAGCATTTGGACCATCAGCTACATGGGATGATATAACTTAGTGTCCTGTGATAGCAGAGGTTTGGATCTTATGGACCTCTGGCCCCTTCCAACTCTACTATTCTATGATTCTGGTCATGGATGGTCCTTTTAAAGTTCAGGCTGAAACTTAGAGTGGATACACTACCCCATAGCTACTGCAATGAATACTGAAACTCTTCCATCCACAGAGACTTTGCAAGGTTCTTTGTTTGCTACAAATTCAGTTGGGGAAGGATCATATCTGGAAATGAAAGAAAAATTCCTGAGTTGTAGGCTCCCTATCTTTTTTATGTAATTCAGAATGATAATTTAGAAACTCTGTTTTTATATCCATTGAGACTGTATAGATATTATTGTGGCTGTCTTTGTTCAGTGCTTCATAATTCTGATTTTTGCTTTGTTTTAACTGAAATGTGAGAATCTTGCCAGTACTTTCTCCTCTTTCCCAATACCTCTTAACAGGGAGAAGAAGATGAGATAGTGCAGTAACTATAGCTTAACTAAAGATGTCCAGATTCCCTGATACAAATTAGAATCCATGACATGTACATCACAGCAAGCATCATGGAGGATAAGGCTACTGATGAGTGAGTTCAGACGATACAATAACTCACTTTCAAGTGTTGGGTGAGTTATTGAGCTTAAGTTGTGCTTAAGTTGTCACTGAACTGTGGGTTCTTGTTGAAATGTGTTATCATGTTGTCTAAGCCCAGCTGTACAAACAAGGCATGGTTTGTCAACAATGAGTAACTTGTGAAGAAACTATGATTTGTTGTTGTTGTTGTTAACTGTGGGTTGTTTGTAGTTAAAACCTTCATTTTGTTACTGTGGCTCAGTTCAGATAAGACAATAACATATATTTCAACCCACAGTTCAGCAACAATACACACAACCTATATTCAGTACCTGAGTATGGGTTATTGTGTTGTCTGAACCCATTCAGTGGCTAGTTCTCACGATGGCTACTGCTATATATTTCCTTCAGTTTCTGAAGCAGTATGCTAGGGAACATGAAGGGAAGGGTGCTGTGGCACTCATGTCCTGCTTCTGGGTCTCACCTCGGGGTATCTGGTCGTCCATGGTACAAAGAGAAAACTTAGGTGGGCCTTTGATCTGATTTATCAAGGCTCTATTTATGTTCATAAACATCTGGAAATGCCCAAGAGACCACAAAGTCTTTGACAGTTCTGAATAAAAAAATAAACAAAGTACCAAATATTATACCAAGTAAGAGAAAATGTTTGTACTTAATGTAAATAATGTGTTATTTCAAGGGACAAACAGGTGCACCTGGGCTGAAAGGAGATATGGGAGCACCAGGAATTGGGCTACCTGGACCTAAGGTGAGCTTGTTTTGCATACACAACTAAAATTGCTTTCATTCATGCCCAGGGAAATGGATTCCCCAAACTCTCTTTCAAGATGTTGTCCAGCAACCACTTCACAGTAAGCATTGCTTCTTGTGATGGTTTTGGAATCACAAGACCCAGACCCAGAGTTCTAGACCTGAATATGAAACTGATTGCCACTGCAGCAATGACCAATGCCAATGGAAGTATCCATTAAATCATCGCTTTATTAATTGCACCATGTCTGATAACAGTGCTAACTCCAGGAAGTGGAAGTCCATGGACAAGATGCCTTCAATGAGTCCCCTACCTGAATAGGTCCATCTTTACCTTCCCTGTATCATTATTGACCATGGACTTGCATTCTATTTCTTGAAGTCTCCTAACTTGTAAAATGTCCAGAGGGAAATGAAGTAAATGAAGGCTGCTGCTCTTTCTCCTCACTCTGGTCACAGCTTGCATGATTGGAGTGGCAGATGACCAAGGACCATGGACCACAAGGAAGAAGAACCTACCCATGGGTAGTTTCCAAGGGTAGACAGTACACCTCAACATCCCAGTGTTTATTGTCAGTATCAATATAAATTCATGTATATAAATAAGTCAAAAGAAGCAACACTTTCCTCTTCAGCAAGTCTACAGAACGCTGGGATGCAGAATGAATGCTGGGATTTATAAATGCACCCAAATAGAAATAATAAAGTTTCCTCCCAAATTAATCCAACTGTGTGTTGAAAGCTGGTTTGTATTTCTATTCAAAGGGAGAGCCAGGAAGACCAGGATTTCCTGGAGAAAATGGAAAACCAGGATTATCAGGAATAGCAGGGAAAAAGGTAAGACAATTTTGTTTGTTGTACATATAGATAATAGTTTAAAACACAAAGTCTAGTGCACTCTTTCTCTACACTAACTTGGTACAAGGACTGATGCATTCAGGTTTGGACAGGCCAAATCTTAGTTGTGCCACTTGTCATTTTGGCTTTAAGAGTTTGGATAAAAATTCAATGCACCAATTATAGCATCCTCCTCTGACAGCCACTTTACCTGAAAAACTGAACAGTGGAGTCAGGGAAAATAACTCAAAATCAAATGACATGGGATAGCTAAAGGCCCACATTTTCAAACTTAGCTGGTCCTTCACACCTAAAGCAAAGGATTACATGCAGTGGAAGAGCAAAGGAGTGTTCAGGGAAATTTTATCCTGGTAAGTTCCTTCCTTTAGCCAGCCTCTGATACTGGAAATGAACCTGGCTGGCTAAAGGCAGCTGGGGAGGGGGACTGCTGGGGGGAAATTCACAAGCAGGGTGAGGATTTAAGTCCATGCCAGTTCCTTTGCTGTAAAATGCACCCTGCAAAATCGGGTGAGTTCACTTTGAAAGACACTGGTCTGCTGTTGTGGCTGATAGTTTAGGCCTAAAATATTCTGGTGTTCATGTTGTTTCAAGTTCATGCTAGGAGGAAATGAAATGTGACAGCTTCAGCAAGAAGTGGTAACAGAGGCACTTGCAAGCAAATTTCCATCTGTTATTTTATAATAAAAGTAATCTTATAGGTGCTTCCACCACCCCTAGTCAGGAAATATAAGCCCAAGACCAGAACAAGAATGCTGGATTCATCTTGTTCAGCATCCTTCTTTCTGCAGCTGGAAAGCCTAAAACAGGATTTGAGTGCAATAGCACACTCTTGTTCGTGTTACCCAGCATACAGCCTCTAATATTAAAGGTAATAATGGCCATTGGTAGCCATTGATCATCATACCCTCCACAAATTTGTCTGATCCCTTTTCAAAGACATCTGATTGGGGCATTAGCACATCCTGGGAAGCAAATCCCATAGTTTACTTATGTGCTTTCTGAAGTACTTCCTTTTGACTGTCAGGATTTCCCCACCATTCCAGTTCATTGGGTGATCCCAAGGATCTAGTCTACCCAGGGAGGCTCCAGTGATACCTATTCTGATGTTTTGTTGGCATCAGGCATACAGAATCCAACCGGATAGACAGTTGACTTTTGCTTCAATATTCTGAGGATTTTAGAGGACTAGCTTTTGAATTCACGGGAAATGGAAAGGCTGCTGATCCCTCCAACCAATATTTGTTGCCAGAAGTAGTTGTCTTGCTTTACCTAATAGTAGGGCCAATCCAACCCTACTGTGAAGACTCTTAGTTTCCCCAGGTCTTCTAATCCTCATGGTGGACTATGCTATTGACTTTTAAACTTTATGCTATTTTCTACTGCTGAGTCTTTCCAGTTTTAATTTGTTTTCTTTTCATTGTGTTTTATTGTTTTTATTGAAATGCATGTAAGCCCGGTAAAAGGATTTCATTGAAGTGTGACCTAAATGTACAAATACTGTATGAAGTATTATCCTTATTTATATCAGGGAGACCAAGGATTGCCTGGTCCAAGAGGCCCAGAGGGAATACCAGGAAAAGGAGACATTGGTCCAAAGGTATGAGTTATTAGATTTGCTTTGGAAATGTAAAGGGGAGTTAGATTCCTTCATGAATGACTGCTTGATATCCCCTAGTATAAATGCTTTCAGTACAAGAGAGCCAGCCTGGCATGCTGATCAGGGTAATATGAATCCCAAGGATACCCACACCTTAGTCCCAACCCTAAGGAAACTTCCATGGAAGACATTTGTTCAAGCCCATCAACATTGCAGACAAAAGATCTGAGAAAGTTACGCTGCTGGGAAGGGAAGGTTCGGGTCAACCCTACCTAACTTGCATATTGCTACAACTCTGTAGGGGCAAAACCCCACCAAATACAAGGATTTTTTTTGCAAGCCTAAATCCAGCAAGGAAGAGTGATTTCCCTGGGGAGCTTGCAATTAGAGCTGGATTTCTAAAAATGCTAGTACTAGCATCTACCCTGCCTGTTCCAGTTTTTATTTCATATGCAGAGGGGCTTACACTTTCTTTCTCCAACTGCAATTCTGACAAAAAAAATGCCCCATTTGCCAGGCAATAAGCTTTTTTGGGAAAAATACTCCTATTGGCATTTTATCTGAGTTTAATTGCAGTAGAAGGCAGAGAGACCATGGCTAGGGAAAGAAGTGTTAAAATTCTGCCTCCCTGTGCTGAGATCCTGATGGAAATTGGGCTGTCATGCCCAATTTAACAAGCAGAATTAGTTGCTACCTAGGTATCAAAGTTGTGTCTAGCTAGACCCTGAATCTGGTGGGGTTTCTGACACTACAGAGAGGTACTTACATGCTTACACAGATAGCGAAGTGGCTTTGTGCAGGTTGCAAGTAGAGGAAATGCCATTCTCTCTGCCAACACATACTTGTCCAGGATGCAGTTTGTGTCTCAAAAGGGCTCTAGATAAAAAGGTGAGTTACAATCCAAAAATGCTCATGCTACTGAAAATTAAAAACAATGTTTTCACTGAACATGAAATGCAGGCTTTTGTTCCAACTGGAAAAAAGTTAATTTTCCTCTTGCAGAATCCTTAATGGAATAATCAGAGGCAGGCTTTAATGTATACCTGTCCTGGGCATTCTGACCAATTCTCCTCATGGACTATTATTCCTGGAGCTGTCCCTACAGACAGCTTTTCTGCATGACTCATTTATCTGGCACTTCTTGTTCTCTATCCATAGTTCTTTACAACTTTGATGTTATGAACTTCCAGTTTTGTTTCTGTGTATAAAGAGCATTTTCAGGAAGGAGAAAGAAAGAGCAGAGAAAATGTGGCATTTATTTGTTAAAGTGAAAGAAAGCGCAATTTTCTCCTGTGCATTGTAGTATCCTCAAGTGCTATCTAGAGGTTATGCAGAGGAAAAGGGAAAGGAAGCCTGGCCATGTAGTACTGCAACCGCAATTCAGCGAGCAAACCTAAAGCAGATAGAACAGATTAGGTGCTGATTAACAGCCTTGTGTGAAAAAGCGCTCTGTCCCTCCCACTGTACCCAACTTAGTTGGAGCCACTGACTAGTGGCACCATTACAACTGGACTTTGGGGCAGATATCCAGGGTCCCACTCAACAGACTGAGGTGATTTCATTTCTGTACCGCCCAATAGCTGAAGCTCTCTCAACAACAGTTATGACAAAATGTTTTGACCGAGTGAAGCAATACACATTAATATCTACAGAATGTGGCCCTATAAGATCATGAAGCCCAGAGTCTAAAATGATACCCTCATTTTCCCTTACTACTGTCACTTCTCAGCCCAGCCTTTCACCCGTACCATTGCACAGGTCGGGCGGTAACAGGTGAGCTTCTTGGAAAAGTCTAGCATCCCAAAGACATCTTGATGAGACACAAATGAATTCTTACCTAGTTAAAGAAGTTGTCTGGATCTGTAAGAAAATATCCATGATAAACAGTCAGGCTATTCTTTTATTAGAGCATTGCCCAGGCAGCACAGAGGCCTGTGACATGCTAGGAGTTGTAGAATCTTTTTCTGCCTAAATATGCAAAGGATTGCACCATTATTTAAATATCTTAAGACTTATTTCTGAGTAGGCATTCATAGGATTGTGCTTCCAATTGCATTGGGCTTTAGTAGTTGCTCTGCAGTTTTCAAGGAGAACATCTGACTGCTGGGGCAAAGAAACAAATAATGACTGATTCATGTGCTTCCATTATCTATGTATGTAATCTATCTCCATCCCTCTGTTGAATTATTCAACCACCTCAGGTGAAAAGAACTTTGTATTGGAATCTTTTTATTTGCTTATTTTTCGTCAGGGTGAAGATGGACAAAAAGGGGCTCAAGGACTAGATGGTCCAAAGGGTAATCCAGGGTCTCCAGGACCAAAGGTATGATTGGTTGATTTCTCTGTGTTGTCATTCTGCAGTGGTTCTGTAGCATCACTTTCTATTAGTATTTGAGTTTTCCATGGTGTCACATTGCAATTTGGGGCCAAAACAGGTATTTCTTTAGAGATGTAGCTATCTCTCTTAAGCTATATCTTGCCTTACTTTTGACTCCAGAGTAGGCATGAAGCACCTGTGCAGGCTGGAACTTTAGTGTAGGGGGTACAGCTGTTTAACCCATCTGATATTTCTTTTGCAAAATAGTAATCTGTTTGGTCATGTATGTGAGAAATTGTATGTGAGAAACTGAGACTGTAGCACTACAAGAAGGCAATAAGTTTTTTACATTTGACAAGGTATATATTTGTGTGTGTGTGTGGTATGGAAGACAGCAATAATGGAAACGTTGTCATACACATTACAGGTTATGAGAGGCCAATGAAAGTTTGATTATTTCCAGGCTCTTTGGATGCAATTTATTGAATATACTAACGTAACTGAATATAGGAAGACAGTGCCAGCAAGTTATGAATCATTAGGGTTCTCATAACAGCTTCTGTATTGCCAACATGCATCCTGAAGGACTTTAGATTTTATGTAACCCAATCTGGTGGTGGGAGGGGAAGAGGTTGCAGTTAATGTTAAATGTGTATTTCCAAATTGTTTAGTTTTGAAAAATAGAGAAGTGTTTGTGTGTGTGTGTGTAGACACAGAGAGATGCATTTAAAACCAACTGCGGTCAGGATGCTTTCATTCAGAAAACTAAGATGACCCTTGAAGACCTTTCTAAAGCTGCAATTTTATGAATTCAGAAGATATAGAAAGGGTTGGATCCTGACCCACTGAAAGCAATAGGACATAGGTTAATCATGACTTATTTAACCCCTATTTATTCCAATGGGACTGCATGTAGCAGTGAGAGCTAACTTACTGGATATCTGCTAGTTTCATGCTGTCCTTAGAAAATAGGTCCTCTTGGAAGAGGCTATTAATCTGCAACTGCCCTGCCTTGTTCCTGGAATGTTATGGGTGGGTCCAGACAATGATGCCTTTCACTTGTAACCTTCTCATATTTCCCTACTACTTCCATCTTCTATTTCCATTTCCACAGCACAGCTGCACAATGGCTTTGACTATTAGTACTAGGAACCCTTCATTTGGGAGCACCCAAACTATTTCATGATTCCTTGATTTTTTAATGAAAGTCTATTGTCCTTAAAGGCAGCTCATTAAAGCAAACAACATAAACATGAAGTATAAATAAATCCCCTTGAGAAACTATACAGGAATAATAGGTATGGACTTCTTGCCACTGTATTGGATGTTGCCAACAACACATACATAATGGATGTATTGGATATCCAAGTGCCATGAGCAAGAATGCCTTTCCTTTCAGGGTGAACCTGGAATCAAAGGCACAACTGGTAACCCTGGACCTTCTGTTCGTGGACCACCTGGTGATAAGGTCAGTGATGTGTTGAGCTTGCACCCTTGAAGGAACCCTTGGTACCAAGTTAGTCCACTGAGCCATCCAACTGAGTACAGTCTATGCTGGGTGCAGAACTAGTGACTGCCACCCGGTCCCCCACAGGCTGTATGTCAGGGGTCTCTGCCTATTTCAGAGGTGTGGGGCCACTGCAGAAAAGGCTTCCTCTCATGTGTTCATCCAGTTAGTTGCCCTCACAAGTGGTCAAGTGAAAAGGGCCTTAAACCTCTCACTGCCTGTAGCTAAGTTTCAGGGAGAGGTATGTTGACCTTAGCTTCCTAGCGTTTCAGACAGGAACCTTTCCCAGCCCTACTTGGCAATGAATTTTCCGTGCAAAGCAGGTTATTTCTCACTAAGCTCTGACTCCACCTAAGACATTGTGTGTACCCGTTTGCACAACTAACGGTTACTCTTTCCATTCCTTTCCTGCCAGAATAACATGCAAAAATATTTCCTTCCTACTGTGCAATTTTCTCATAGGTGTAGCTGATCACTCCTCTTGGCAGGTATCCCAGGAATTCTGAAGGGGAACAGGACCTTGAGACAGAGATGGGAGGTTTGGGAGACCAAGCCTTTGAAGCACCCTCATTTCACCACCCACAGGTTCCCAGTCTGGCAGGAGAGTGGGAATATTTTGGAAGGGCCAAGAGGGGTTGAAGGAAAGGAGAAGGAGGAGTCCTTTTCTTCTCCAGTCCAGGAAGCCATGAAGAGGCATCAGGGGAGATGTACGCCCAGTCAGAGGGCTTGCACTGGTCTTGCCAGCTGGCCCTTCAACGGTGAGGCCACCCTGCTTGGAGCCTCAGAGTCACCGAAAGCAAATGACTTTGGGGAGAAGTCCCTAGTTTGGATTCAGCAGTTGCTCCTAGTATGTGCAGAGGCTTACCTTCCAGCTACCTGGGGAGCTTAGAGAATTATTTTATCTTTCAGCTATGAAGTGTCAATAAGCTATCTGTTTTGCAAAGGGGTGGTCTGGTGTTTGGAGCTCTGGGGCAAGAGGGTGCTCACAGCAGCAACTTCCAAAAGGAGCTTTTCTCAGAGCATAATTTTAGAACCTACAGTTGCTCAATATTTTGCAGAATATCACCCTAACTTGGTACTTGCCTCCAAGACAGGACATATATCTGAATGTGTGTCTTCATGTACATATTTAGGGGGATCAAGGATATCCAGGACCTCCTGGAAATGATGGAAATCCTGGACATGCAATCGTGGGGCCCAAGGTATGCAATTTAAAATAAAATAAAACAATGGGCAAGTAAGATAAATATATATATATATATAGTTTTGTGAAGAAATATGAAGCTCCTTTAAATGACTAAATGGTAACAGGCCAGGTTCCTTTGATCTCTTGTGGTGACCTGCTTCAATCAATGGAGGCTTATAAACCATGGCTTTTGAATGAGTTTTGCTGGGGATGAATGTCAGGATTTGAGCATTCCTTCCCTTCTCTCTTCTGGGGCTGGTTGGGTCATGAAGATCCTGGCTTGTATTAAGCCAGAATTCTACCTTATACATGTCCAAACCAGTAATTAACAAACCAGAAAAACAAGCCAGGAGCTTCCCGCCCCCTCTATTGCTTGCCTCTAATTATTTACAAACTGAAGCTAGGCATTAGTCTCCTGCTTCCAAACACTTTCATGTGACATCCACTCTTGAATGTGAACTCTTGAGGCTCAGCACAAGCAAATTTTCCCCCTTTAAAGCCAAATAAGCCCTTCTCCCTGCAGCCACCACTCTACTGAATATTGGTGGTAAACAACTGGTTTCCTTTCAAGAGATTTTTTTTTCTGCTGCCGCCATCAAATGTGGGTGACATGAAAGTGATGGAGGTATCAGTGCAGCCCTTGGTCAGTTCTGGGTGACGCATCAATCCAATCCTTAGACATTGCCCACCCCTGCTCTTGGGATTTCAAATCCCCTGGTTCATTCATTTCATACATTGGCTTCTTCTATAGCAGACCACATTTTGCTGGTATTTTTGCTGTCCCTTTTATGTGCTTTCCAAAAAAATCACACTGGCTTTGGGCCAAGCTACCTATGACCTGACATCATGATAATGGGTCTTTGTACAATGTGCAGGATTGGGGTTTTTTTTAATGCAAATTCTATCAGCTGCAGGGCTGATGATTAAGTAGACAAATGCAGGCATGGAGAATTTAACCCTTAAGATCATAATGCGTGGAAATGTGAATTTTGTGAAAAATACGTTAGCATTTTCTATAATTTTTTGTGCAGTTTTTGTAAATCATAGATTGATGTAAATTTGAGTTTAAAGAGATTTATCAGTGAATGCTTGTGAAACTGACATGGATCAGCAATAGATTGATTTATTTCTCCTTATGGTAGGTATTTGGTTAACCACATAGAAAGGTTTGACTGGTGATGCACTTAAGCAATGGGGGGAGGGGAGACTTTTTAGCTGGGTCTTGGTTTTCCAAATTTGCCCAAAGATGTAGACTACTATATGTGTCAGTCAATGAGCATTTATGATTCATATGCACTTTGTGAACCATAGCACAGAATGGTTACTGTATTGGCCTTAGAAATATTCCAGTAGTGTTGTGATGGTAATAATTTTGACATACTAGTTTTATATGTATAGGGTTTAATATTATGTGTGGGGTATTTGAACATTTTATCACCTTCCTGCAATCTTGCAACAGCACAGCTGAGCATGCAACAGAAGAAGTCCTGATTGTGTGTTTCCCATATAAGCATGTGAAATGAAATTGCTGGAACACACTGTATTCTAATACCAAGAGGAAGAGACTGGATGAAATTCTTAGATCTTAAGAGAAGGGTATTGTTAACCTATTCTGGATGTTAGCTAAGTGGAAACATATGTTTGGCAACTCTTTCCAGCACAGGAATTTGGAAGTCAAAATACAGATTGCTCCCAGATTTCCTTCGTTATTGAAGGAATTAATAGAGAAACTATTTGATATGTTAAAACATTGCCAAACATCCAAAGCGCTCTTTTCAGCACATTTGAGGATGCAAGACACATCCAACAGGACTTCTGTTCCCCATCTACTCTCAACAGTAGCCTCTTCAGGGCTGTTTCATATAGCAGCTCTCCTCATCTTGACATTCTCCAGATTGTGCTGGACTGCAACTTCCATCGTCCCCAGGCAGGAATGGACATCCCAGCCAGGAATATGGGAGGCATAGTCCAATGTATCTAGCGGGAACCAGGGTTACCTTTAGATGAGGCTTTTATTGTACAATGACTATGTCTCAAACATGGTTCTTTTCTGGGAGGGTGCTGGTCCTTCCAAGCTTCATCTGTCTTTTGTTTTTCCACCATTTCTTTCCATCTTGGTTCTTACTGCAAGAATTCTGTTAAGAATGACAAGTTGGGGCATCTGCATGGTGCAGCATAGTTGGTCAGTGGCCAGAAGTGCTCCTTAGCTGCAGTTGATTGGTCACCAGCTGTGGTCTTTCCTGGCTAAGGATTGTCTGGCTGTGGTGCTTCAGCCTCTGTCAACCTCCTGAACAAACTACTGCAATGAGCTTTCTCCAAGCTGTTGTCCCTCCAATGTTTTGGATTCCCACTCCCAACAGTCCCCATGAGCATGATCAATAGCAAGGCATGATGGGAGGATTGGGCCAAAGCATTTGGAAGTCACCAAGCTGGGGACACTCAGCTGCAATGCCTTGTTCTGTTCTTGAAGACAGCCCATGAGCTTCATAGTGCTGGATGTAGCTGCTGCAGAGTTTAAAGTGCTGCCAGGTGGGATCCCATTACACCAGTCCAGAGGGGGCTGCATCAGTCACTTACCAGCTACCAGGCCAAAGTGCTGGTTTTGACGTTTAAAGCCCTCCATCTCAAAGAACATCCCAGCTTGCCTGTATCTTAAATTCTGCATTGATCTCCTCAAAGTACTCTGGCCCATCATGTTTTAGCAAGACAGAGTGCCTCAGCTGATGTTGTTTGTGGAATCCCCTTCTCACAGAAGTGTGACTGACATCAACTTGATGTATCTTTTCAGTACCAGGTTAAAACTTTCATTTTAGCTGACCAGTTGTCTATTTTACTGCCTTTTAAATTGTTGTATAACTGAACAGGACTGGATTCTGTTTTGTTTTTATTGTATTTTAGGATTATAATTCCACTGTGAGGTCCTGTTTCACTCAGTGCCCTTGTTTGAACAGAGAATGGTTTAAACATCCATTAAAAATATACCATTACTATGACAGTTCTAGGAGCTGTCCATGTGAAAGCATACTGAAGGCATACTATGTGATGTCCAGCTATCACCCTGTGTACTTTTGAACAGGAATTTACAGGAATGGGGGACTTCTTTGTCGCATGCATCATCTGCATGTTGTGCTGCTGACTTGCATTCTCATACACTCAAGTCAAACCCCGTCCGTGTTTGGAGTTGATGGTGTCATATGGATGATTTATATGAATGCTTATGATTTGCATTTAGGGTGCTCAAGGCTCAACTGGGCCACCAGGACCTCCTGGAGCTAAAGGAGATGGCTTTCCAGGTCCATCAGTAAGTTTACTTTTCAAATAATTCATTTTATAAGTAAGGGTAGGAAACTATCTTCAGCATCTAAAAAGTTTGATGGATTCTATGACTAACAGAGCATCTTGGTCTTCCTCCAAGTGCCACCTCTTCTTAGCAGTGGCCCCTCATTTGGAATTATCTGTCCACTGAGGCCCACCTGTATGAACTCTGTTATCCTTTCAGTGCCAGGTTAATCCTGCCTTCTTCCCTAAGGTGTTCAAGAGCATATGGGGGTATTGGGCTGGTTTTGTTGAAATTACCTTAGCCACTCCAATCATTTAACTGTTAATGGTTTATTTGATCAGGCTGGATCCTCTATTCTATTCTATTCTATTCTATTCTATTCTATTCTATTCTATTTTTGTATTTATGTATGTATGTATTTTTTGTATTTTATATGCAATTTTAATGATTGTAAGCCGCCCAGAGGCTCATGCGATGGGGCAGCATATAAGTTGTTTAAATAAATAAATAAATGTAAAACTCTGTTTTAAATTTTGTGTACTGGAATTTTAGGCTGCTTTATTGTGCTTCCAGTTTATGTTTTATCAGACATTATTAAGAACTGGCAGAGAGTTTCAGCTATTGGACAGCATAGAAATGAAATAAATAAATAATAGTAATGATAATTCCTTTTTTAAAAATATGTATGACTGTATTACCACATTTTCTTTCTAACCTGCCCATTTCCCTCTTGTGAGGAACCCAAGGCAGCTTACCTAGTCCTCCTTTCCTTCATTTTAACCTCAGAACAAACCTGTGGGGTAGATTGGTTATTGGCCAGAAATCACATAGTCAACTTCATGGCCAACTGCGGATCAGAGCCCAAATCTTTCAGGTCCCAGTCTGACATGCTGATTACTATGCCACACTGGATCTCAATAGAGCTGCTTTATACCAAGTCTGCCCATAGGTCCCTCTTGTCTACAGTGGCCCAGTTTACTATAATGGCGTCAAATCTTCATTAATTAATCTGTGGTGTGCTGGGCATGCTCAGACATCCTAAGACAACCAGGATACTATAGGTTAATTATGAGTTAAACAACCCACAGTTATCCTATAGTTAGTACTTCAATTCGTCTGCTTAGAGGTTAAATATTCAAAAAGGCTGTGGAATATGCTTGGCTAAGTAACCCACAATTTGCTGCCAGTGTGGGCAAACAGGGCCTTTCCCAGCTTTCCCTTCTCCAGAGAAAGCAGCCATTTTACCACCATGCCATGCCTCCGCACTGCAAAAATCCCATTGTTAGATCCTTGTCCTTAAATTCTGTGAGATTAATCTGCTGGTATTTTTCTATTGCTGTTCTAGGGTCTTCCAGGAGTACCTGGTCCTCCGGGCCCAAGAGGCCTTAAAGGAGCTGGCGATCCAGGGGCAAAGGTACTCATGTGGTGGTGATAGTTACCTTTTAAATTATAACTCTGTCATCAAGTGGCTCTGATAAATTATATGTACTCATAGAAGCCATATTTCTCCTGACATGAACTTGGAAGAATGTTGACCTGTTATGAGAAATTGTATCTATCAAAACTCTCCCTTGAGTGCAAATATCAATGACAGAAGAGTCTTACTTTGCTTGATAACTTGACAATTTTCAACTTTTCTTTCTCTTTCTCTCTCTGCATGTGTCTATTCATGTCCAGATCTAATATCCCATGTAGAACAATGTAATTTTGTAGCAGCATTTTGCTGTGAGGTTAAATAAGGGAACTGAAACTAATCACAGCTAAACCATAGAATAAAATCTACATTTCAGTATGCTTGAGTTCTTTGGTAAGCTACTTTCAAGGCTTCTAAATACTCCTATTCCCAAGTGAACAAAACAGTTTAGGAATTTATCAAAGCACAGTAATAAATCATTGTTCATTCTCTGGAGAATTTTCTGGCAACTCAAACCAGTTTGGTATTGTCCTCATGGTTTCACATAAGAATTTTAATCATGTTGTCTCATTCTGAGAACTAGAACAGTTAAAAATGGATGCAGCAAGTTCTCTATTCATTTATTTAGATGAATGCAATGTGCATTTATATATATATATATATATATATATATATATATATATATATAAAATTTTTAAACTAACACTAAAAAAAATCAAACATCACAAACATTGGATTCAGTGGGTCAACCTCCTACTACATATTTTTTAACATTCTAATATCAAATTCAAGTTAATTTATCATAGCTTGAAAAACATCTCTAAATTTACGCCAAGTCCCGTTTCTCCAGCCAATTATAAAAAGAGTCCCAAGTTCGATAGAAATCAGTATCCTCTTTCTCCTTCAACGATAAAGTCAATCTATCCATTTCTGCACAGTCCAAGATCTTTCTTACAATCAATCCATCGGTGGGCAGCTCCTCACTTTTCCAATATTGAGCAAATGCAATCCTTGCCGCTGTGATTAGATGCAACATCAAATAGATTTCCTGTCTGTTAACATCTTCTGGTAAATGCCTAACAAGAAAACTTTGGGTTTAAAAGTAAAGGGTTTTTGTAATATTTCCTCCATCCATCTATGTATTTTAATCCAGTACTTTTTTGCCTTATCACAAGTCCACCACATATGATAAAAAGTAGCCACTTTATGTTTACATTTCCAACATCTATTTGACATATTTGGAAACATCTTAATGTGCATTTCTATATGGAACCACCATCTCATGGGATTGAGGAATGAATTACCTAGATGTTTCTCAATAAGGGGTTTGAACCTCTTTCAGCTTTTGGGCTTTGGGGGGCATGGGATTACAGCAGTACTATTTAAGTTGCTCACTAATTGTACTTTAATTTCCCCTCCATCAAATATAACAGGTGAAATATTTGTAATGCACTGGGACAAAGAATTAACATGGGACATTTTTTAGCTTTGTTTATGGAGTACAAGTGAAGTAACTATGCTAAGTTACATTTCCCTAGGGAAATGTGGGCAACTTGTGGCCCTCTGAAAGTTTAGACCACAACATGATTCCTCTGCTCTGGAGTATCAAAGCATTTTCTGATGCAAACTGAAGATTTTTCTATGCAATTGATCATATTGGATTAATTTTCATTAGAAAATTTGCTGATACAAATGGATTTTTTTCTGTATAAATAACCCCATGCAAATTGAGCAAATTTGATTTGGAAAAATTTCTGATTCAAAAATTTCCAGAAAACCCCATACTCTAAAACAGAGTAATGGCCCTTCCCTGGCAAGTAAGTACAGGGTACAGACTGTATCTGAGGGCAAAAAATACTCTTTGCCTGTCTTGCATTTGGTATTTGATTTCATCTTGCAGAATATTTATGAAATAAATCTAATGCTTGCATATAAGTAAACTTCTTATTTTCTCTGTAAAAGGTAGAAGAGAGATATTACTAAACAATTTATAGACTCTCCAGAAAGCATGTATTGCATATAGTTATTGCCACTGATACCTTCTTACAGAAATTTGGTAGCAAATTTCATTAGCATTTATTTTCTATACTACTGGCATTTTGAAAGGGAAAAAAATAGGTCCAGTAGGTCTTTTCCCCACCTACCACCCCCATGCCCATCTTTAATTTAAACAACACTGTTCTAATCTCTATGTATTTAAAAACAGCTTTGTTTAACCGGAGAGCCCTTTAGTAATAAATTTACATGTGTCAAGCTGGAATTCAGCTAAGTATCACTGGGTCAGAATGTTCCCTAAAGCTCAATTGGAGCTCTGTTCTTTTGATTTGAGAGATTGCTCACATATGTGCACTGCACAGAAGAGGAATTTTATGTAACAGAGGCCCAATTCACACAAAACCGCCTGTGGGATGCATGGGCATCAGCCTTACTGTTGCCCCAGCCTTACTGTTGTCTATGGGGTAGACACCAAGTGCAAAGGAGCACAGTTGCAATCACAACTGGACAGAAAATGCATGTCAATGCCACTCTAAAGCTGGCTTTTACAAAAGACATGGCCTAGATTCTTACAACTGTATGGAAAACCTGCTCCACTATTCCAAGTAAATACCAAGCAAGGACTGAAACCACCAACACAGTCCCTAGAGACAAGGTAGCACCAGCTGCAGGAACAGTATTTTTTTAATCCCTTGGTCTGCTGAACTCCGGCTAACCTTCATCAAAGAGTTGGGTCAGTGCCAGCTCCAGGTTTCGGAGGTGCTTGGGCAAGGCAGTCCCAGTGGGCCCCTTCTTTCAACATGCTTATCTTCTCCCCACCATCGTACCAGCTGCTGTGCCCCCCCGCTTCCTCAACACTGATGCAATTTGCTTCCTTGGCAGGCAGGAAGCCAATAGGCCATGGCATCCACTGCTCCTTCCTCTCATCTCCACCGCCTTAGCCAGAGGGAAGGGCAGGTAAGGGGTCAGATTACAGTGCTGAAGAAGAGAAGCAAATCCAGATGACTTCCGTCACGGGGTTCCTGCTGTGATGTGGGACCTTAGCAGGTGCCCAGGCATGCTTTGAGACTGGCTATTCCTCATCCCTGGTGTTTTATCAATCTCACACATATTTGCCATTCCGCAGTGTAACTCTGGGCAGGCCTGGGAATTATTAAAACATCAGTCTAATAAATGCTTATAATTTTCAAGTCATAGCATATTTTCCATCAATCCGATCTTGCACACCTAAGAACCCAAACATGTTATATTTGAGAGCATAATGTACTTTACACACTCTTCTGATAAAAGAACAAGCAAGGGAACTGGAAGCAACTGAATGTGCAAAAGCACGTTACTCTGAACCTGGATCAAGCAATATTCGGTAGTTCTGCACTGACTGTGTCTCTGCCAGTCATCCGATGCAGACTGCACACTTCAGATTCAATAAGCACAGGCCAAACTCATGTACTGGATTCAAATGTGATTCTCTGATTTTGACCTAGGCATCAGATTGGCTGTCACTACAGGAACATAGCATAGTATAGATGTGGGACAGCAAGATTTGAAGGCATCCTCCAAGTCTGTTTGGAGGCTAAAGAACCAACTTTTTTGCAAAGCTTTGCCCTCTTTTCTGATAACATACTTCCTCTTATTGGCAGAGGCCAGATTTGCATGATCTCCATAATCAGGCTGCTTTCCCCTCCAACTAGCATTACCTTCTTGGCTTTGGATGACATGATAAGGCACTGTGGGGTTGATCACCTCGGCCAGCAAATGTCCTGGGCCATTCTCTCTCCTGCATTATTTGTTTAGGAATTAGTAATGTTTATTTACTACCTTACTTGCTAAAAAGCCATCAAAGCAGTGAACACGAATTCAATCTAACTAAATACAGTAAAAATACTTGAGCTGGTTTTTGCGCAAGAACAACCCATAATACTGATTGAATAGAGTATTATTGACTTGTGGGTTGCTGTTATATCATAGTTTGTTGCTATATACCAGTGGTGGTGAACCTATGGCACATGTGCCACAGTGGGCACGAAGAGCCCTCTCTGTTGGCATGCGACCCAAGTCGCACCTGCATCATCCCAGCAGCCGAGCATTGGATAATAACACAGATAGGGGGGATGTGCATGCTCAGAAATGATTTCACGAGCCACGAGTCATTAGTCGCGACTCATCCAAGCTTTCGCAAGTCTGGTCAGTGCACTGCCAAGTATATACATATATTTGCTTGGACTGGCTATGAGGTGATTTTTTGAAACTAAAACCTCAGTTTTCAGGTTTTATTGTGGTGTTGGCACTTTATGATAAATAAGTGGATTTTAGGTTGCGGTTTGGCCACTCGGTCTCTAAAAGGTTTGCCATCACTGGGTTAGGGTTAGGAAAACGAGGTGTCCTGGCATGATTTTGATGGTTAGAATGGGCAGAAATGTTGAGCAGTGCAGAAAAAGCTACCCAAGGAAGGCTTTTTCAAAATCACGCTCTTTTCCATGGAACTTTACCCCTATATTAGGGTTAGGGGTGTGCACCAGGGTAGGGTTAGGGTTAGAAAAACGAGGTGTCTTGGCTTTGTTTTGATGGTTGGAATGTGTTTAGAATGGGCAGAAATGTTTAGCAGTGCAGAAACAGCTGCTTAAAGAAGGCTTTTTCAAAATGTTCTTATTTTCAATGGTATTTAATCCCTACATTAGGGTTAGGGGTGTGCACCATGGTAGGGTTAGGGTCAGAAAAACGAGGTGTCCTGGCATGATTTTGATGGTTGGAATGTCTTTAGAATGGGCAGAGTTGTTGAGCTATGCAGAAAAAGCTACTCAAGGAAGGCTTTTTTCAAAATTGTCCTATTTTCCATGGTATTTTACCCCTGTATGAGGGTTAGGGTTGTGCACCAGGGTAGGGTTAGAGTTAGTAAGATGAGGTGTCCTGGCATGATTTTGATGGTTGGAATGTCTTTAGAATGTGCAGAAATGATGAGCAGTGCAGAAAACCTTACTTTAGGAAGGCTTTTTCAAAATCGCCCTCTTCAATGGAACTTTGCCCTCTATTAGGGTTAGGGCTGTGCACCAGGGTAGGGTTAGGTTTAGAAAAATGAGGTGTCCTGGCATGATTTTGATGGTTGGAATGTGTTTAGAATGGGCAGTAATGCTGAGCTATGCAGAAAAAGCTACTCAAGGCAGACTTTTTCAAAGTCGCCCGCTTTTCCATGGTGTTTTATCCCTATTTTCAGGTTAGGGGCGTGTATCAGGGTAGGGTTAGGCCAATGGTGACAAACCCATTGCATGCATGGCACAGAGGGCAAGCAGAGCCCTCTCTGTCAGCATGCAAGCCAAGTCGCCCCAGCAGCTGAGCATCAGATAACTTTGCACATAGGAGCCATGCGCATGCTCAGACATGAGTAGCGGTGCCAGGCGATAATTTCACCAGCTGCAAATCAGTAGCTGTGACTTGTCCGAGCTTTCACATGGCCAGTCAGTGCACTGCCAAGGATATATATATATATTTATATGCTTGGACTGGCTTTGACATTTGTTTTTCTAAACTTAAAAACTTCCATTTTCAGGTTTTATTGTAGTGTTTGCATTTTACGAAAAATAAGTGGGTTTTGGGTTGCAGTTCAGGCACTCTGTCTCTAAAAGATTCACCATCACTGCTTTATGCAAAGTCAGTATTGTGGTTTAACTGTGTGTTGTTAACCATTCACAATCCAGAGTTCACAGCTCAATCATGGGATCTCTTTCTGGGTTGTTTGTGGTTAACAACCATGGTTAAACCATATTGACTAATTCACATGTTATGACTAGCCACAATTACAGTGTTGGACTCGACACCAGCCGAAGTCTCTGAGCCCAACCTGCCTTACATGGTTTTTGTTTTGAGGAGAAGATTGGGAGGAGGAGAATTATGTAAGTGGCACAAGTGTGTTACCTTGAAAGTAACACAATTTGGTTATAAATATAATAATTAAATAATCAACCCTGTGATTCGACACAATGCATACTTTTCTTGTAATTATGTGTACACCAGGCCATGGTATGTGACTATGATGATAGGACTTATTAGCAAGCTCTTTTGGGGTATGTCTTTCCACAGCCATTTTCCAAAAAAGCTGTACCCACATTACATGGCAGAACTGCTGTCCGACCTCCCCATGTTTCCTTCTATTTAGAGGCTATCCATTTGATTGGAGCCACAGCTCAAGGAGAGGATGGGGATGAAGGGATGTGATAACTGGACCCCATCATCTTCCTATTATATATTAACTGTATTAAACAGAGTAGGAAGAAAGTCAGTATATTTTCTAAGACTTTAAACAATTTGGCCTATCTGTTTAAATGTGGTTACTAGGGTTGTGGGGGGGGGGCAGTTTTTGCTTACAATATGCGTGGCTTCATTTAGAGTGAAGAACAGCCCATTTACTCAGAGGCATGTGGGTTGAGAGTAGCGTATTCCCAACCAGGAGCATTTAGGACTGCAGCCTAAGAAGGGAAGCGATCGAGCCACAGGGGTCCGCCATGGACGTTTATGGAGCCTTTGGCACCACCTGCTGGCAACAGCGTGGCACAGCTGTGGATCTCAGCACCAAACTACCAAATCCAACACTGCATCTCCCCTTGAGGAAGTGGTGTAAGATTAAAGCTAGGCTACCACAGAGCTGCATCCGGCCACTCTCAGTTTGGTTTGCATACCTGGATGCCAGCATGAACTGAGATGCGCCAGATGAGCCAAGTGAATAAAGTGGGAAACAAGGATCATGGTAGTGCAAAGCTTCCAAACTCCATATACAAACAAAATAGTCTATTTGCTGAAATATTAAATAAAATTATATCACAGTTGTTGACTGCAGAAGTATGTATGTATGTATGTATTTAAAATTTTTATATGCCGTCACCACATGCCTCAGCATCTTGGGACGGCTTACAAATGTACAATTAAAAACAATAAAACAATACAAATTCTATAAAAGTTTATAAAAACAAAAACAAAAAACAAAAAAGTTACTGTTGATGATAAAAATATAAATTTTTAAAATAACAATTAAATAAAAAGGTTTTAACCTGGCGCCGAACATCTATATGTAGATGTTAACCATAGGTCCCTTTTTATTCTGAGGGAACAACCCATAAACCTGCTCCAGTACAGCCCAATGTGTTCATTGTTCCAGCTTTGTATGGTGCTAATTCAGTAGCACTCTGATTTCTCTTCTACCCCACCTAAATTTAGCAGGTTTAAGGTAAAGACAGTGATGTTCAAGGCTTGTAGGATGACAAAATGAGGGATATACAGAAATTGTTCTTTTACACTGCACTGAATATTGTTTTTACTTGTTTTTCCTATGTTCATCTATCAATATGTATGGGTGTATTTCTTGTGTAACTTCCTGGAGAGCTTTGGCTATTGGTACAGAAATGCAATGCATAAATAAAATAAGTGACCTCTCTTTCAATTTTCCTTAATTATCTGGAAAACAAAACCAAACCTGATCAGACCAATACATTTCCTTTTTGCAGTTAATAGTATCTCAGGGGGGCTTGGATCAGGGTTTCCATGCAATAGGGGAAAAGTTTATTTATTTATTTATTAGCTTTCTATCATACCTCTTTTCTTTTTTAAAGCCCTCAAAGCAGCTTATATAATCCTCTTTCTCCTGCTCTCCAGTTAGACTTCTTCCTGTACTCTATCCAATCCAGGTTGCTTTCAGAAGCTTTTCAGTCCTGGATCATCCATGTAACATGCATTTGGTCCTGTCTCAAGCTTTCAAATTCTGCTGTACAAACCAGTGTGCAGTTATTTTGAGGAAATCAGGTTATGGCCCTTATTTTTAAGAAATATTCACAGTCTGATCTATAGGTCAGTCAAAGTGACTTTTCAAGTTTAAACACTGAAGTCAATGCATTCCAGCACTGAACATGTATTTTCAGACTGTTTGTAGTTTGAGCTGTCCATCCAGAATGTCAACCTGCCTGCACCCTCTGGACTCCAAATAAACTACAATATTGAACACAAATTGTTGAAACAGTGCTTTGTCCATTAGGAAGTGAACTAAGGTCGATTCTCTCTCCAGCAGCTACCCACTGCTGTCCCATGATTTAAATCTTTGGCTGTTTTGTTATACATTCTCTCATGATTTGTTTGAATTGCTAAAGAAATGAGGGGGCAGATGTTTAGAAATGCTGCTTAGCTAGGATTTTCTTCCAAATATCCCCTTCTTCTCAGCACATTTTCCCACCTTGAGGTTTCAAATGCATGGAAGGCCACCGGTGTGGCTTTGAGCATGGAAAAGGCATGGAGAAAGGGTTAGGTATCTCCCCACAATGCTTTCATGCCCCTAATTCACTTCTACAAAAGTAGAAGTGAATTAGGTACCCTAAGAATTGCCTTTTTTCCATATGTTCCTGATACAATCCCAAGATCTTTTTCTGAGGCTTTTCTTTTGGTGTTTCTGCCAATTTGTGTTGCAGCTGAAGCTACATGTGGAGGCTGTTCTTGGGGTTTTGACTCACCTGCAGAACAGTCTTCCCAGAGAAGTTGCAAAACATTACTTTAATATCCTTCAATGCCAGTAAACACTGTTTTAAAGTTTCCTAGGTTGGTCTTCCCCAGTCTAGCTCCTTCTAGATATGTTGGACTCTCCCAGTTGTGCTTTAAAACCATACTGTTGCTTTTAACAGTGTTTTGCTTTAAATTTTGCTTTTTGATCTTAAGCCAGAGTATTTTATAATGATACTCTATTGTGTTGTGTCGTGTTGTACTGTATTGTATCATTTGGTTCCTGTTGTTAGTTTTAGCTCCTTTTTCTTCTGTGAGTCACCTGAAGAACCTTTCGCTCTAGGGTGATGTCTAAATGATGAAAATGATGTCTAAATGAGGTGACTAGACAGTTGATTGAATGAATGAATAAATAAAAAGATATGAATAATTTGACTCTAATGTGTACCTTGGCCCACTGCTATCAGAAATGATTGCTGGTATTAAGTTGACATAACTGGAGTGCCTTGCAGTACCTTTGCTGTCATGTATTTTGAAATTTAAATTTAAAATGTTGCTTCTTACAATTATAAGATTGCCACACTTATGCTGATTCTCTCTTTTTGTGTGTTGTTTTTGTTGCTGGTGCTTAGGGAGAACAAGGTGCAAGAGGACCCCCAGGACCTCCTGGACAAAGGGGGATAGGAATACCTGGCCCAAAGGTTAGTGCGGATCTTTTTTTATATGTCTGCACATTTCCATAGATGTGTATTTATGTCTGTACAACTTCTTAAAATGCAGAAGAGCTTCATGAGTGAGATATCCTACTTTTATTTACCCTTAAAAAGCAAAGAAAGGGACAGCAGAGGATGAGGTGGCTAGATGGAGTTACTGAAGCAGTCAGCTAGATGGAGCTACTGAAGCAGTCGGCGTGAGCTTAAGTGGACTCTGGGGGATGGTGGAGGACAGGAAGGCCTGGAGGAATGTAGTCCATGGGGTTGCGACTTCACTACTAACAACAACAACAACAACAAAAAGCAAAGTGAACTAAAAACAAAACAAAACCCTTGAAATGCCCCACAAGCCTGAGAATGCCCTGCAGCCATTCACTCTTATAAGTAACTTTTTCTCATAATTTTTCTGTGCATGATCTAATCTTAATTGACTTGTGAATGACTTGCAAAAGGAATGGCTACAATAATATGAAAACTGCAGAATGAGCTGTTGGATGCAGTGCACCCAAGGCAGGGTCAGTTGTATTCAGAAAAATGTTACTGATCCTTCAGTGAAAACCTGGATTGATAGGATAAACATCCAGAACTAAAAGTATTTATGCTACTCCTGGTCTGCAGCTGCTTTAAATCACTTCTCACTGCAGAATAGCAGCCCTGCTGTTAGGTACAACATGCTGATTTTCTCTCTCAGATGCCAAAATAACTTGGCTGGTCTTGGGGGTTAAGTAGCTGATGGTCAGCTTCCACTGCTCTGCTTCAGACAACAAATTGTCTTGGGCTGGCCTTGGATTGAAATGATCTTATTCCTTACTACAGAGGAATGACTGTGTGATTAAAGAAAAAAACCAAACATTTGATTTGAGTTCTCAGTTTGACTTCTTGACTACCTCCACTTAGAAAACCCTGCATAGCTTAGAACCCATATTTCATCACTTTGAATATGAATCATTCACTTTGCTTTACGGCTGTTTCAGAATTTGTTTGTCATTTTGCTTAGCAGTTTTTGGAACAGTGTAGACACACACATTTTGACAAGTCAGTGATGCTGACCTCTTCAAATTAGATTCATAATTATAAATCATATATTCCTAGGGGAATACTTGAAGTTGTATGACTCCTAAGAGCATCTAAGGATGTAGGCAGACCCAATAGATTTTTATGAAAACATTTTTCTTCGCAAAACAGGCAACTCGCTCAATGGCCAGGTTTGAACGCTCACCAGGGAAAAGAAGCCACAGTAGATTTTTCCTTGCTCCCAATGTGAATCAGTTGAGCACCATGTGATCTGCTCAATTAACCCTGTGGCACATGGCTTCCCATGTCATCCAGACCTGGTGAGGTGCATGGCAGAGATGGCTTTGAAACTATCCCAGAACTCATGGGCGGCTTCATGCTGTAGGCTTTTCTAGCTCTTTGGAAGCCGACCTCCACTGCACACATTGCTGGGTTTGGATGACTTGGCTGCCTGCACACCATGCACCAAACCACAGTGGCTTCTTTTCCCTGGTGATCATACAAAACCAGCCCATGCTAGGCATCAGTGTTTTTGAAACCCATTCAGTTGGAAAGCAGTTTTCTGAGTTGCTTTGAGGTTTGCTGCTTGAGAAATGCAGGCCTTTGAATTCCAGCCTGTACCTGGATGGAGGCTACATTCCTATGCCCTCTTATGGTTACCTGGGAGAGAATGCCACTGAACTCAGTGGGAGAAAGGTGGGCTGATGCCAGGCTTGTGAGATCTGCTCTACTGCTTTATTCTGAAATTTAGAATCTGGTACCTGGTGTGAAAGGCATCCTCTTAGAATTAAAAATACCTGAATTCAGAAATTTCCACTGCAAACTAGAACTGAACAGACATCACAGTGCTTTTGCACACAAATCCACTCCTGCTGGCAGGATGGGTAAATTTTGTAGTGACAGTACTTAGAGTCATACCCTAAACAGAGTCAAAAAATGCAGGCAGCTGTTTATCTACATATATCTGTGGGTATCATATAAGTCTTTTGCCAATGTTGTAATGCTAATGTGTCTTAATTACCCATCCAATGTCAAGCCACCCCAGCAAAATAGACCAAGCATAGCTCACAATATAGTGATGCTAGGGAAATCCATTTTTCTTCAGCTAATCAAGTCCGGAGTGAATAGGGAAGCCTGAGAAGGGGTGGCAGGTGAAGTCATCATCCCTACCAATCAAAACAAAACCTTGGTACTTCATTCCTGAGAGCCCTGGCTCAGCTGCACTGCTGCTGGGCTTTCTTCATTTCAGCATTCTAATTTTGCAGAGGAGAACATCATTTTGTTTTTGCTATAATAAGAAACAACTGCGAGTCAGAAAGCTTTGGCAATCTACTGCAAATCCTCCATAAATCTATTAGAAGATCCTATTAAACCTTCTGTTCACCCTGATATATAGGACTGCATTTGAATTTCCTCAAAGGCTTCTGTTTTAAATACTTTATATACATTGCAACATCTGAAAGTGACAGAGATAGGCATGATTACCTAAGAGATGATGTCAGCTTCTCTCCCTCCCTCCCTCCCTCCCCCCCTCCCTCCCTCCCTCTCTCTCTCTCTCTCTCTCTCTCTCTCTGGGAATCTATGACATCCTCTAAATAGGGTGCTACTGGACAAAAAGGTTTACCTGGACCACAGGGTCCTCCAGGAGAAGGAATACAAGGAACTAAGGTAAGGATGTGAATTTGACTTTTCACTGCTGCAAGTGAGTCAGTCTTGTCTTCTTTAAATGCAAGGAATCTAGCATTTTGGAAACATTCACCCAAATGGTTCTGTCTTGTAGGCAACATCTGGATCTTCCAGTTTTGCTTCTGTTTTTTTAAAAAAAAAACACTTTCAAAGAGGTCATCTCTCTATCTCTCTTTTTAGAGCTGGAAAAATGCAATATTATTTGTGAGGGAAAATGCTTTTCCTTCTTGTGTAATTGCAGCGTTCCACAACACCCCAGTGCCACCTAGAAGATGCAGTCAAAAAGCAGGAAGGAAACTGCTCTTTGTGTAGTGCTGAAATCTTTGCGTTTCAGTTCTGTAATAAAACTCATGCAATGGATTAACAAACAGCCTTGTGTAGGAAAGCTCTTAAACACTACCTTGGCAAATGACAGATTTTTTTTTTAAGAAGGCCCAATGACCTGTAGATATTGTGTTATTTTGTTTTGCTTTTGTCCTTTGGCAGTCAAATATCTGTTTCAGTGACATTACTGAGCAAACATTGTGCTGTAGCAGATTAAAAAGTTCACCAAGTTTTGTCATAGTGACCTAACAGTGACATGGCATTTTAACAAGATGTTCAGTCTCCCTTTTCCTTTTTAAAGCTTAATAAATAACTCCTGCTCTTAGGCATTTATGGCCCCCTCTTTGGAGGAGGTCAGTCTGCTTTCTTCTGGCCTATGCAGTTATTTATACCACAGCTTTGGTAAGGATGGCCACCTATAGATGGCCAAAGAAGGGGACCAAATGTAGAGAAAGAGAAAGCTAGAACAATGCCTTCTGATTGGTAGCAGTAGGAGCCTTCCCTCTGGATGCAGCCTTAATGCAGTCCTGTTCCCAAGTACCACCTTTTCAAGGAAGAAACCCTACTTGTATGCCAGGGGCATTCTCTCAAGTCCTCCTCTAGATGTCTCCTCAGAGGAAATTGGAGAGCAGCAATGTGTGGAAAGACCCTTCTTGTTGGTGCCCCCATCCATAATGATTTCCCTGATAAGGGCTGCCTGATGCCAACGTTGTTCACTTTTCAATGCCAGATAAAGACCAGCTTCCAATCATGCATTAGGTGATAGATGATGAGGTTTTAATAAGGTCTAGATATTTTTTCTTTTTGTTGATTAAAATTGCTTTCAGGTAAGTGTGTGCCTCTCTCTGCATTGTAAATTTCTATGTTGGTATGCATATAGCTTTTATAAAGTATTTAATAAATGATATACAAAAATTTAATAAATGATTGTACAAAATGAACTAGACAATGCAGAGTTTGTGTTTTGGGGCCCTTTGTGGCTGAGAAAAAGTGGTCCCAAATTCCCTCCACAGGATTTCCGGATGAAAGGATCATATACGTGGATGCTGGGAAAGAACCTGACACAGAACGGTTGCCAAGCAGAGTCCTTGATTAGATAGACAGACTGAGTTCACATGACACCAGTGTGGTGCAAGATACTACAGGATCTGGGGCTCAGGACCTCCACCAGCAGCAGCATCAAAATCCCCACAAACTCAAATGTGCATATGCTAATTTACATGTGCTCTGAAGTTAGTGTTCGTGTGTGTCTTTAAAGGGCACCTCAGTACTAAAAAGAGGTGTATGGAGGCTGGAGAGCATTTGGTTTTGTAACAAAGCCTCAGGCAAAAAGGTTCGGGGGGGGGGGTGCAGAAGCCAAAAATGGGCTAATCCAGGGGATCAGCTGCAACAGAGACCCTCAGGAGCCCATACCTTCATTTCAGCAAGTGCTCATAGGCAGCGGGTATGGGGCCGATGGCCTTCCCAGGATCCAGGTTGCAAGTGAAGGTTCAGGGCTGTAGCCACAGGGGGCCACCGAATGCTGCCTCCTATTAGCCCACGTGGCTGTGCATGGTGCACAAACATGGGTGTGCTTGCAGCAGATGGTAGTTTCTCTACCCAGCTGCTGGGCTTTTCAACCACCCTGCAAATTGATGGCTTGCAGGAGGTAGTTGCTTAAAGTGCATCTGATCCTGCCAAGAGAGTCTGTCCTAGAAACAAACAGCTTCCTTTGTTCCTATACCTTCTTTAAAATCATCTCACCTATATGAGTCATACCAAATTCAGGACCATTCCGCGTTCTTTGTATAGGGCATTGCCACAAATTGTCAAATATGATTTACCAAGCAGGTAATGGACAGCGCTATTCATTGACGTGTTAACAAATCAACTTTATTCAGAAACTGGTTGCTGTCAATCAAATTAATCACAGATATTTTGCACTGAGTAAAATGGATACCCTTTTCACTACCGGATGAAGTAGCTACACAGAATAGCATTGCCAGTCATATGGATATTTGCCAGCTTAGCAACTAGAAGTTCTGGATTCCATTGCAGAGACGGTGTTGTGTAATACTGTAAATTTAATTAAGGGGTGTCTCACTGCAACAGGAAGCAGAAGCATTTTTAAAAGACTAGTGTGAGCCTCTGGTGGAAACTGGCCTAAACATGTCAGTCCAGTGGCTGTGCTGGTTGGGGATGACTGGATTTGTATTCTAACACATCTGGAGGGCCATATTTTAAGGTGTAGTGGTTCCCCTATAGCTGCTACATGCTACATGCAAGCTATATTTTTCAGTTACTTGCTGTTATTTTCAGGGAGAGCAAGGGATTCAAGGTTTACCAGGATCAAAAGGCTCCTGGGGCGTCGGACTTCCTGGCCCTAAGGTAAGAGGCTGACCCATTAACAAATAAAGCACCAGTTTCAGCTTTCACATCCACATGATAATCTGGGAGGAGGGATTCCAAAGAAGGAGCCCTTGCCCTGCCCCATGATAGCTGAAATCATGGGGTCACAACTGGCCTTTGGAGAGGGCAGTCAGGCATCAAACTGTTCAAAGGATATTGTTAATTTCGATATTTTTAAATAAAAAAGGCAGGTCTGTACTTTTCATGCAATTTTTTGTATGGGCACACTTTCAATCTAGTGACCAGTTAGAGGTTGGGTGTATTTTTTTTTTCTGCATCAGAAATCAAACACAGTGCTTCAGATTTTCTGTAAGCAATAAATATCTTGTTGCAAGACTGGATGGGTGACGTAGAGATTCATCCACATTGAGGACACTCCTCTGATCTTGCAGAATCCAGCCTGTACACTTGCTAAATGTAGATTTGTTCTTCAGGTATTCTGAACACATTTCCTCTTTTGTGATCACCAATTTATTGACCTCTCGGCAGTCACTTTGGGGAAAGGCAGCCTAGAATAATCAAATAACCACCTTGGGTAGCTCCATATTCAGTGAGGAAGATGCTGATTTGGGAGTATTCTGAATGCTCAGTTATTGTAACCTGCTAAAAGTCTCATAGATTTTGATTAGATTTTTCAGGATGCTGCAAATTAAGTTTTGAGATTAGATTATACTTTTTTGGGCACGCGTGATATTTTCTCCCATTTATTTATAAGGATCAGTCATCAGAATATAAGAAAAACCCTGCTAGATCATACCAAAAGAGCAAACTATTCCATTTCCCCACTTCCAGATAGCTATGGGAAGCCCACAAACAGGGCACTGACTGCATTTCCAGGCAAATGACATTCATAGAAGCCCACATAATCAATAACCAATGAGAAAATATTAATAACAAAATAAAATAATACTAACACTGCATTAAAGTACAGTGTTATTTAATACAGTATTAAAGTGATATCTGCAACACTCATACAACCACATTCCAAACTCAGCTCCTGGGGAGGCTTTGAGAGAAAAATAATGTGTTTATTCCAAGCACAACATATAATCCTGTTGGAGGATAATGCACATTTGCAGCACTGAAGTGCAACCTCAGAAGAAGGTGCTTGGACTTGCTGATTCTCATAACGACAACTGGGTTGCACATGCAATGCTCAAAGTGGACTGTGCAGAAATGAGTCTAGACAGAATTGGATTTGCAGAGCTCAACGGCTTCCTTCAGAACACAGAACTGAATGCATAGCAGTGGAACATCTCCTTGTGCTTTGATTTGTGCAATGCAATAACAATGTTATATCTTATTAGGGAGATTATGGAGACAAGGGAGATCAGGGGAAAAGAGGCAACAAAGGAGAGATTGGAGAACCTGGGCCTGCAGGACCAAGGGTAAAGCCCAGTATATGTTATATTATTTATTCTCAAACAACAGAAGATACAGTAATTTAAGTCATTCTATAACCTTTCAGGGATTCCAAGGAGCCAAAGGCGAGCCTGGTCTTACTGTAAGTATATCCCTACATGGTGACTTATCGTCAAACATGTAACATGGTGATATCAACAAGATCAACAGCGCTTTTTTGATCAAAAGTGCATGCTCTTGTTGGCCCTAAGGGCCAGAGGTGATGCTGGCTTGGCGAGTGGTGGTGGTGGTCAGTGGAATATACATGCATTCCTAAACAGCCCTTCCTTTGCTGCTAGCAGCAGCCAAGAAAGGACTGTCTCTGTAAGGCTTCCTTGAAGAGGCTCCAGTCAGTGCCAGGCTATGGCTGCCCACCTGGAAGTAATGATAGCGCATAAGCCCCAGAGGTGCCCGGTGGCATGGAGGAAACACTGGCCTCCCGTGAAAGGACTCTTTCACATCCTCTTCGGGTGTTATCTCAAGAGTGCCTTTTCCCAACTGCTCCCCCAGCTGTCCTCATAGAGAAGTCTTTCCTTGCTAAAACAGCAATTGGTATCACACCTGGAGGGAAATAAGGAAGGGAAGGTGATTCAATGGCATCAGGTGTTCAAGGCACTGAGGAGGAGACAGGTAATGCCTTGGGAAGCCTCATGCAACCCTGGTCCAGAAAATAGATGCTTCTTTATATGGATGGCTATGGAGAGAAAGGAGGGATTCCGTTTCCTGGGCCTGCACCTATGCTGGTTGGTCTAACTTCTGGCAGAGCCTATGTGTGTAGAAACCGGAGGACATAGGAAGCTGCCTTATACCGAGTCAGACCATTGGTCTATCAACCCCAGAACTGATAAGCAGCATCTCTCCTTTCAGATTTTTTCCTAGCCCTTCATACATTAGCCAGGAATGGAATTTGGAACCCTCTGCATACAAAGCAGATGAAATACCACTGAGTCAGGGACCCTTCCCATTTATGCATGTCAGTGGGAGCCTTCCTGTTTATGGATGATACCTTTCAAACGTGCTTAGGAGGCAAGGGCGCAGGTACTAATGGACATGATTCTTCCCCATCCCCAATATATATTCAGAAGAATATCTGAATATGTACTTAGTGATATGTAACTGGAAACTAATTCATGTATGTACACACACACACACACACACAATTCTGAAGACCCAACTCAAGTCGAGATTCTCTTTCAGAAAGAAGAAATCATCAAAATCATTAGGGAGATATGTGGTAAGACCTTCTAAGTTGCTTTTGCTGGAAGAATTTAGAACATGAGTTGGCAGTGGAATGGATCCAGGCTTACTGATGCTTAGACTCATCAGTTAGGGCACAGTCTGTGTCCCATATTGTTGATGCACCTACACCTCCAAGCTAATGTGCATCCTGTGTCCCGAACAAGGCACAGCATGACCTCCACCACTGCTGTGCCTCACACTGGGCATTTTCTCTTGATGGCTGTTTTTGGCCATCTAAATTTAGTGTCACGGAAGGAGAAGAAAGGCTATTTGGAAGTGTTATCAGTCCACCTCCTCCCCTCCCTGCCCCCCAGCACAACATTGTTCCCCTCAAGAGGCCTAGTTGCAACCTTGCAGCTGTAAGCAGGGGGGTTCAGTCAGTTATTGAAGGCCATTTATTGCATAAATATCATCTTTAACAAAGCATTATATGTAATAGATTGGAATTAAGATCAAGGACTACTGTTTCGCTTAGCGCACAAAAGAAACAGAAATCAGAATGAATGCATATGCACTATGTTGCTCTTGCAGGGTGTCCATCACAGAATGGTAGATTTGTTGCTACAGAAATATATATTGTGCTTATTTTCTATAGCAGCACTTTGGAACCTGCCCTATGGCTCCATTCTGCTTGCAATGTCAGTGAAGATGCTTGGCTAAAATAGACCTATCTAGCTCTTTTGCATGTCTTTATGCAATAGCTAAAGCTGTCTGGGCAGCTCACAACAATTTAAGACTTGCACCTCTATACATGATGCTATCTGGAGAAGGCATCCTTAATGAACTGCATTGCAAATATAAGTGTTCTTCTAAAGAGCATTAATGTGATGGGGTGGGATCCAAAGAGATACATGGACATGGGGATTTGTCAACCTCATTTTCTACTTTTCAGTCATCTGTGCACGGAAACCCTCTTGAGAAATATGTCATGTTATGCTTGGAGTTACCACTGAAAGGGAAAGTAGGCAAACCTCCTTTAACTAAATGAGGAGGGAAAGCCCTTTAAGTGCATGTCAGAGCCTTGATCAAAGTTCAAGAATAATATGTGTAATAGATTTTTTAAAAACTGCTATAAAACTGTCTACCATTTATTTTAGGCTGTGGTGTTAAGTGTAAAGCGAAGCCTTTGGAGCTCGTATTCGTTATTGACAGCTCTGAAAGTGTTGGGCCTGAAAACTTTGAGAGGATCAAGAGGTTTGTCAAAACCTTGATTGATGCAGTCACAGTCAATCAAGCTACAGCCCGGGTTGGCATCATCAACTTTAGCCTCAAAGTAGAGCTGGTGTCCACTCTGCAGCAATATACTAACAAAGAGAGCCTTAAAGCTGCAGTCGATGCAATGCAGTACCAAGGGGAAGGCACACACACTGCTACAGCGATCAGCAAAGCCATTGAGATATTCCAGGTTGCCCGACAGGGGGTGAGAAAAGTGGCAATTGTGATCACAGACGGGCAAGCAGACAGTCGCGATCCCATTAAATTGGATGCCATTGTGAAGGATGCCCATGCCCTCAACATAGAAATATTTGTGATTGGAGTCGTCCAGAAGAGTGATCCCAATTTTGAAAACTTTCGGAAAGAAATGGACCTCATTGCTACAGATCCCGATAACGAGCACGTTTACTTGATAGATGATTTCATGACCTTACAAGGTAAGAGTAAGCTGCCTGTTTAAAAGAACATTTTTCTGGAACATTCACATTACTAATATAGTATGGGAGTTGCTAAATAGGCAACTAAGGTTTTGCAGGATGCTAGGTCATAATAGCAAATGGCAAGGTGGTTTGGTTTTTTTTTTTTTTTTAAATCAAGCATACACTTAGCAGCCATAGCCATTTTTTATGATATTCCACTTTCTTGTTTGGTTTTGCTGACTGCCTTCCTTGATGTCTGAATTTCCATTTAGCCATACTGGCTTTTTAAAAATTCTTTCAGCTCTCGAGAATAAGATCTTCAAACAAATTTGTGAGGATGATTTCAGTTCCTACATCACCAAGGTGCTCAGTTCAGCATTTTCCCCAGGACTTGAATCAAGACGTGAACATACTGGTCAGGTGGCTGTATCTGAGACTCCAGCACCGTATGTCCCACCATCTAGGCCAGAAGTGATTGACTCTGTAAGTGTTCCTGAGGAACAGCACTTTTAACTGAGTGCTAGTGCTCATACTTGGCTTGCAGAAGGTCCCAGGTTTAATTCCTGGCCTTGGGGCTGGATCCAGGTTCTGCCTTTCTCTAGAGGAATACTCCATTTCTGACAGATCCCTCCATCCAATTTTGGGGATTCCGCATTCACTCCCACACCACAGCTCAGCCCATTCAGCAGGGTGTCTTTGAATCTCTATAGCATTTTTCAGGGGGGTGGAAAGGTTGCCATGGGAAGGAGAAACCCACTTTTGCCAATGTACCCTATCTAGCTTAAATCTGGATCCAACTCCAGTTTTGCCACTGACATTTAACTTTTTTTAATAGCTACACCTTCCAAGGATGCCCATTGAGAGGACAGCACCACATTTTAATCAAGGTGGATCTGTTACTACTAGACAACCAGCTATTCCTCCTCTTCATGGAAAGCAAGATTATTTGGAACCCAGCACTCACCATCCAAAGATCGCTCCCTCCTCTACTATATCTAGACATATGCAAACAACAGTACCCACTACACAGCCTCCTAGAGTGATAAGTGCTACAAAAGGTATGGAAGGAGTCTAATGCTAGATGTGGGATGGGAGGGAGGCAACAATGTAATCAAATTTAAGTGAATTTTTATCAAATTGATTTTTGATAATATCACAAGCATAAAGTATATAAATGACAAATTCACTCTCTTTCCTTCTTTGGTAACTCATCAATGGAGCTTTCGTTGCATATATTGTTCTTGGTACACACAGGAAGAAATCAGGGTGGGTTAAACAGGCACATACTGTATGAGCTATCAGGATAGGAATGGAACAAGAAAGGTACCAACTTAGGTCAATCATACCCAATTTCTGAGGTCATTTGAGGTACACAAACAATTAAAGCCAACCTATAATCTGCTGCACCACAAATGCTTGTATATTCAATAGATTGCACCAACAGGACTTGGTTGTGATGGACTACAGCTTCATAATCCCAGGGCAAAATGACAAACAGTCGATGATGACTTTGATGAGTATGTTACTAAAACACATCCAGAGGGCACCTGGTTGGAGAAAGCTGCTAAAGGTTGACGTGATTAACCATTGTGCTTGATACAATGCTGGCTCTTGTTTTTAGTGGATTTATGTCTGCTTGTCTATTCTGTTACGAAATGTACAGTTCACATGCCTTACTTTTTAGCCTATCAAGGGTAGTCTTGTGGGACAAAAAAGAGACATTGTGTCTGTTGAGAGAATTTTTATGTCTAAGATATGTGTATCATGCTGAAACCTTATGTCGGTTCAGAAGTAAGTCCCATTATTTACATGCAGATATTTGTGTATAAGATTCTAGCGTGAATTATAGTCAGAAAATCACCCATACAAACAGCCACACCTCTGTATTTGGTTGGAATGTGGTAAGAAACTTGAAAGGCTTCCAGATAGGAGATGAATGGAAACCATGGTGCCATAATATTTTTGTAAAAACTGGAACTGTCCAATGGATGGGAACAGGAGTTACAGCTGGCAGGCAATCAGTTCTGAGCACAACCAGATCTACAGCAAAACCTGAAGAACCAGCAAATTTAGGAGGAAGCTAGGTTTGCCTTGGCAGCCGGAAAGTATCTCAATGACAGCACTTTTTAGGCAAACTGTATGCACCATCTGCTTATAAATATCTCAGATGCACGGAAGGGCAGGAACAGAGAAGTGCAGATATTGCCAACATTTCATGTTTCTATAGGAAATAATAATAGTCTTGGAAGATGAAAAGGAAAGGAAAACCTCTATTCTTTTTTCAGATGCCAGGTGTTTGCAGCCACTGACTCCTGGAGACTGTCAAGATTATCAAGTGAAGTGGTATTATGCCAGCGATGCAAATTCTTGTGCCCGATTTTGGTATGGAGGCTGTAAAGGTAACGAAAATAGATTTGAGACAGAAGAAGAGTGCCAGGCAACCTGTGTTGCAGGATAAGCAGGTATGTCATGTTAATAGAACCTCTGTTAAAGGATGTGTTTTTTGTAAAGAACTGTGTTTATGACTTATTTTCATAGAAAGCAATAATAATTTCCCCAAGGCTTTGCAACAAAGGGCAAAATAAAAGGTTATGGGGCAGATTTCTATCCACACAGCTATTTCCATTCTCTTCCCTCCCTGTCACCAAAACAGAGGGTCTCCTGAAAATTCATTAGAAGCATGGGCATCTAAGGAAAGGAAGAGTGCTTCACCAGCAATGTCCATTCTCTTGATGCAAGGGCATCACTGGGTACAACCCAACAGTTATTTGAATATGTTTCAGTATTTCTAGAGTTTATTTAAAATGTATGCCCCTTCTTCAGAAAAGTTCCTGGTGGTTTGTATGGAGCTCCAGCAGGAGGGAATTCAATTTTAGAGCCACATCAGTTTGAACAGGCTTGTGAAGATGGGACCCACCATTCTCCCAAAGCAGTGTTATCAGTCTGACAATTCAGATTTGGAATGTGAAATAAATGGGTTAGAAAGGGTGTGGAGAGAGTTGGCAGGTGGCTCTCTAAGGTCAAGGGTAACAAGTAAGATTGGTCAGGCAGCAACTGAAAGCCAAACTATTTTGGAGGAGAGCAAATTCCTAAATCTGGAGGCAGCACAAGACCAAATGGACAGCCCAATGATGTGAGGTCAGGCATTCTGACCACTTCACCCACAAGCAGTATGAGCCACCCTGAGAGCAGAATCAGGACTCTGGGAAAAGGAAGGAAAGAGTGGGGCATTTCAGTTTTCAATCAATGTTTTACTTCCCCAGATTGTAGGGATAATTACTTTGATTTATGCACCTTAACAGCCCTCTCAGAAAATGTCCTGTATCACAGCAAAACCTGTTAAGATCCAATCTAAAGGACTGTATTTTATAAGCTTTTGTTTTGGTCTGCTGGAAAGGAAAAGGTGTGGGGAGAAACATGCTCACAACATAGGTCTGCAAGTTTAGCTTGTGGTGTGTGTGATTTAGAGAATGTATAATTTGTGTTGTGTTCTTCTCTTACAGAGAACCCACGTTTATGAAGCCAACTATTTCTGGAGTTTGCATAAAAATAGTGTAAGAATTCCAAAAGTGTTAATACTGGTAATATTTTTATGCCATGCCTACTGCTTTTTACAATGCATTCAATATATTTTGTAGAGAATTTTATAATCACACCAGATACAGCTTCACACAACAAAAATGCCACTTATAAGTCCATATTTATTGTTCAGCTCTATACTGCCTATGGCAGTATTTAAAGAACTGTAACAAGCCAGATACCAAGATTTGCAATATTTAGCTCTATAGTTGGAAATTCAAGTATTCTGCAGAACAAATGACACTTGAAATTGATAAAAACTGCAACAGTAGCAAGCGGGAAGATGTGTCAGACGGGAACTTTTAGTACAGGAATTTTATACACAAATACAGATGCGTAGCTGGGCTTTTCCTACATTGAAGTATGCCTAGATCTGGTCACTTAGGGTCATACAAACTTTTGTCCCTTTCATTCCCTTGCTTTCTGTGATACATTTTGAATAGCTGAGATCCAGGTGTAGGTGGCCCTGCATAATGTATCCTGTTCACATCCAAAGAGTCATCCAGCATGTTCGTAAGGCTTGGATGAAGATGTTCAAGGATGGTGGCTTATAAACAGACTTCTGCTGTCGGCTCAGGGCCAGTATTTTTATATTATTTCTTAAAGTTCAGTTCAATCCATCCATTTTCATTTCTCAGGGCTCTTGTACAAAAGAGTAAAATGAAGAGTAGATCATGAAGTGTCAAGAGTCAAATATAGGGGAATTTAATAGGGAAATGCACTGAAAGATGTACATAGCTGTATTTTTTCATACTACATTTTCTTTTTAAACTTTGTGCCTACAGAAAACATACTGTACAAGCTAAAATTGATTGACCATTATTAAAGCAATCATATGAATAAGAGGAATATGTGTCTGTGTAGGTTCTTATTTGGAAATGTTGAAGTCACAGTGGGAGTGTAAATTTTCTGTATAATCAATTGGTTATGCTGGACGGCCATGATAGAAGTAGCACTCCAACAAAGCTGGTGGGAACCACATTGGGGAAGTCTGGGGTAAAATGTCAAAAATGCTTTTTGGACATTATCACAGTAATCCTTTCAGCAGGTCACAATTACAATCCTTCTATTACAGGAAAGGGGGAATTATGCGGCAACTTTGCCTGTTTATTGTTAAGAAGCAAGAATATCGATTTAGATTCCAGTTTATTGCAGCCCAGCTCTATGTATACTGGCTCAGAATAAAGTTCTCTCCCAGGTGATCAAGCAGGGATAGGCAATGTGGTGCTGAGATATATTCTCAGACACCTTTCTTGGTGCCCACCCAGATACCCAGTCTTCCAAATTATTATTTTAAAATAGATTTTCTTACTGGCAGCTGGGATCACTTCAAATATTCACTTCATGAATACTTAGGTCACATATAGGGTTCGAAGACGCTTTTAGGATATGAAAGTAGCAGGTACCTACAGGCCAGTTATTTAATCTACAGTGCACCTGGCCATTGAGGAAAGGTATTTGTCACTTGTTTGGTAAGTTGGAAGAGAAACCAGCTAGAAGGAAAGCAGCACAAAGTATACACATGTGCATGCACGGGCATGCCAGCTGGGTGCAACTTGAGAAGGGGAGGCTGTATGCTTGTATGTCTGAATAAAAAAGCAAGAAAAGTTTTGGGGAGGAGGAAGTTTGGAAGAGATCCTGAAAAAGAGTGAGTGTGGGTTTTTGTGCACTTACAGTTTACATGAGGAGTATGCATGACAGAAACATGGGATGCTATGTCTGTACGTTTGTGGGAAAGTGAGGGACTGGCTAGGCACTGTATGTGTGCCAGCAATGAGCCATGGCAGGTATCATAATACTCATGTTGCTTTGTTGCATCAGAAAAAATAGCAAAAGGAAACAATAGTCTGACTACTCCTTGGATTCTCTTCATACAGGAAAATCTTTTTTCAGGAAGAAGTGTAGTAATTATAGGTTCATACACTTAAACTTTACATTTATGATCTATTCCTTATTAGAATGAAATGTATAGGATATTAAAGATGACAAGAAATTTTGTAATTGTGGTAAGTTATTTATTTGTATGCTTCTCATTATTTTAGCAATTATTTTAAACACTGGTGAAAGGCACTTCCAAGGTATTATTTAAAATAGTAATTTGTTGATCACATTAAAAAAAGTCAAGCACAGTTTGCTATGTCATTTTCCCACCTGTCACTTATAACGCAAGCATTTACTATTTTCACATGAATATACTACTCAGCAGTTGTGATTTTTTTCAAATGTTTCTAGTAAGATTTATACAGTATGTTGTACACATTATACATTAAGATGAATCTGATTTATATATGAATGTTCACAACATTTGCTTCATTAGTACCAGATAAAGAATAAGCTTTAGAAGTTGCTGAATATGGTTCAATTTAAAATAGACAGATCAAGGATGGGGCCAGTCTATACTTTCACCATAGTAAGATCTTGTAACGGAACTTGATTTCTTTTAAACTGAATGACAAAGATGCCAAAAGAATGATTAATGCAATACAAAAACAGCATTAGCATACTAACAATGAAGTAATTTGGAATTTATTTTCAATTAACTGATAGTGTAAAATAGTTTACGAAAAGTCAAGAGAAGCCTTAATGAGTAAGTGAACAGAATTGGAATGTTTTGACACTGAAGTTCAACAAATACATTACATAGTATACAACAGAATAATACAAAAGAATTACAGGTCAAGATTAAAGTCCAGCTAAGTAATTGATGCAATTATAGATGCAACAGTTTGTGGCAAACATAATGCCCAAAAGATAACCTTGTACCTTCAGGCATGGTTCTGGGTTATTAAAGATACAAAATATTTAATCAAAAACTGTAATTTCTATTTCCTAGAATAAAAGCAGGGATGTGGTGAGAAGTTCTAAGTTGTTCAGCTTCTGAATTTGGCAAATGGATTCTTTCCTGCATCTCAATATGAAAAATAAAACTGAAAGACAGCAATTTAAAGAAAATAGTGATAGAGAAGTATCAATACAAACCCCGCATTTTAAGCTATTCCTCACATCATATCCTGTTAGGTCTCTTCATACTAAAGGCACTCGTGGTCAGGGAAAAAAAGTTTTATAGCTCTACTTTGTGCATGTGTAGGAGCGTGGAAGGCTTGTTGGGAGAAAAGGAAAGTGAAATGGCATCAGGGAGCCCTTTCCTTCCTTCTGCAACATCCTACTACAGGTGGAGATGGGAGGGTTTCTTTGCACTTCATAGCTTGCTTTCTTCCTAAAGCTAATAACTTGTCCTCTCCAGATACTTGTACAAGCTGCTGAGGGCTAGAACTGATGTATGCCTACTTTTCTCTGCCACCAACACTCTCTTCTTTCAACCAATGTCTCAACATTCTGTACATCAGACATAAGGATATATATATTTCTGCATACCTACAGAATCTTCCAAGAATACAGAAATCACTACAGAATTTTGGGTGGCTGCATTTTGCTTCAGATCCATGGATTCTCAACCACCTGCTTTGATGATTGAAAGAATAATAATCTAACTATTACTAAACATGAAAAAACCACCTTAGAATATTTCTTTTCTCCCAGATTAATCACACAATTAACTTTAGCAATTTACACTGGGTACTTGGGAAAAAATACTTTGAGGTAGATAAAATAGATGAGTGCCACTAAAGCCAAAATGTACAAAGGGAAGAGACAAGTACTAGGAAGTTGGAGAATACACTACGTTTGACATTGTTAATAACAATCTTGTTAAACACCACATAATCCTAAAATTAATTTGCTAATAAGCAAATTGCTTAATATTTGTCTCAGTAAACTGTCTGTCACCAGAGCTATTTAAAAATTTGGCCCGTCTATTATTTTTTGCACTTTTCCCCTTATGATTCACATAACAAAGAAGAAATATGTCAACATAAATTCACATCTAGAGCAAAGCTTTCCATCGGTCTGTTAATTCTAGTTTCCAGAACATCTCCGGAGGCCAAATTCATAGCATAACAATGTAACATCTTGTTTGTTCTTTTCATCTGAGGTAAATTCTGCTTATCTAAAACTAAATATTAAGATTGCACTACAAGTTCCTTAAGACCAATACTGGGAAAAACAGAATTATCCCATGCTTAAACATCAGAGAGACAGAAGCACAAAGGCAGTTGTTAAGTAAACAATTCTGTAAGTCACTATTGTGTTGCAACACATTTTTAAAGCAAATAGAAATGAGTTTAGGATACTTTACAAACATCATTAGGAACATAGTTTTAACTTAAACATCAATATGATGAATTCAAGACAGACCGAAACAAAGTGTTGGATTATCATTTTTATGAGAACTACTCTATGAAAAAGTCTAAATAGCAAGGTAAGAGCAAATGTGCAAATACAGTACACCGAATATGTGGGAATAATTGCTACCATAAAATTGCAAAACATAGTTTAGCTTAAACTAAAGCACGTTAACTCCTTCATGTGCAGACAGAAGCCTCTGCTTAAAGGTGACCTAATGCAACGTACAACACAATCAGATAACCATATTTTAAATTAACCAAAACAATACCACTCAAGAACACTCAAGAAACAGCAGATTGCAATTGACTTAGATAATTATCATCATCTAACTCAGAATGGAAACTAAACTCAAAATACTGGACAAGCAAAATGGCAAACATGAAACAGTACCTATTCTTAGAAACAATTTTCAATGTTAAGAGGGTCCATAACACTAAACCAGCATTAACACTGCGTTATGAATTTCCTGCTAGCACATTACTATACTTTCCAGAAGCAACAATCTTAGGAAATTTGAATATTTGTTAAAATTTATTACTCCAGTGAAGCCTGTGCCCATTTCAATGAGCTCAAAATGCTCATCTGTTTTCCCACCTGTTCTTCTACTATAGTTGAAGCATCACTGAGATTTTCTATGCAGCAAACAATTCAACCATATGACACCTGATACTATATCTTTTTAGAGATGTAAATTTGAACATTGGCACCTAAGCAAGAGGCTTATTTCTTCACAGTTGACTTAATAGGATACAGCTTTTTTTTCTTAAACACACATTTATGCTTCAGTATCTTTAGCAAAGTGCTCATTGGTTTCTATCATAGTTTAAGAATTTACGAAGCAAAGCATTGTGTCATGACAAAACAGACTGAAATACTACATACCCATGTGTGAATCTGAATAGTAACATTTGTTTCAATACAAAGTTTGTGTGCAGATATTATTGAACCAAAAATTAATATTCATGGCCTCTTATGGACTTGGCCTTGCAGTCTTACGGCATCCAAAATATTCCTATCATCATGATTAGTAAAGAACCTGCAGGCTACAGCCACTTCAAGGAACACTTTTTAAAATATATATTTAGCAACTCAGTCTAACCATTGTAAGCCAAATGTGTCCATTTGCCATTCTGTAAGGCTTATTTGGAGACTTTCAGAAGATTCTCTACTTCAGCTTTAGATTTTGCATTGCCATTTGCTGCTTCACTGAAATTTTGCTTTTCTAGATCCTTAGGAGAATCAGGACTGAACCTGAATTGGTAGCCATAAGGACGGAGATGATAGATCAAATATTCCAGATGATACATAGTGATAGCATCAACATAGTGGAAGGAAACTGCCAGGTCAGAGCAGCAGCCAGGACCCTACCACAAAGGAGAAAAGGCATAATCAAAAGGCAAGATAGAGAAATACTGTGTTCTGGAGCTGTTTAAATATTAGTAATGTGAACTTAAGGGATCTTCAACACTATCAAGGTAGTAAAATAGAAGATGCTTATGTTTCTTCACTAGCAGAATATGCTGGGTTGTATCCAGGCCCTTCCACTCCAGCAATTCATTTGGGCCTCCTGATTTTCTGGGCCGGTTTTCTACCAGCCCTAGCCCCCAGTGGGTTAATTTATCTGTGGACATCTGGCACAAGGTGACAGTCCCTATAGGTATATGAATCCAGAGTGGACTGTTGTGTCATGAAAATCAGGTATCTGGGTAGCATTTTCAAGGGACTGGTTAGACTGTCATGAGAGAGGGAGGGTGGGCAAGTCCACTTCCATCAACACATTTAATTCAGCATAATTTTGGATCCAACCTGTTTTACTCTGAAAGCCAATTTGTTTCATAAATGGTCTTACAGTACAATGTAATGGTCTTAGAGTAGTATGTTAACAGTAGTATGGCTGTTAAAATATACTTGCATTTGAAAATTGGGGAAAATTTTATTTAAATCCATTTCTCAGAGTATTATTGAAAGGAGTGAGGCCATAAAACCTACCTAACATGCTGTATGTACAAAGCCTCAGGCATATCCAATTAGTGTGTGTGTGTGTGTGAGAGAGAGAGAGAGAGTGAAAGTGAGAGAGAGGGAGAGGGAGAGGGAGAGGGAGAGGGAGAGAGAATGAACAATCTCTGCCTGCAACCGTGGCAAATGGTCAGCAGAGCACAATTGAATGGATTGAATACCCTATCAGGATACAAACAGCTTCAAAGGTTCACATATAATGTCAAGCTTAAAAGATCACTTCCTAGTGGTTAGTTTAGTATATGAAAATATTAAATAGTATATTAAGCCCAATCTTTGCAACAACAAAATCTTACCTCAATAGGAGGGTAGTAGTTATAATTCCAGTACCAAAAATTTCTGGGTAGATATCCTTTGATTAAATGGTGCTCTGGCACAAATGGATGGAAAGTTTCCTTGCCACTTGTATCCCTGGAATCTCCAGCTTCTACATTAATGCTCTCCATGCATTTGCCTAATGCCAAGTCTTCAATAGAAGAGCTATGAGTACATTTGTTGTTTTTGAAAGCATCCACAAACCTCTTCAGAGCTTCTTTGCTGAGAACATAGCCTGCACCTCCACTCATGTAGCCCTGTTTCACAAAAGGCTTAAATCTTCTTCCAAAATAAATTGGTTTTTCAGCACTGTATTTTGAAAGAAGCCATCTCAAGTTGTCTAGTGCAACATAAGTGTCATCATCTGCCTTCATGAACCAATCAGCTTCATCAAGATAATGATCATGCACATATTGGAAAGCTTTAATGGTTTTCCAGTATAACTGGTCCCTGCCTTCTTTGGTTTCTAACCCCACTGTTGGGAAGTCTTTATTCTCCTCAGAACTCATAAACAGCATTTTGTTGCAATGCTGGGCCCAAGTAGCTTTGACATGTTTGGCTTTCTTTTCTAGATTCTGAGGACCAGTCATCACCCAACAAAGAATTCTTACTTTCTGGTACAGTTCTTCAGCAATATTTTTGTTTTCATCTGTGCGGGGGGGGGGGGAGTTAAAAACTTCTGTCAGTAAATTGAGTGGTCAAACAAGCGAACAGTATATACAATACAGTACAGTACAATACAAGGAAGGTTTAATCTAACAGTGTTTGGTTTACAATTTCTATCAGCCCTAGCCAGCATAGGTAATGGCAAGGAACCATGGAAGTTGTAGGTGGAAACATTGGAAGGACAATTACGCACTCTCAATATAAGCTCGGTATAATTGAATAAATTTGTACATCATCTGCTGCTTCTTTGGAGTATCTGTTGCCTGAATCAACTTCTTAGAAATATATTTAAATATGGTGCTTGGTATATAAATCTACTAAATACATAATTATATTATTACTTCTAGTTAGCTCCATATAAAGTTTAGCAAACCATGACATAAAGGTAAACTCAAGGTAGGTCCCAACCATGTATGCTGAGAGTTTTGGGGTATCTGTCTGAACATACACAGAAGTGTTATCTTAAATTATAGACACTCCTAATTTCATTGAACAAGATTTAAAAAGTATTCCAAATTCCAAAATGCTCTATAATGATACAAGACTGAGATAATGTACTGCTGCCTCCTTGTCATCAAATGGTATCCTTAACTCTTCATCTGTGCACTCAGAATAACAGCAACAAAATTAAGATAGTAAAAAGTGCACCTCATATAATGGAAATATACATAGATCCAAGTATGATACTATTATCAGGGACCTACAAGACTCTTGTGAAGAAAAACGAGAAAGTATTCCATGCAAGGCATAAACATACCTTTGTGTTGCCCAGTGTCTGCATTGAAATTCATTTGTCCTTTCAACTGATTGCTTTCATCATCATCTGAGTGATGGCCATGAGGATCATTGTAAAGGATATGAGGCTCAACCTTAGTTTGTTCTTCCAATACTAAACTAAATAGAAAGTAACATAAGAGAAACCCAATGACTGATCCAAAGGAAAAGGGCAGGAGATTCAGTCGGGACTTAGAAGAGGCCATTTCCTGAAGCAATCCACTGCTGAGAGAGAGAGTGTGAGAGAGAGATGCTGAAGTGAACATACAAGAAAAATATAGACTGAAGCCAAGCAATTAATATCAAACTGCTGGTTTTTCAATTTTAAAGTGCATTTTGGCATAACATAGGGAAGTCTAAGGCCTAGTTTGTATATGCCACAACAGCTTACCATAACTTAGTTTGTCCACAGTGGCTGCTGGATCATGCCATAGTGCCATTTCGGCATGGTGCCCAGCTTGCCACATAATGTGAACCCAGGTTAGTTTGAGGGATAAAACAAGCCTTGTATTATTTAAGGGTTGGTAAACCCTCAAACAACCTCAGCACCTGGATTCACATGACAAGACAAGCCAGGTACGTGGCAAAATAGAGCAACTCCCACAGGTTAAGCCACATGGACTGTCATGCAGGACTGATAAAGATAATTCCACATGGCTTTTATTTTTTTTAAAATCTGTGACGTTGCCTTAAGATGACTCTCTTTTCTGTGGCTTTTTACTTGGACACCCAGAGGCTTATTTATTTATTTATTTATTTAAACATTTCTATGCCGCCCCTTGCCAAGGCCTCAGGGCGGCTTAAGGGGGGGGATGCAGGTATCTTGCAGAGTCTCTCTTTGTTGTTCCTTGTTATTGTCTGTTTTTATTGTCTGTTTTTAGCAGCTTAACTTTTATATATTTTCTGATATTTCATTGTACTTTTATCATCTCTTTTTACAGACTGTGTAAACTGTCCAGAGAACTTTGGCTGTGCGGTGTATAGAAATGCAGTCAGTCAGTCCCCTTTTTTTAACAAAATGTTGCATCTGTGTGTGTGCTGGCTGCTTAAGGGCCATTCTGGACAGTCGTGTGTTGGTAAATCTTAGTAGCTTTTGTTATTCTTCTCATTCTGAAATGTTAGGTTGTGGAGGTTGTTAGTATTCTGTTAATATAGCAAAGTGTCTGGTCAGAAAACTGGGTTAATGAAGAATGAAGTAAATAAAGAAATGAGCAAATATGTCCTTTGGTAAAGGGAGAGGCCTATTTATTAAAACGTTCCTGTTCCAACTTTTGACCGAATATTTCTTTAAAGCAGTTTGCAGATCATTTACTATTCAAACCAAAACAGTTTTGATCAATCATCAAACAGTGCACAAAAATAAACTATATAGCTAATTAACTGTGCAAAATAAAGGGGGGGGGGGGTGAACACCACAAACCATTCCTAGAAAGTCAGAAGAAACCCTTAAAGAATCACTATTGTGCAATTCCAAAAAAATCTACAACTTTTTCTACAGGGGAAAAACACTTTAATACTGGATCAATCTAACAGAGACAACAAAGGAGAAAGGCCTTTGAGGAACATTAAGTAGGATAGAGTCATATAGGTTGTTCTTGTCCTTTACGCTAGGGAATGGATTACATCTTTTTGATGACAAAGATAAATGTTCAAGCTTTTTCCTAGACTGGGTGGGTATATTGCTAGATTGGGTCAAGCGTGGACGTGCATCTATGCAAGGAACATAAAGGTGGGAAAGTAGACATTCTGAATTGCTACTGGTACCTTGTTTTTAAATATTTTATATACTCAGTTTTAGATCTTGTATGATGCTATTGTAGTGTTGGAAAGGGCAAGTAAGCTGGGGCGGATATTTTGGTAAGCTGGCAGAATTCCAAATATACTGTCCTCACCAACAATTAGCATGTCAGGTTCTGACAGGGGATGTTAGAATACAGTGCACCTATGGGTATGCATAGTTTTATAGAAGAGAACTTTACATAGATGCTAAAGGAAAGTTTGCTATTATCACCAACATTCATCAAGCTACATGTATTTGAGGCAAGAGAATGCCATAGAAAACTATGAGAAACTGCATCATTTTGTTATAGGATTCCAGTTCTACAATTACTTATTTCAGATGTCTAGTGAACTGAGTTTTTTTTTAGAGTACAACCACCTTATCACTAGATCTATTTGTCTCTGTTTTTGGAAATATGCATTGTTTAAGTAAAATATTTTATTTAGCATTTATTTATTCTTATTATATTACATATTATTCCTTTTTCAAGTAACCCATCTAGCCTCTCCAAATGGCCCTTTTTGAAAGTTGTCATATAGTATCTATTTATAACTTGTATGTGTACAGGCATTATACTCCCAAAAGTTTAAACCTTCATGGGAAGAGCCTGGAGCAAAAACTTCTCTTAGATGACAACTGTTTAGCCATGACAGAAAAAACTGCAAGGAAGTGTCACTGCAAAACTATCTTTTTTCAGGGCAATGGTTGGTTTTAAAGATTATTATCAAGCACATACACAGCAACAGAGAGATGCAAAATTACTTTTAACAGCACAGTCCTAGCATGTACACTCAGAAGGAAGTCCCACGGCATTCCATATGACTTACTCTCAGGTAAATGTGCTTTGGACTGCAGCACAACAAGGCAATCCTGTGTGCATTATTTCTTCAGAACATGCTGGGGTTAGTCCCATGTAAGGGTTGTAGTCTATGCTGCACTTGCAAGATTGGTCTTAGGGTTCTTCCAGGGACGTGTGCATATGTTTCCTATCCGCTATCCTATCCACATTGTGCGGCTCTTCCAGCTTTTCTTCCTTAATATTTTTCTGTAGGGGAAAAAGGAGGGAAGAGATGGTGAAGATACATAAGGGTTACACAAGAAACATGGGGGTGTCTGGGCCCTGTAAAATTCTGGTAAATAATACAGGGCAGTTGTATATTTAAAGGCTCATCTTGGGTGCTTCCATACAGAGGACTCACAGCAGCAACCAAATGGCATTCTACAGTATTTCCATTTACTTCTCCTTAAAAGGCAGAAGATGCTTTAAGAAAACATGGGCAGATCATCACCAAAAGTCATAAGACTGGACCTCCGCAGAACTTCCATAAACAAGTCACAGCACCAGAAAAGCCTGGTCTAGAATTACCCTTGAAGAGCTTGAAAAAGTGAAAAGGTGACCCCTTGTAAACGTCATTCTAGAAAATACCATCTCTTCGTAGTGATGCAAGATCTTTCACTTTTCCCGTTTTTGACCTCTCTCTCCTTCAAATCATGTGTCAATTCGCGTTACCGTCTCCACGAAGTAGCTTTTAGAACTTGTCTTTGCCACTCGTTTCTTCCGTTCAGGAAGCTCTTTCCGATTTTCGTCCGCCCAGTGCAGTCAAGGCCCGCGTCACCCCTGCTGGCCGCAAACTCGGCAGGCCCAACTCCGCAGTCACTGGCAAGTGCAGGCTGATGGACTGGAGACTCCTCCGGTTTCAAAGCGAAGCTGGGACCGCATGCGTGGGCATTTCAGGGCGGCCTTTGGTCAGGGTGGGCAGAGACGAGATGTCCCCCTCTTGCTCACCAATAAACCGGAGCACCGATACGCCCGACCCTCCCCGCCCGTCGCTGCGAATGATCTCACTGGCGACACCGACTTCAGGGAGGGCTTCCAGCAGACCAGTCTGCTCCCACTCTCAGGCTGCAACTCCCATCATTCCCAGGCAGCATGATCTATAGCCGGCCCCAGCGGGGCGCCTTCCAGTGTCTCGGCCTACAGCCCCCCCCCACCAAACCACCCCAGCGGGGGATGATGGGGGGTCTACTTTCCAACGCCATATGGGGAAAAGGCCAGGTTGAGGCAAGCTGTATAAGCCCCGTCGAAATCCATGACCTCATGGCTGCCCGAGGTCCCGTCGATTCCAATGGGTCTACTCTTAAGCAAGACTAAGTCTGGATCCAAACTAGCATTTCCATCTCCACGTAGCCCCCAAAGGGCACGCGGGCCCCGCCGATTGCTACACCGGCCACGGGGGGGGGGGCGGGGTCCCCACTTCCCTCTGCCCTGACGGACACGCTAGAACGGCCGCGCCAGCGACCTCCTGAGTCTCCCTCTCCGCGGACGGCATTCTGGTCAGGCCCGGCCCCGCTGCGCCCTCGCCCCTCGTTTCCCCTCAGCCTCCTCGCTCACCTTGGCCGGGCCTCTGCCCGGGGATGGGCTGGGGATGGAAGGCCCCTCTCAGGCACTCCAGGGCTGCGCAGGCGGCGCGGGCGGGGAGGGAAGCGGCATCCAAAAACGCGGCCCTGTCGGCGCCATCCCCTGCTGCTCCGGAGCGGGTCGCGCACTGCGACGCAGCGGCCCTCCAGGGAGAGGAGCGGAGAGTCGAGGCCGGCCCACCTCCACCAACCCGCCGTCCCCCTTGCGACGGGGCGGGGTCTCGGCGCCCTCGCTTCCCGCCCACCTGATGACAGAGACGAGGAGCAAGAGGAGAGGCGGCGCTCGCTGCGCGCTCGCTCGCTCGCTCGCTCGCTCCTGCTTGGTGCCTGTGCTGCCGGCGAAAGAGGGTGGCGGTGCCGCGCTTGCTTCCCGCGCTCGCTGGTTTGCTTCTGGGCATAAAAAATGCTTGGCCTGGGCCAGCCTGCTCGCCCTACTTGTTGGGAGCCAGCCGCACGGAGCGCAGTGGCGCTGGCTCTGCGGAGGATTGCATTGCTGGGGACGGTAAGGGGAGAAATAACGGGCAGCCCTCGGAGGAAAAGGCGAGGCTGCCAGGGCTGCTGCTGCTCTTCATGACTCAGCCCAAGTCGTGCTCTCATTTCCAAAGGGAGCAGTGTCCGGGAAGCCACACCTCTGTCTCTTGAAAGACAGAAAATTGCACGGCGCCTAGTTGCGAAGCACATACATCACAAACTTACTTTTCCCTTAGGCCTTGCGAAACGTCCACGTGCCCGGAGTTGTTGCTGATCTGCGTGCTTGTCTATGCGGGAGTAAGTCTTGTTTGACTTAATAGGGCTTACATCTGAGTAGACCTGCCTAGGATTAAAGGCAGGATTGTTAAACACTGTAGTCTGATTTAGTACAGGCTTAGTTGTGTGGAAAGGGGGAGCTTTTCCTCTTCCCTCGAGATTCCATTTCCTTTAGTGTGTTTTATTGAATTGTACAGTGCTGTTCTTCAATTTCTGTAAAGTGCTTAGAAAAGCCAAGTTGTTTCATAAGTGATACACTGATGATAATAGTGCCTCATGGTTAATTTGTTATTCTTGTAATTCCATCATTATAGGACCACAGTTTATTTTTAGTGCTACAGTTTAATTGTAACAGACAATTATAGATTTTTTCCCTACAAATGGTCTACAATTGTCTGCTCTGTTCTTTTTCCTAGTGAAACTGATGTATCACCTGGCAGAGTCTGCTCTGAATGTCTGCAAACCATCCTCCTCCATGCAAACATTTATTTATCTATTTAAAATGTTTTTATGATGACTAGAACATGCTGACTAGAACAACCAGTAACTGTTTTTTTTCTTTCCCTCCCCAACACATTTCTTTATTAGATTTATGTCCTGCCTATTTTCTTGTTTAAAGAACTCGGAATGGCTTATATCATGCTCCTCATAACAAAAAGCCTGTGACATAGGTTGGGTTGAGTCTGTAACTGGCCAAAGTGACCCAGTTGGGTCCATGGCTGAGTGGGGACTAGAACCCAGATTGCCTGAGTTCCAGTTCCAAGAATAATTGCAATTTTCTTATTGATACTTACTGCCAAACACAGGTCATTTCATCCCAGAATGTTAGAAATGTTTACATTTTGCAATAATACACAATACAGTTGGTTTTTTGATCTGTTGAAATTGAGTTAGCTTTGGATATAAAAACAGCAGCGCTACCTTGTGGCAGAAGAGAGTTATTGTTGCTTTTGTTCATAAAAGGTTTCAGATTAGGAATCCAATCATTTTGCCATGATTATTAACACACGCTAGGAGTTTGTACAGAGTTATGCAGAAGTCACTGAGCATGATGATCTTGACTATGATAGTGTAGTCCTTCTGTATATAAAACTGAATATGTTGTGTATTTGGGCAACTGGAATTTGGTGTGTATATTACTAGAAAGAAAATAATATCACTAGTGCTATTTTCTCATTACCAGTGAAAGAAGCATTGCTGTGCTTGATTTGTAACTCAGATTGTCATAGAACTGCCAAGCATGCTCAGACCTCATGATCCTTTAGCCAGAAATCAAGAACCTCTCACAGCAAGGAGGAGAGCATACATAGGTTGGAAAAGCAGCAACTACAAGGTACACCTATAAGAACTTTGTAAGAAATAAATTATTCCTGAGTTTGCTTTTTCCCTCTTCCCTCCCAATTTCTGTTCCTTTTGTGAAATTTCTTTAAGATGGGAAGCCAGAGGGCAGGAATGTTTTACTACTCTTTGTAAGCCACTCTATAAGCTAATTTTTGGTGAAGAGCAGAGTAAGAATGCTCTAAATATATATATGGCCGAAGGGACACTTAACATGCAATCTTTTACTTGTCTACACAGAAGTTCCACTGGGTCTAAAGCTCTGGGTAGCACAGTATCTGGCTCATGTTTCCCTGTGGGTGGTTTCAGAGAGCAGCAGATGATGAAGCAGGGCATCAGGCACAAACTCCACTTTATTAGTGATGGTGTTGTGATTTAAGTATGTTTAAAATGCAAAACTGTAGGATGCCGATTCTTCTTCTTTTTTAAATCGGGGCTAACATATCAGGAAGCAGAAGAGAAATGCCACTTGTGTGTTTCACATCTGGTCATACAGATGGATGACTGAGGCCCACCTGAGCTGCCTACAAACTGGTTGTTAATTCCAGAGTCTAAAAGGCACGACTGGACTGCTCAGAAGTGCATAAAAAAGCAGGAATCCTTAAACCAGTGGGGGGAGGGGGACACTGCCTGCATTCTTGGCTTCTCAGCACCCATCAGTCCCAGGGTGAGGCCCGCGGGGGCTGAAATCCAAAGCTCTCTTTTCTGCCCAACCCTGACCAGTAGGGGACCGAAAGGTTGCCAACCCACCCTTAATTGCAGAGACTTTTAATTTAGTGTGCAGTCCTCGACACCGTGAGATAGGAAAAAAGTCCTACATCTCCCAACATTCCCATGGCTGGCTGCGGAATGCTGGGAGATGCAGGACCTTTCTTTTGTCTGAACTCTCTCAGGTTTGCGCTTTAAATCGCACGGTCGTGGGAGCTGGCACCGGTTTCCGAGTTAACAGGGCCGGCAGCCAAGTCGCTGCAGCGGCCCGCTAAGCAGGAAAGTCGAAGCAACCAGCGGGGCGGAGCGCAGGCTGATGAAATCCCGCTCGGGTATTACAGGAAGCCCAAGAAGGGTGCGCTGCATTGCGCCGGGCCTGGCTGGGCGGAGAGGAGAGAGGTTTCCGCCTTTCTCTTTGCTTTCTCTCTAGTCTGGGCAAGCGGCGCAAGGGTTGGAGCTGCGGGGCCGGCCGGCCGGCTGCTTGGTTTGTGCGGTGTCTGTTCCGGCTGGCGAAGAAAACATTTCCCGTGGCGGAGCGGAAGGTAACGGACATGGGGTGGGGGGGACTCATACTTCGCTGGCAGAGCTCCTGCTCCTCCAAAATCCGTAGGACAGGCGCGTCCCTCCGTCCCATAACTCGAGTGAAAGCTGCAACTGTTGAATTTCTAGTGGGCACACGAGCTTTCCTTTATGGGGTAAACTGAAACGCTCATTCATCACCACCATGCGAAAGGACCGAACTCAAGTAATCCACGCTTTCCTTGGAAAACTGCAGCTGTTCTGGGTATCGAACATGCTTTCGAAAGCGTGCGGGCATTTGGCCGGGATCTTTCCTGGTGGGGGGTGCGAGAAGAAGATGCGATCATCTTTTTCCAGTATGCCGAGCACCCTCTCCTTTGTAATTCAGGAGCGGGCAACTTCTGTCCTGCCCCAACAAATGTTTTGGCTTACACCTCCCGTCATCCCTCCAGGGCCAGAGAACGTTTATCCCTGCCCAGGTGAGGTGTACAGAACTTGCAAGTTGTGACATTCCTCTCTCTCTAGTTGGAGAAAAGGGCAATTTTCAAAAGTAGATTTGATTCCTTGGCTTTTTCTTGTCTTGCCTTCACCCTGTATCTTTGCTATTCTTCTCTTCAAAACGAAAGTGTTGATTCCAAAGCTTGTCCTTTACTGCCTGCCCTCATTCTTCCTTGGCCTGATATGTTTTCCTATGTGAGTAGCGGTGTGACCTTTCTTGCAATTCTGTATATTTCTACTCAAAACTAAGTCCTGTTCAGTACAGAGGACAGTTACCAGGTAAGTGGGAACAAGAATGGAGCTCCAGCCTTCTGGTGGGTGAAACCATTGGCTGAGTGAACAGTCCTGGAGCTTCATTCATTTTCTTGAATGGGGAAAATCAGTTTCTTTATTTGCTCCGCAATACTGTGGCCTCACAACCGTTGCCTCGCAACCCAGTATGTGTGCGGGGCAAGGGGCAGTCCACTCCAAGGTCCTCTGACTAGGAATACCCAGATGACCTGTCTCATAGCCAGCACAGAAATAACTTAGACTGAAAAGGTATGCCTGTGGGTCAGGGAGGGGGACAGACCAGTGCCAGTGGCTTATGCTTTATACAAATGGAGGCCCTACCGCCGCATTGAGATGCCCCAAAACAGCTGTCTAGAAGAAATGGAGGGTGCAAAGTGCAGGGTGACAGAATTTGCCACTGCTGTGATCCATGCCCTGAACTGGATGCATGTGCATCAAGGACAGATGGTGTAGGATCATGTCCCAAGTATAGTTGTCCTTTTTCCTTGTAGGCTAGATCCAAATTTAGTTATATTTGGAGAAAGCCCATTGAGACTCTAGCCATGTGTAACCAGGCTAGAAAGATGAAAACCATATGTGTTGACATGAATGATGATAAAAATGCATACTTTTGGAATGATAAGCCTGCAAATATTTTTCTTCCAATTTCCCCCATCCCCAGAGATCAATGGAGGTTTTCAAGCCCATAATGTGAATTTCACATGCGATGTAGGTGAATACATGTGAAACTGACACAAAGTAAAAATAGTTTGATCTCACCAGCTGCTACTATGAGGAAGTTTCAAGTTAGCAGCTGTTTTTAGATGGCTAGGGTGAAAGCAGCATTTCCCTTTTTGAATACCTTTTCTGCCTATTGAAATTAAATGACAGTGTTTATCTGACACTATAATGACTTACAACTGGAATATTTAAGGTAGTAACATGGTGAAAGACACTGTGTGGCCAACCCTTTCATCATAGGTGTGTACTGGATCATTGCTGCATCAGTGTCAGATCTGCCATGTGCTTTGATTCTGTGCCATCCTGGCAGAAAGCACTGTCAGGATATCTTATTCAAACACTCTGCATCACAGAGCGAAAGTCCTGAATCAGTATAATTAGACCTTAATTTTAATTGGACTGGTAGTATGGGAAATATAGCATTTATGTAGGGGTTGTAGCTAAATGGAAAATTTAGTTAGCACAGATCCATTGTAATGAATGAGATTTATATTAGACTAACACTGGATACATCCCACATTAACCAATGCATATAGATCTGAAGTCTCCAGCCTGACTCTGAAGTCTCCCAAGGGCCTATATGTGCCCCCTGATACTTCTGTTGGCATCCCCGGGCTCCTTGCCACACATGATTTTTATTTTATTGCTTAAAAAAACCCTACACTGTTTTCAGCTTGCAAAACAAAGGTCTGCCTTTCAGTGCCATCTTGATTTGGACTCAAGTGGTTTTGTGCTTTGGAGCTCAGCCTTCATTGGTGCCTTGCAATTAAGCCAGTTATTTTTCTTCTGGTCTCACCAGTTTGCCCTCTGGGAAGTGAGGGTTATGTAACTGAGCATATCCAGAAGGGCAGTCTTTTTAATGAATGGACTAGCTGCCTATCATATGACAGTTATTTTGTGAGTCACTAACCACATTCTCTCAAAATCCCAAATGGGCCCACCAACCCAAAAGGTAGAGAATCCCTGCGGAAGATTATGCTACCATAGTTATAACTATTTTCCTAAAATGTTGATGAGTTCCACACATCCCCCATCTTCAAAAAGTGATGTAGGAAGTTGGTGAGGTCCTCATGGAACGCACTGCCTGGTGCAATGTGTGTGCAGAGAGGAGCCCCAGCTCTTACTCTCAGAGGGAGATGCCCCATTTTGAGAGGATGGTGGCAGCAGACTTGAGCAGATGTCTTGGCAGTGTCAAGGTTGCCTATGGAGATTCTCAGACAGAGCGTAGGAGCCAGTCTGCCTTTGGAAAAGAAGGGAGATCTTTCAGAACTGGGGGTGGCGGAGAGTGAGGTGGACTTCCTTGTCCTGTGAATGTCAAGAATTTCTACCATCCAGCCCCCAGAAAGTGTGGCCCAACCTGATGGTAGAGTCAGAAGCATTTCTGAAAGGGAGGGAAGTTCCAGTTTGGATTCAATGCTACATAGGCGGATGCTTCAGCCACATCTCAAAGAAAATGCTACTTTGCTGTATACTGTTTTGTAACCAGTTAAGTTTTAACAAGTTATTAAAAGGACTGAACTTCTAAAGTCTCATCTGAGTCTGCTGGAGAGGAAAAGAGGGTGGAAGAGGCCTGCACACTACAGCTTGACATTAGTTTCAAGAAATGCAGCTTGCTCTTATGCATATTTCTGTGGTCAGTGGAACTGTGGATTGAGTTCTACTTATGTTTAGTTGCCCTAATAACATAAGATTCAATTCCATAACAGCAATAAACATTTTCTGGCTGTATGCAAGGCAAACTTAGTAAAAAGCACTAAGTTGAAAATACAGTCTTCAAATATTGCCTTTGGAACCTTTCTGGAAGTAGGCTGCAAAAGTCCCCGTGACTGTCCCTGTAGTGAGCTTGCAATCCTCTGCCCACTTAACTGGGAGGAAGCTGCATCGAGTCTGGTGAGTCTTCTGGTTAAACATGAATAAGACTGAGCTCTCCATTAACTTATCTAATCCTTTGCACTGGGAAAACCAAGAACTGCTATTTCAGCCATGTAAATAAGCCTGTGAACATTACAACTGTGCACCTTTTTTCTGGCCTGCTGGGGGCTGGCAAAGTAGAGACAGAGTGCTGTATTTGTATGCTGGCTGCCATGCAAGGAGCTCCCCTCCTCCAGTAGCCAGCTTGGTTTCTTTGCTGGACACAAAAACAGTTTGGCCATTTCATCCTCCCTGCCAGCCAACTCACATGCCTGCGTACAATTCAGTGCAATTCCTGGTTGTCTGTAGTAACCATGCTAGTGCTTTCATCCAAGAATATATTTGGTTCAGGACGTAGTCAAATTAGGATCTCTGTAATTCTCCAGATTTGAGGATTATGGGCATCCAGTGTAGTGCAGAACAGGAGGAATGCAAAGCAAAAGAGGCCTTTCTGCTCCCCCTACTCTGCAAATGGCTAATTTTGGCTGTCTAATTGGGATTTCATAGGAGAAGGAAAAGTGGCTGAGGTGCTGCTAGGATATGCCATCTCACGAGTGCACTTGTCTCCTTTCACACCTTTCTTCCACGGCTCCTCAAAAATAGCATTGATCAAGTAGCTTATCAAATAGCATTGAAAAGCTGTTTACTGAAAAGAACCCCACCCCACACACACACCAACAAATCAAAAGGCTGTTTAAAATTGTGTAATTGGAAGAAGATAGTTTGGAATTTGTATCTTTATTCCTCCACACCTTCTTTTCAAGGAATTGTCTGCAACTTTGGACTCTGGAAACAAATCAAAGCTTCCCAGCTTCTTATTGGGCTACTTGATGAAACAGAATGTTCTCCTTTTTGTTAAGAAATTTGTTAATAAATATCTGATTGCTGGTCACAAAGAAACTACACATCATAACTCAGTAACCAAACCATATCCTTTGCCAATGTTTTTCTCCAGCAGCCTTGAGTGGAGAACACCATGTGTGGCATTTGGGCCCTTTTTGGAAGTGATGGATGCCTCTCTGTGCAGTGCCTGTGTGCTATGAAAATAGCCCACAGAGGCCCCGACGCTTTTCGCTTTGAGAATGTCAATGGATTCACCAATTGCTGTTTTGGCTTCCATCGTCTGGCAATTGTTGATCAGCTCTATGGAATGCAACCTCTGAGGGTGAAAAAGTTTCCCTACCTCTGGCTGTGTTACAACGGAGAAATCTATAACTACAGAGAGGTAAAAGCAAAACATCTGGGCCCATCTGCAGGCTCTAAGGCTTCCTTGATGCAGCTTTTGTCCTAGTAAACTGCTTTGCACATGCAGCATAAAAGCGCCTTAAATTAAGTGTGGGCAACCCATGTCTCTCAGCCTAACTTTTGAAGCCCTCAGCAAGCTATTCCTTCCCACCTCTGGCAAGAGCCATCCAGTTTTGCTATTAATACCTAATATTTTATGACTGAGATGTCATTCCTTTCACCCCCGCTCCCCCAGGAGATGGGATGGAATTTACGCTTAGATATGGTATGGAGCCAGCTGACTTGTGCTCTCCCCACATTTCAAAAAGAACATTTCTGTTGGATGCTTGCAAAAATAGTGAGTGGCTTTTATCGAGCATATGCAAAGGCAGGAAGCAACCAGCACTATTCAGAGTGGCTAATAAAAGAGCCTTGTGGGTGGGGAGGAAGTGGCAAGAGAAAGTAGAGCTTTAGTAGTAAGTGGGGAAAGGAAAAAGGGGTGGCCAACTTGTTGCTCGCGTTTGCCACCCACCCCCACCATGTAGGAAGGTTCCAAGGGGGTGAAGTTTTCAACAGAAATAAATAACTTGCTGTCTGTGAAGCGTCTCATCTCAGTTTTTGGGGCATTTTTGGTGGCCAGGTTAAGAATGATTAAAAATAAACATGCAGATGAATACGAAATTCTGCATGCATGTGTGTGCACACATGGTCATAGGCCCACTGACAGAGACTGCAAAATAGCTAAGGCCAGTGCCCATGTAGTACACGAAGGGGGTATTACAGTTGAAACCAAATTAAGAGGTAGAAAAATCCAAGGGCAATAAGTCTTTGATGAAGTACACAGTTCAACTTCAAAAGACATAGGTGATGTGTAGTAGCTACTCTTAGTGCTTACTGGCACAAATTAGGTGATATCAACAGGTACAGATACACACCTGGTGTTTTTCCATGTAGGGAAAGAAGGGGTGTGCTTACCCATAAGTTTCCACAAAAGTAGACCAAATAAGTACACATTTGAAGTTGGTGCCTATATATATCAGAAGTGAAGTGAAGTATATATCCCTATCTCTCTCCCTCTCTCCCTCTCTCTCTCTCTATCTTGTATATATAAGTCCTTCAGTTCATTGCATTATAGGAGGTGAGTGTTGATCCTTTCAATGCTGTAATATCAGTCTTTTCGGCATCAAAAGGATGCAGAGAATCCATTTATGTTGACAGTGTATTAATTCCCATGTAATAGGTAAATAATTTGAAAGGGCATATAGATCAGAGAATTATTAGAAGCTGTTCCAGCACAAAATTTATCCTTGTAATAGCCTCTCCCCCACTCAAAAGAAGCAACTGCAGGACATTTGCAAAACATAAGTTTAAAAGAGGAACTAACTGTATTGTATTGCCAGCTGAATTAGGCAAGCTTTAATTTAAGAGATTTTGCATTATCAAACAACATGAAACATGCTTTTGCTCAATAAGACACAGTCTCTCCATAGCACCCCCTGAATCCCCTTGAAAATACTACACAGAAGGTCAAGGAACCTTGCCAAATGGGGTAAGCTGTGGTGTGGGATGGGGAATCTCCCCCGAGATGAGGCAGGGGCAGCAGGCATGCAGTTTGCACTCTTCTACCAACAAAAGGAGATCTTGGATCCAGCCCAGTGTCTCACCATGGCAAACAGTTGTTGCCAAGATGGATACAACAAATTTCAAAATATCACAGGAAAAATGCAGACCCAAAAGATGGGAGCAGCCCTTGATGGGGAAATTTTATCATAGGTTTTGGAGAATAAGATTTTTTATCCTGGAGAAATGCAAGACTGTTTATAGAAAACTGCCAAATCACCTGATAAGATGCTTTGCTTGGATTCTGTGTTAAAAAATAAAAATAAGAATCAGTAAACATGTCTGACAATATTTTTCAACCTTCAGAAGTGCATCTTTCCACATGCATTCAAAGCATCTTTAAAATATTTTTGTGCCACATGTAATAGTAGAGAAAAGTTGCTTTATCTGAGGTTTATTGACACAATCAGTTATCCGGAGACTCTCTTTGAATGGTGTTTGAATGGAGAAATCATATACTAACAAGTGTTTGTCAGGAAATGTACATTTTTCTGACACTTATGACAAATGTGATCTATACCATTCTAATGTTAATGTATAATTATTCTCTTTTAGGTTATAGAATGTATTCTTTTTATGTATGTCTGTGAATACTAATTTTGTTCCTTTCCATATCTGCTTTCCCCACTGCCACTCTTTTTTAAAATTCTTTTTTGTAGCTGCAGAAACAGTTTGAGTTTGATTACCAGACCTTAGTGGATGGGGAGGTAATTCTTCATCTTTACAACAAAAGAGGAATAGAGGAAACAGCTTCCATGCTAGATGGTGTATTTGCATTCATTTTGCTTGACACTGCAAATAGAAAAGTCTTCCTGGGAAGAGATACATATGGAGTCAGACCATTGTTTAAGGTCCTGACAGATGATGGATTCTTGGGTGTTTGCTCTGAGGCCAAAGGTAACTGCTCCAACTCTCTGATTCTTTTTGAAATCCATCCTCATGAGTTACAGATATTAACTATCAGCTTTGATCTTTGACTCTACAAATAGACCCAACTGTGTCATTCTGTATGTTCTTTTAGTTTCTGAAATATCTTACGTCATTCTATGCCAACAATTTTTTCAAATAAAAAATGTGTTGGGTGAAAGTTGCTTCAAGCAAAAAGTGACAGGTTTTTGCAGAAAGCAAAGGCACAAACATAGAACATGAGAGGAATTCTGCAAAGTAATTATTATGGGAATTATTCTGTGAGTTTATTGTCTAGATTCTGCTCTTACGGGGAAAAAGATAAAAATTTAAAATAATAGTTTGATCAAGTCTAATGTATGTGCAGTAAGTTCCCCATAGCTTCTGAAAGAGCCTGCTAACAGCACCTGCCTTGCAAAGCCACCCTGTCTGAAGCACCGGATTGCATCCTTCTGGTGCATCAGCCACAGGTTGGAGACAATCCTCCCAGTACTTCAGATGGATCAGCATTGCTGTGTGCAGTCCTCTCCTAGTGGGAGAAAACCATGCAAAACTATCCTACGTGTTGCCTGAGGATTGTATGGCCTCACCTTAATGCTGTTTGTCCCATGTTTGTGGGGATGAACCAGCTGCCCAGTTCTCCACTCCCCATAGGGCATAAGAGTTTTCATTCCTCATGTGTGCCTTCATGGGCTTGCAGTGTACCAGGCTCTAAGGAACAGGGAAGGTCTGGGTGCACCTCTCACAAGGGGTGTGTGCACAAGCTTCCAGTGGCCTGCGATGGTCTGATGTGGTGACAACCATGTGTGCAGAGAACATAGAAGAGAACATGATGCTCCTTGTGTCCTGTGAGGCTCTTCTGCTTCATCTGTAGGGAATTAGCTCCCATCATCCCCAGCCAGCATTGTCCCTGGTGAGCAGGGAGGATGGTTGCTGCAGTCAACACATCTGTAGGAAGGGTGGCTTAGGCACTTTGAAACACTTCAGTGACAGGAATTTTATGTTCGGAAAACACTACCAACCTCCTCCCTCCAATCTCATGTATCTAGGTCTTATCAACTTGAAGCACAACATGTCCTTCGCACCCAAAGTGGACCCTTTCCCTCCGGGTCACTACGAAGTGTTGGATTTGAAGCCAAGCGGCAAAGTCGGATCAGTGGAAGTGGTAAAATTTCACAGCCCAAAAGAGGAACCTCTGCATGCTGCGTACAGTGCAGTACAAAATCTACCCTCAGGTAACAGTGAGTCTAAAACAGGTTTCTTAATCTGTTGGATGGGTCCCTTCCATAAAGCTTGAAGAGTTCATGGCTCCTCTGGTGAATCATTTTATGTTGAGGGACAGGGGTGGGGCACTTTTCTGTCAAGGCCTATTTTCCTTGCTTTGGTGGCAGACTGCCGGGGCCACATGCTGGCTGTGGGTGTAGCTGAAGGCTGAAGGCAAAGGTGGGTGGACCAGAACCAAATGCGGACAGTGCCTCCCCCTTCTCTTTCTTAGCCACCCGCTTTCCCCTCACTTTCTTCCCACCCGGAGTGCCAATGTGGGAGGGGCAGAGCATCCTTCCCAGAAAACAGAATTGGTAATTTCTGGAGGGCTTTTGAACTGTACTTTGCCCACCCTCTGCTAAAGAGGCCCCAGGCCCTGAGTGGTTAGGAAATGGATTCGCTTTTCAGTAAAGAATTTCATGATCTTACTTAAACAGGCCTCGATTTCTTTGCTAGGTGTTGATGTGGAAACTGTGAAAAGCAACATTCGACTGTTGTTTGAAAATGCCGTTAGGAAACGTTTGATGTCTCACAGAAGAATTGGATGTCTTCTCTCAGGTAGCAATATTGGATTGTTGGTAATGGTTATATTCATGTTCCCTAACACTCCATTTTGGTAATTTTGGCTATACCTTACATTTAGAAACATTTTAATGGTGATTAAAAAAATAACTGTAAAATGCACATGCTGCTTTTCTCATTAAGTTCACGGAAAGCCACAGAAAGCATAGTGTAGCATATTGCAAAACTGGGTGGATTTACTGATTCTGGCAGGTGGCTTTGGTGACTTTAGATAATCCAAACAGTAGCTGTTGAGTGCTTTTTGATGTGCAGTAAGATTGTTAAATGTATTTGGGAGGCATAAGAGGAAACAAGGAATCTGTTTTATGTAGCATATTTTATATACCAATCTGCAATCTCAGTCCTCTACCTTGGCTTTTCCCAACCTAGTGTTCTTCAGATGTTTTGGGTGATGTCTCCCAGCATTCCTGATTGTTCACAATTGTAGCTGGTCCTGATGGGAGTTGAAGTCCAAAGCATCTGCAGCACACTGGATTGTGGAAAGCTTCTCTAAGTGCTTGTAATGCTGTGATGCACTGGAAGATTTGAAGAAGTTCCCAGGTTTACAGAAAGGGAAAATCTGTGGGGTGGGGAGAGGAGACTGCCCCCAATACAGCCTAATAACCAAATGAGGATGTTCTGTAGCCATGGAATTCTGAGTGACTGCTTTTGGCAGGGGATCAGGGAGGGAACAAAGATCCAGAACACTGGGGAGAAGCAGAAATTGAATGGAGAAACTGGACTGAGAACTCTACATACTGCAAGGTATTGTCTCAGGTCCCAGTTGTAAACTTGGAATACAAGTAAGAGCTTTTTCCAGTGCTGGAACACAATGGTATTTCTAGCTAAACAGTAGGGATGTAGCACAATGAAGTACTCACATCATGTGTATAATTTATATACATATATTATATAAATTTATAATTAATTAATGTGAGGATTTCCAGGTTTGATTGTAACACCCCCTGAACATATTTGCTACTTCTAGTATGTTCAATTTAAAATAGGCAAGTCCATTCTGTTTTTATTTGTACATGATGCTTGTCAGTTATATGGGATGCTCATTGTCAAGAACTAGATGGTTAACAGACATAATCATGGGTGGTTATTTAACAGGTGGCTTGGACTCAAGCTTGGTTGCTGCAATGCTTGTCAGACTGATGAAAGAACAAAAATTTCCTTACACTTTGCAAACTTTTGCTATCGGCATGGAAGACAGTCCTGACCTGCTGGCCGCAAGAAAGGTAGAATTACACTTTGGCATTCAGTATTACCTGTAAATGAGTTTGCATTTAATGTTTTCAATGTTCTTTTTAATGTTTTAAGATTGTATTGTTTTAAGTTGTTCTATGCTGTCCTAACAGGTAAGACGGTATATAAAAATTGATAATACATGAACAGATTGCAGTAGTATGATATATGGATTGATACTGGACATGTAACATTACTCGTTATAGAACCTAGTCATTTGTTTTTGTTTTTTAAGCAAGGTTCCAAACCAGCCATGAGCAACTGCATGAGGTCTGGGAGCCTTTTTTGCCTGGTCACTGTTGGGCAGTGCCTGTGTCTGTGTGCCTGTCCTTCTTTTTGTAATGGCAATTGTAGTGCTAGGGAGTGCTGGAAAGGTTAAATTTAGCTTGCAGACAAGCCCATTTGGCTTTCTATAGCTGCCATAGATGAACTGGGCACATGCAACCCACAGGCCTCTTACTGTCAACTCCTGTTTTAGATCTTTTAAATTTTATTATTTTTAATGTGAATTTCTCCAAAGCCATTTAAAGGGAGGGGGTTTATCTTAAGGCTGTAAAGATAGTCTGGAAAGTACATGGCCAGTGAATGATTAACTATAATCCAATGAAAATAAGTGATAATTTGTTTACCTTATGAAAAGTGTAATGCATGGGTATTGAATTTCACAACTTGTGAGCCACTTTTGGCCTGCCTGGGGTTCCAGTCCTGTCCTCTTGCCTTGTTTGCCTGAGCAGCTTTGTAGCCAGCTTCAGCCTAAATTTTGATTGACAGGTGGCAGCTCACATCGGAACTGAACATCATGAGGTCATTTTTAATGCTGAAGAAGGGATCCAGGCACTCGAAGAAGTGATATTTTCCTTGGAAACATATGATATCACAACTGTACGAGCTTCAGTGGGTAAGACACAGTTCAGTTTTACAACGCACGCTCACTCGTGGCCTTAAAATGTAGATGCAATCAAAAGATTATCTGGGATGTATCCCAGCAAAGAAGGTTGAAGGTTTCCACTCTGCGCTCTTTAGGCTGCTGCCTTCTTCCTGCCATATCCCCCCCGCCCCCGCCACAGCAGCCTCTAAGCCCCATGTTTCTCCTGTAGCAACATGGACATAGGTATTTTGAGGGGCAGAATTCCTTTTTGTCCAAGTAGGTGGTTCTCAGGATTTTGCAGGGATGAAGAGGATGACAGTTATGATAAATATGATTAGAGACACCCAAAACTCTATGCCAGCTTTCCTCAAACTGGTGCCCTCCAGATGTGTTGGCTGGCCAGGGCACATGGGATTTGTTGTTGGCACACACTGGGAATCTGGAGAGTACAAGTTGAGGAAATCTGCCTTAGGCAATATATAGAAATACTCCAAAATGCTTTCTGTAATTGGATGCTTTTGTTTTAGCTCTTGTATTGGTCACTGATGAAGGTGGAAGCCAAAGTGTTACTAGAAATCAAAGACTATACATGTACATATTTATTGCATTTCTGTACCACCTAATGGCTGAAGTGTTCTACATTGTTTTGCCAATTGCTGTATTATGTGTGTGTGCTTTTGTCTATGTATGTATAAACAACACCTACATGGAACATTTGTAATTGCAAAATATCTTTGGAAATTGTCTCTCTTTGTTAGGTATGTACCTGGTCTCCCAGTACATCAGAAAGAAATCAGACAGTGTGGTCATTTTCTCAGGAGAAGGTTCAGATGAGCTGACACAAGGATATATCTATTTTCATAAGGTAAATGCTCTTTGCCTTCAAAATAGTGATAATTCTTGCCTGCACATGAACAAACCATGATAAGACAGAATGTCCTTGAGGTGGGGTGGGAGATTTTAAGAAGTATTTTTGTTGGCCTCTTATTGCTATCTGCTTTCCATAGCTTTAACAATACAGTTGAATTTTATGCTTTGGCTTCCAAAAATTAGAGCTTGTCAGGAGTTAAGTGTGTAACCATTCATTCCAGAGCTCAGAATTTTAAGAGGGCATGGAATAGCATCCTAACCTAATTTAAGGCAGGGGGACAATATTTTTGCCTCTGGGAGCTGCTTATTTATTTATTTATAACATTTTTATGCCGCCCCCATCGCAGAAAGCCTCGGGGCGACTTACAAAGCAGGATAAAACAAACATAGAACAAATATTAAAAATTCGGAGCATCTCGGCTGTATCATAAAACCAATAAATAAAAACTACAGTTAACAATTAAAATATCGTTTAAATAAAAAGGTCTTGGCCTGGCACTGAAAAACAAATAACAACAGTGCCAGGCGGACCTCTCTGGGGAGCGCATTCCATAGGTGGGGTGCCACCGCAGAGAAGGCCCTCTTCCAGGTACTCACCTTCCTAACATCCTTCACAGAGGGCTCCTGGAGAAGGGCCTCCCCCGCTGATCTCGGGTGGGAGGGCATATATGGACGCAAGCGTTCCTTTAGATAACCAGGTCCCAAGCCATTGAGGGCTTTATAGGTGATAACCAACACCTTGAATTAGGCCCGGACTTCAGTGGGGAGCCAGTGAAGCTGACGGAGGACTGGAGTTATATGAGAACAATGCCCAGTCCCCGTCAGTAACCTGGCAGCTCTGTTTTGCACCAATTGAAGTATCCGGACCGTCTTCAAGGGCAGCCCCATGTAGAGCGCATTAAAGAAGTCTAATCGGGAAGTTACCAATGCATGTGTCACAGTCGCCAGGCATTCGTTCTCCAGGTAGGGACGCAGCTGATGGATCAGCCGAAGCTGACGGAAAGCGTTTCTCGCCACCGCTGTTATTTGAGCTTCTAATGACAGCTCAGGCTTGAGGAGCACTCCCAGGCTGCGAACCCTGTCCCTAAGAGGGAGTGCAACCCCATTCAGGACAAGGTCCAGGTCCCCCATCCCGAAGCCCGACCCACCTACCAACAGGACCTCCGTCTTGTCTGGATTGAGCTTCAGTTTATTGGCACTCATCCAGCCCATTACCTCAGCCAGGTACCGGTTCAGTACAGCCACTGCCTCTCCTGGATTGGTTGAGAACGAGAGGTGGAGCTGGGTATCATCAGCGTACTGATGATTCCGCAGCCCACACCTCCTAATGACGTCTCCCAGAGGTTTCATGTAGATGTTGAATAGCAAGGGGGACAAAATGGACCCCTGCAGAACTCCATGGCATAGCTGCCATGGTGTAGAGCCACAGTCCCCCAGCACCACCTTCTGGAATTGGCCATTGAGATAGGAGTGGAACCACTGCAAAGCAGTGCCTCCGATTCCCAATCCCGCAAGCCTATCCAGAAGGATACCATGGTCAATGGTATCGAAAGCTGCTGAGAGGTCCAGGAGAACCAACAAGGACGCACTCCCCCTGTCTCTCTCCCTGCACAGGTCATCATACAGGGCGACCAAGGCAGATTCAGTACCATACCTGGATCTGAAGCTGGACTGAAATGGGTCCAGATAATCAGTCTCATCCAAGAGAGCTTAGAGTTGTCCCGCCACCACCTGTTCCAACACCTTGCCCAAGAACAGGATGTTGGCCACCGGTCTGTAATTGGCAGCCACCTCGATCCAGGGATGCCTTCTTTAGGACTGGCTGGACTACCGCCTCCTTTAAAGGGGCAGGTACCCAGCCGTCCCTTTGAGAGGCGTTGACAGCCTCCAGGATCCAGGTCCCAATCCCGTCCTTGGCTTTCTTGAGTAGCCAAGATGGGCAAGGGTCCAGTAAGCAGGTGGAAGGACGTACTTGTCCAAGCACCTTGTCTACATCATCAGGCTGCAACAACTGAAACTCATCCATCAATCTGGACCAGACGGCAACATTGGCACCTCCCCAGTAGGATCTGATTCAATAGTAGAGTCCAGCTCGTGATGAATCTGAGCGATTCTCTCCCTGAAATGCTTGGCGAAGTCGTCTCAACGGGCCTTCGAGGGTGGCACGAGATCTTTCTTTGGGCCCAGGTGTACCAGCCCCTGTACCACCTGAAAGAGCTCCGCCAGACGGCATTGTGAGGAGGCAATGGAAGTGGAGAATAATTTCTTCTTCGCCGCCCTCACCGCCACAGCATAGGCCCGATAATGGGCTCTTAAGTGTGTTCGGTCAGATTCATCCCATGATTTCCTCCACCTACGTTCTAGACGTCTCCCAACCCACTTCATCACCCATAGTTCAGGTGTATACCAAGGGGATGAACGGGCTCTGCCAAGTGAGAGAGGATGCTTAGCAGCGATCGAGGTTTCGGCAAGGGGCGGCATAGAAATGTTATAATAATAATAATAGCCCTGGTCATTTCCCCATTCCATAGTTCAACCAAGGCATCAACAGGAGCACCAGCCTTATCAACCAGGAAATCCCCCAGGGCCTTCAGGAATCCATCCGGATCCATCAGGCTTCAGGGGTGGACCAGCACAATCGGGTCCGCACCCTTACAGAGGGAAAGGCCACTCTCGAGCACAAACCTCACGAGGAAGTGATCTGACCATGACAGGGATGTCAGACACAAGTTCTTCACCCTCAGGTCACCCTCTTCCTGCCCCGTCGAGAAAACCAGGTCCAGAGTGTGTCCATGTTCATGGGTCAGGCCAGTGATGTGTTGAGACAGCCCCATGGCTGACATGGAGGCCATGAAGTCCTGAGCCACCTCAGTCAGAACCATCTTAGTGTGGAGATTGAAGTCCCCCAGGACTAACATCCTGGGAGTCTTCAACACCAAGTCTGAGACGATCTCCGTCAGCTCAGGCAGGGAGTCTGTTGGGCAGAAGGGTGCACGGTATACCAACAGAATCCCCAATCTGTCTCAGTCGCCCAACACCAAGTAGAGGCACTCTAGACCTGGCCTTGAGAGGACAGGAAGCCCCGCGAGGGAAATAGAGGCTTGGTAAACCAAAGCGACCCCCCTCCCCTCCCCTCCAGGCATGGTTGGTGCTGGATCAGATACCCGGGTGGGCACAGTTGAGAGAGGGAGACATCCCCCACTCTCCCGTCCAGGTCTCTAATGCAAGCTAGGTCGGCCCCCTCATCCACAATCAAATCATGGATGAGGGATGATTTATTGTGGACCGACCTGGCATTAAGCAGCAGCACTGACAGGCCCGGTGGGTGGTTGACAGGACTACCTGGAACCCTCACGCTGGGGGAATAACCAGAAAGAGGAACAGGTGTTAGCCATCTGTCCCTCCTTCTTCTATACAGACACGTTAGACCCCCAATGCCATAACGTCCATTGCCCATGACCACCCCAATGGCGGTGCCCACACGCTCCCCAGGCAACCCCATATTTGTAGCCAAGAATGACTCCATTTAAAATAAACTAAAACACAGTAAAAACACCTAGAAACACTTAAAAACACCCCCAACACATCCCAATCCAATTAACAATCCCACCCGCTGGCCGATAGCCCCTGGCCAGCCCAGCCCCCACACGACCCCCAAACGGCTCTCAAACGGCGGCGACCACCCTTTGGCTGTAGCCCTTTGGCCACTGGCCCCAGCCGCATCCGGCAAGATAAGCCAGCGGCCCGTCCCCGTGCCCCGTCCCTAATCCAGCGTGACTCTCACCCAGCGCCGGTGGGGTGGAGAAGCAGGGTGGGCGCACGGCACTCGCCGGCCGGCAAGATGGCGTCGGCCGGCAGCAGCATCGTCGCCTTCGGGCTCGGCATCCTCTGACCCTGGTGGGTCCAGCAATGGCCACTGACTGCAGCGTCAGCTGACCCCTAGGTTCCAGCAGAGTGCCTCGCGGTCTTCCTCGGCCTCGGCTTGGGGCCGTCCTCAGCAGCGCGGCAGTGGCAGATTGTGGAGGGAGGAGGGGAGAAAGGCCCATTATAGAAATGTGTTGGGTCCCTATATCAGTGCTGGAGGTAACCAATGGCAGTGGTGGGCTCTGTGAGAGAGCGAGAGAGAGTAGATAACTCTCTTCCTAGTCTGTTGTGGACTATAGAGCAGTGAGGCTGAGGTATGTGACTTCAGCAATAGCTAACATAGTTTGGCAGGAGTGACCAGAAGGCACCTGCAGGCCATGGTTAAAGTGTCTGTGGGCCACAAGTTGTCTACACATGTGCTAATGAAAATGTACGATAGCTTTCATCTATATATGCATGTGTATTTTTCATTTCTCAGAGTCCCTGTAGAACAGGGAGAGTTCTGGACAGCTTTTCCATTAAAGGAGTAACTTTGCCACACTGCTGTGGTTCCTTTCCATTAGTGAATGCTGCAAGGAAGGAGGTACCATAGGGAATAAACATATGGGGTCGTATCCAATGATGCCTTTGGACCAGCACAATGTGTGTCTGCTTAAACACATCGGGGCATCTGATTTTTTTGTTTTTAGCAAGGCCCCAACTCCCCCTGTGGCAGCCCTTGGCACCATACCCAGGGTAAAGGGTTCCCCAACTCTTGGGAACAGTTTGGAGGCTGGTGGGAGCGGGGAGAAAGTTACAGTAGGAAGATTGCAGCTGTGAGATTGAACTAGGGGGAGTGGCAGTGATACTGCTTTTGCAATGGCAGGATTTAGCCCTCTGAACACTACTGAAGGTCTCCCCATGTCTGCCTCTCTCAGTTGTGCATGGTAGCATCCCAAGGACCTCAATAAACTTCTGCATTTTTCTCTTTGTTTCAGGCACCCACGGCTGAAGAGGCTGCAGAGGAAAGTGAGAGACTCCTTAGAGAGCTTTACCTGTTTGATGTTCTCCGTGCCGACAGGACAACGGCTGCCCATGGGTAGGGCTCAGCTGCAGATCTTTGGATATTCAGTGACAATGTGGAGGAAGTAAAATTCATTGCCAATTGCGGGGCCATAGCTGAGTGGTAGAGGCCCTGCTTTGCATGCAGGGCATTCTAAGTTCACTCTCTAGATCAGGCTGGGAAAGAATCTTGCCTGACATCTTGGAGAACTGCTGCCAGTATTGGGCTATATAGACAAGGGTCTCGTTCAGTGGAAGATAACTCCAGCGTTTGTGTTGTTAGTGCTGGTTAAGTTAGATACCAGATAGTGGCCAGTCTGCACAATTGACCAACTCACCAGTGCTTATTTAAGCCACAGGCTATTTTGAATATGCCAACACTAACTCTAATTTTGGGTTCTGTTGGGGAACCTTAGGGTGAATGGGAAGGGAAATAAATAAATAAATAACATTTATATGGCCTGCCAACATACTATGGTGGGTTAAACAAACCATGGTGGGCAGTGGGGGTTATGAAAACTGGGCTAGTAGCTCCTTTTCAGTTAAACTCTGCTATCTTTAATGGGTCCCCATTAAAAGTTAAAAAAATAATTATTATAGTCCTTTCAAGTGAAATTGAAATTTAATAGTAAATGGCTTTATGCTACAATTTCAGGATTCTTTGCTGAAGATAAGCATCCAGCAGATAACATTAGGGATAAACATGTAGCTTGACAGAATTGGGTGAACTATACAGAAAAGCCTTCCCCGGCTGAATGCCTTCTAGAAGTGTTTGACTACAACTCCCAGCATCCTGAGACAGCATAAACATGCATGAGAAATGTAGTCCAATATGTTTATAGAGCACCTGATAGCAAAAGGCTAGCATAAAATGTATACCAGCAGAAAGCTAGTACTATACGGTACTGGTGGTTGTAAAACTTCCTCTCCAGTGCATCATCAGTAGCTATCCATGTTATATATGCATAACCATTTTTCCCTTCCCCCGTTAATCTTACTTCTTTTTCTTTCAGTCTTGAACTGAGAGTTCCATTTTTGGATCATCAGTTTACTTCCTATTATCTGTCTCTTCCAGCAGAACTCAGAACACCAAAGGTAAGCTACACACTGTCTAATATCCAAGCTGGAAAAATAAGGCTTGTATCTAGTGGGGCCCTTCCGTTAGTGGAATAGACACAACCAGTGGATCATCTTCCTCCTGCCCTGCTGTCCTGATGCATTTCCAAGATCATCTCAGGAAAGTTGATGAACCCTCCAGAACAGATCTGAGGAGAGGAGAGGAGATTCTTGTTGCATGAGTGGAAGCTGGCTCACAGAAGTTTGGTTTTAATGCACAATCCTTTGCAGGTTTACACAGAGCTAAACTCCATAAGCATTCCTGAGGTGTTCTTCCTACTAAGCATTTTTAGAATTGCAGCCCAGGGGTGTGATCATTGGCAGATTTATTTATGATGGGTGAACCTGACATCAGTGAGTCTCTCCCAAGTCTTTAATACAGGATTAAAGCCTAATACTATAATCACACAAACTGAATGATTCTTAAAATGCTCTATCATACATGAAAGATGCTAGCTGAGATGCTTCTAAAATATTGCAATTTAGTTTAAGATTTTTTTTAATGCTGGGTTTTAGTGGCTGATGACATTTGGTGTTTAACAGAATGGAATTGAGAAACATCTCTTAAGGGAAGCCTTTGAGGATACTAACTTACTGCCTAAGGAGATACTCTGGAGACCCAAAGAAGCCTTCAGTGATGGTTTGACTTCTATCAAGAAATCTTGGTTCTCAATACTCCAAGACTATATTGATGTTCAGGTATGCTATTGCTTGTTAATATTTTCATCTTTTTAATGTAAGATGTTAGAAACTTGCAGAAGGGTTTTTCCCCATTTGGGCCTTTCAGTACAGGTCACATTTATATTTTACACAGCTTTTATTTATTAGGAGGGCAGGGTGAGAGCAGTAGCCAGCAGTACAGCATGTGCTTTGCATGCAGAAAGTCCCCGATTCAGGCCCTGGCATCTCTAGCTAGACCTGGAAAAGGACTTTCCTGAAGCCCTGGAGAGCCCCTGTCAGTCTCTAGACAACTCTGAGCTGGATAGTCCAGTGGTCTAACTCGTAACAGCGGCGGAGAAGCTCTTTCAGCCTGAGGACTGGATTGAGTTTTGGAGAAGCTTTTGGGACTGCTTTCAGTGGTGGCTGGGAACATAAATAGAAGGGGCAAGATCGATGGGACCAAAGAAGGAAGAGGGAGAAGTGGAGTGAGAAGAGGAAATGCTTTGCTCTTGGAAGGTCCTAGGTTCAGTCCTCAGCATTTCCAGGTAGGGCTAGGAAGGGCTTCTGCCTGACACCCTGGTAAACTGCTCCTGGGGTTGACAGTTCGATGAACCGAGCTAGATGAACCCAGGGTTCAGTTCAGTGTAAAAGACAGTTCTGCTCCTAGGGTTAGGGTGCTGTTCATAGTTCTTTTCCTGTGAAGCAAGTTAGCCTGAGAGGAAGTAACTAATCCAAGATTGCCCAGTGTGGCTGTTAATCCTGGTTCATCCCAGTCTTGGCCTGAAACTCACTTTGCTACACTGGCCCTCCAGTGTTTGTATGGAAATGCAAAGGAATGAGTCCATTATAATATGTGAAGTGATAATTTTGGGTGTATATGCAGAGATGCTCTTGTCAGCAGCAATACTCCAGAGGAACAAGTTGGGTTATAGAAGACGTGCATATTCTATGATGTTAATGGTTTATATCTACCTTTGGCCTTATTGATTGAGGTTGATTGGAGTTGTAATGCCACACTTCCAGAGGGCTCCAAATTGGGAGGACCTACTTCCTATGAATACAGACATGGTAACCATTCCTATGTCTGCCTGGGGGCATTGTCTCCCCCTGAGTGATGTACAGACTTTTTCCTTTTGTCTTTGAGGTTTCAGAATTCAGTTATTTCAGGTTATTGGAAATCAGTGATTTTTAGAAAATATGAATATTCCAGACCAAACTTCCTTCTAAGAATAGTCTGCATGAAGGAGAAATCTTAAATGGGTGAAGTCAGGGGAATTCCAAATGTGATGAAGAAAAGATTGTATACATTGCTTGCCTTGATTTAAAATCAGAAAAGAGACAGAGAAGGCTGTACATATGTTGGCATTTTGTGCAATATTGTACGCAGAAATTAATTCTAGATTGAATGAATGAACAGTACCAAAATTGCTATTAACATGGGGGCTGTCTGGCTATTTTCCCCCACAGTGGGGCTCATATAATGTCTGACAATAGATAAGATCTTAAAGAAATTGTAAGGGCCATATGAATTTCACCTTCTGTGCAAGGTAAAGATGTCAGTCATACTGATTCTCTGTCCTTGACAAATGTAACTTTTGGAAGGAGGTTTACAGAAATCCACTTCCCAGTCCTGAATCCATTGGCAATTTCTTAATAGAAATGAGTTAGCAGGAGACCAACACAACTGTGTATTTGGAAAACCATTGCCATAGGTTAAAAAAAAAGAAGAACAGATGTCACAATTTTAGTGAGAAAGGCACAGTTTAGATGCTAATTGTGACAAGATAACAGGGCAGTGGTGCTCACATAACCTAGCTGAATATGTGCATAAATAAAGAGATGCAGCTGAGCCTCCTATTCAGTGCTTTGTCAGCTGTGTAAATTCTGTGTGAGCATTCTGCAGTTAGTGCATTTCTTCAGGGGAACTGTGATTGTCTCTGTTTCTGCTTGCAGCCCGTGGAATGATGGATCATTTGTTCAGCAGCTCTCCCAGCTTAATTTTCGTCCCTTTTTGCATCCATAGGTGGACAGTCTCCTGTTGGAGAAGGCAGCAGAGAAGTTTCCCTTCAATCCACCCAAAACAAAAGAAGGTTACTACTACCGCCAGATCTTTGAGAAGCACTATCCAGGGCGTTCTGATTGGCTACCTCACTACTGGATGCCAAGATGGATCAAGGCCACCGATCCATCTGCCCGCACATTGAAGCATTACAAGTCAGCAACAAAAGAATAGACATTTCTCTGCAAGTGCGTGTTGATACGTAGATCTTTTGGCCTTAAAGGGAAAGCAAGAAAATGAAACTTTAAAAAATTAAAAGAGATCTATTTAATTCCTTTTAGAAAAAATATCTCTGTTTCTGATTCTTAATCTGCAAAAGATGAGAGTTCCTGTTGTGTTTAAGCTGTACTTTACAACCAGTACTTTCTAAAATTAATCTTATTAAAATCAGTGGGACCACACCATGACTCTGCTGTTGACACAGCCTTTGCAGTTAGCCTGCTTAAATCCCACTCTGGTCTAATCCCACTGAGGTTTAAGCAGCCCAACAGTGCTCAGGAGTCCAGCCTTGAACTGCAGTTGCCCTACTGTTGCAGGGCTTGCTACATGTTAAAGGCTTAATACTTTGGCTGTATCTGGTTACTTCTGTGCTTCCATTCTAGGCTCTTGAGTGTGAAACCTGGACTTCAGATTGCTAGCAGTAAACTTATGCGCTGGTGATTTCACTGTCAAGTGCTTGGAAAATGTGTGTGAGATCCTTTAGGACAGCAGGCTGGTTCATGTGGTCCAAGTGCCTTCTCATGATGTGTACCAAGCACAGAGAGGTGACTCCATCAGCTTGCAATTCCCATTCTTATGGTCTTAAGTTAGGCACATCCCCTTTCTGCATTGTTTTGAGAAGTTTCTATTTTAAAAAATCTTGCAGAAAATTCTGTACACACCTTTGTGTACATTTCAGCCAATGCACCTATTTTTGCAAGCAGTTTTGCCCCAAATAATGTTATTTGATGTTATTTTAGTAATATATGCATTCTTGCTGTGCTTATTACTGTAATGTGTACTTTTTGGTACATAATTTTCTATTGGAAAACTCCCCCTCCCCAAATTTTGAGAAATGCAAAGGTTGAAGGATAATGGAACTTGGTTTGCAAATAGCTTTGAGAGTACAAAATTAATACAAGTCTGTATTAAAATGTGAAACAAATGTGTTTCTCTTCCATCCTTAGGGCAAAGCCATCCACAGGTGTGTACCTGCCTCTGAACAGTTCAAAGAGTAGAATAGGCATCTTCTAGATCAAGGTGTAGCTTTCTGACACTTACTTGAATGTCGTTCTCCTCACTCACCTTCCCAGAAAGTGCACTGATTGAAGAAATCCTTGTGGCCGTACTTGCACAGCCTATGAGTAGCACACTGGTTTTCATGCCACTCCAGCCCTGTAAACACCTGGGATGGATTGTATGGAGCAACCTTGGTCTGTGCAAACTAGTTCTAAAGATAAAGTTTCAGTATCATTGTTCATAACATGGAACTTCTAGGATGTGAATGCCGGGATCATCAGGAGCATAACAGGCAGATTTGCTGAACTTTTAAGAGTAATGCTATTGACACTTGAAATTAGTTGGCTTGTAAGTGGAATCTTGTAGGTTCAGAATTCTGGAATGCATAATGTAGGACTTCATTCCTACAACCTTTACTATTTTTGAAATTCAAATAGAGATTCAAGTGTCATTCTAATTCTGATTGTACTTGTTAAAATTTAAGATAATCGAGTTTTGCTATTTTTTCCCTTTAAAAATTAATTTTGAAACCACAAGGTGGCACCCTAGAACTTCTGGATGTATTTAAAGAGTACCATAGTTAACTGTCTTATTCATGGCCAGGTCTGCAGATTTTTTAGACAAAGTATAGACTGGTTTTATTTATTATAATATTGATTTCCTGCCTCTTAAAACAATGTTCTGCCAAGGCAGTTTTCAATTACAATAGATAATAGAAAGTAAAGCTAAACAGCAGGATAGAAGACAACATGAAGCCAGAAGAAGAAAACAAATCAGAAACAAATCTCTCAAGCTCTCTAAATCAAGGAACGTTAAGGGAAACAAGGGTAGTACAGTTAAAAATGGGTGGGAGCTGGATACATTTCTCTGGGGAAGAAATAGTAGAGAAAGGTCTGACTGGTGGCCACCAACCCCATCTGACAGGCCAAGGGGCACAAGCTGGAGGGTGATCTTCAATCCCTGGCCTTGGTTGGACAGCTGCACAACCAGTAGAATTCTTCAATCTTAAAAGGTTCAGTAATAATGTTAGTGTCTAGATCAGACATGGGCAGAACTCATATATCCTGATGTTTTGGACTGTCAGTGGTCAGGAATGCTGGGAGTTGAAGTCCAGAGCATCTGGAGATCTACCTTCTCCCACTCCTGGTTTAGAAACCTAGTGGAAGATGGAACTGTAACTGATCGCTATCTTCTCTGTGCAGTTGGAAGTAAAGTATCTTCTCTGTGCAGCTGGAATGTTCATGAAAAACAGTGCAACAGAAATAGGACTCTTTCTAGACCTAGTGGCCTCCAGATGTTCTGAATGATGGGTTCCCAGCCAATATGCCCATTAAAACTCTGGTTGTTTGGAATTCTTGTATAACACATTTGCAGGGTATTAGGTCAAGGAAACCTGTTTAGAAGGTGCTAAGAGTGTATCTTTTCCCCTTTTAAACAAAACCCTCCATCTAGCAATACCCTGACATTATTTCACTGTTTCTATAGTACTTTAATTTCTTCAGAATTTCTTAAAAAGAAAATGATTGAGTGAGCTAGTATCTTCCATGATCCATCTTCTGGCTTGCACAGATCACTGCTGCCTTCAGGATGACAGGAGTTCCCTTTTGACCTGGTTGTCCATGGGAAAGGAGGAAAGTCTTTCAGCAAAAATGCCTCGGCAGTCTTAAGCAGGCTTTCGATATATGGCCCAGTTGTTAATGGATTCTTAACCTAATCTAAGATATTTGTAACTTCATAATGGTACGATGCCTGGAGGAATGTTGTCCATGGGGTCATGATGGGTCAGGCACAACTTTGCAACAAAACAAACAATGGCATGATAGCGAACCTGCTAAATATAGTAAAAATGGCTGTAAATACATAACACATGTAAAAAGCATGTGAAAGGAATGTGCTTCATTATTTCCAACCTAAATAACTCAGCTTGAGAACTTGGAGAGCTGCTGACTATATGGAACTATAGATTGACAGAGAGTCTGACCGGGGATAAGGCATCTTTAAAGGACAGTCCTCTGTTTAAAGGAATTCAGGGACAGGTGGTTTGTGGCCCTCCAGGTTTTTGTCCTAAAATTGCCATCATCCCTCACCTTTGGCTATGCCTGCTAGAGCAGATGGGAGTAGTAGATGAAAACATCTGGAAGGCCAGTAGTAGATGAAACATCTGGGAGTTGCCCACCCAAGAGGAAGAACTAGGCCTTGTGCTGCCCATCTACATCATCTGGACAGCCGATCACCTGGCCGAAGTCTTCCCCATGCTGGTACAACTATTATTGTATACCAATTAAGATTATGCCAATTAATTCCAGATGGGCCATGTGTATACACCAATATGCACATTATGTGTAGACCTGTGTTTTGTTTTTGGTGAATTATTTCTCCTCTCTTTGTGATGTGTAAATGGGCACCCTAGAAACTTTCGGTTTTGATGGCTCTGTTGCCCCCTTCTGCGTAGGTCAGCTTGTGATCCTCCAGATGTTTTGGTCTACAAATCCCATCATCTCTCTGCATTGGCTGTGCCATATAGGGAGTTGCAGGCCAAAACTTCTTGTGGGATACAGGCTTCCTGTCACTGTCATCAATGCTCGGGTCTTTGAAGTCGAAAAGTTGAACCTGGTGCCATTAATATACCTGTGTGGGTTGTTCCCCTCCTTCATAAGTCTTTTTTCTTGTTAAAATAATGTATTACTATAAGACTAGGTGTGGGAGATCTATGGCACTCCCATTGTTGTTGAACTCCAGTTTTCCTCAGTCTCATCCAATCTGGCAAATGGGCAGTTACGATGAGAGCTGTAAACTAGTTTGGAGGGCCATGGGTTCCCGACCTGTGGAAAGGTTGCCATTGGCACGTTTACTGTATAGGCACATCCCAATCTGCTCTGTGAAGAATGTTCCCTCAAAGAAAACATGCTAAACTATATATGGGGAATAAGCTAGACTGAATTGAAGATTGAGATTCCTTCTGGAAATGACTGGTTTTCATCTGTCAAAAATTCACATAGCACACAGTTTAGAATAACAAACATTATTCAATGGGAGCCATTCTTGGGGGTAGGGTCTGTTTTTCTTTAAGTCATTCACCCGTCTTGGGGAAATTATGTTTGTTGTGGCAGAACAAACATGCAAACTGATGATATGATAGTAAAATGATAGTGAAAAGTCTGAATTAGAATTATGAAATGAAGAATATGCCACACAAGTAGGACCTGCAGGAAAATGTGGTGTTGAGCACTCCTGTTTAGGAAGCAACCATGTTCTTTTCAAAATTAAGCATTCCATTTTCCCCTGGTTTTCCACCTTTCTCCAGAGTTGGTCAGCATTCAATGCCACCGAACATGTTTTGGCTTCCTAGCTTCTTTGTGTGCTTATTGTTTCTATTTTTAGGGGGACAAGGGATTTAATACTCCTGCAGACTTTGGATTCTCCCAGACCTACTGATGTTACCTCCTTGTACATGTATGCTGCTGTTTTTGGCCGCAGCAAGACATTTGGAGAATGAGTTTGTTACTAGTATGTCTATATTTCTTTTTATACTGCTTACTGTAATGTTATTGCCTGAACTGCATCTTTAGCCAGATAGGGTGTTCTCTCCGTTTTGGGGTCCTGATTTAGCAGATTGCAGCTTCTTGTGCAACTTCTCCTTTTGGCAGTCCAGAAGGAGTAATGGGAGGCTATGCCCTCAAAATCTACAGTCCTTGGAGCTATGGGGATCACCTTTGAAAGGCATCCTAAAGGCATTCGTATTGTGTGCTCATCACCATACATTTATTATGGTCGAGTTCATTCTTCACTGCCAAAATAAGAATTGCCATGCTGGCCCGGACAAAGGTATATAGCTAAGAATTCTTTTCTCGCAGTAGGCAACCAAATGCTAGTGGGAGATCTGCGAGCAGAACATGGGCAAAATAGTACCCTCCCACTCATATTCATTAACAGTGGATAATGAAAGCAATACTATGTACTTGTGTGAATAAATGCTGCTTTTTTGTCCTGAATTTTCTACCCATCAGCTTGTTTGAGATGATCCAAGAATCTAGTGTTAGAGAGGGAAAAGCCTCACTATCCACTGTCTCCACACCATGCATCCTTTTGTATATTTCTGTCATGCTGCTTTTTCTCACCTGTTTTCCAAGCTAAAGAGCCCTGTCTTCTGAAACCTTTCCCCATAGGGGAATTGTTTTGGTGTTTTCATTACTTTAGTTGCCCTCACCTTCCAGCTATGCTCCATGCTTGTGATGAATGGTTCTCCACACACTGGCTAAAAGCCCAGTCAAACAAGGATGTTCAGTGCTGCAGTGGAGGTGCCTTTGGGGTAAGTAATGGGATCGTGTGATAGTGATCCTTAATCAACAGCCAGTGCTATCCATAGGAATAGGTGTAAAACAGCATGTGCTGCATACATTTATTTTTAGACAGACAGACAGACAGACACACACACGCACACGCACACACACACACACACACACACGTTCAATAAAACTTGTATCTTTTTCCCTTCTTAGTCTGTGTTTTGATATTTAACAAGAAGTACAGAAAGAATAATTCTTCCTGAATATTTTAGTCACCGGCCCAGTCAGCTGCTTGGACCAGTGGAGACCATACTGGGGTTAGTTTGTAGGCCCAGTCCCTGGTGTTATTCAAGTAGCTGATGTTCTATTCAGCTTCAGAAAACCCTCCAAATTGGAGTCACTAGGAATATTTCATTTCTTATTCTCTCCAGGTATCTTATTCTTCACCTGCAGATGGCAGTGACTGTTCCATAGATTATCTTGCTTCCCTCCATTTAAAATTAGACTCTGTAAGGTATAAGTAACATTTTGTTCAATCATCATCATCTTCATCACCATCTTATTATTTGTATGAAAGCCCTAGCTTTGATGAAGAGAAATTATAATGGATATTATACAAATGCTAAGTATAATGTTGATT